AATTTCAATTCCAATTCCAATTCAACTTTAATTCGAAAAGTGTACCCTGAACTTTATTTTAATTCAAAATCCATAGAAAATGCGTAATTGTTGAATTTGGACATTTGGAAAAGACTTTTATTAAGAAACATTTGTTAATTGAGAATAATATGGTGATGAGAATGGAATTGAGAATTTGAGAATTAAACAAACAAGTTAAGATTAGAAAAAAGAGGGAAACATGGTATTACGACCTTTGATTTGTCAAATTCTCGTTGTCTCGTTGTCTCGTTGTCGTTGTCTCGTTGTCGTTGTCTCGTTGTCGTTGTCTGTTGTCGTTGTCTCGTTGTCGTTGTCTCGTTGTCGTTGTCTCGTCGTCGTTGTCTCGTTGTTTCAATCGTTACATGGTGTTCGCCTTTGACGGTGCCTATCTCCGCTACACTCTCAAATACCCGATCATTCCTTTCCATCTTTTCAACTCCTATTCTCTTTCATTCTCACCATCACCATCGTTGGTTTATCCGATGAAAGGAATATGTAGCTGACGATGAGATCTTTTGGGGGATTTGAGTGTTGAGCTTCTGCAAAAGCTTCGAAACCGTAAAATAGTCATCAACTTGGCTCGCCCGGGTCCACTACTATTAGAGAGAATATGGTATTTAAATCATGTTTATTGCATACAAGTATCAATCTACAGGGTGACCGCAAAGTATAGCGACAACTTTTTGAAAGAGTACCTAGGAAATTTCTAATTTATTTCAAAAGTGGCAAATGTTATGTAGAGAATTGTAGCCCTAATCCTCGACAACACTATTACCCAAACTTTCACCCAACCCAAACCCCACAAGATCTCAGATGGACAGCCCTTCAAGCGCTTGTTAAATGAGTTGTATGTATCGATGTTTTTATTTACCAAAAACATCCCGATTGCACTTATACAACTCATTTAACAAGCGCTTGAATGAGCGCTAGTCGACATCTGAGATCTTGTGGGGGATTTGAGTGTTGAGCTTCTGTGAAAAGTTTGGAAGCCGTAAAATAGTCGTCAACTCGGCTCGGCTGGGTGCACGACTATTAGAGAAAATATGGTATTTGCAAGATGACAGATCTACAGCAGATTCAAGGTTTATTGTAAGATTTCGGTGATTCCGATGTTCAATTCTAGGCACGAGTCACAGTAACAAGGGCATTCTGTGAAATTCAAAAGAAACACACTTAAAATAGTAAAATAGTGACCAACTCGGCTCGCTGGGGTGCACTACTATTAGAGGAAATGCGGTAACTTCAATGTTCAGATGTTGGTGAGAGCTCTCTTCTCAATCCCTTCATGACAATCGGTTGGGTATTGTTGTCGATTTTTTTATTCAGCTCTTCAGCGAAAATGTCGTCGACTTATTCTCCAGAGAACTTTCATGGTTTTACAATTTTTTTTCTTTTTAACTGATTGGCCAACTTATTGGATGCGCCAATTTATCAGCATTTGAGAATCATTTTATTCTAACTGCAATTATTTGTCTTCGAAAGCGAAAAGAGGGTCGAAAGGTGAAGTGAAATCAAATTGAACACAAGTATCGAGTCAACGAGAAAGGATCAAAAAAAGGATCAAAACTTGAAGATACCTGATATAAAAGCTTAATTGTTAAAAGCTTAATTTCCTTGATAAAAGGCTTTCTAAAATAAATCTATCAACTACTCCTTGAATGGACTTTATCTAGCATTGCAGATTTGTATTTTAAACAAAGAATGGCGCTACTTCCGGCTCCCGAATGATCCCCAGCTTCCACCGTGACACAGAGGAGACGTAGCGGGGGAAATGACTCTCCCTCTGACTATTTGACAGCAGCGGGGATGAAAATCAAATTTCTGAGTCCTCAAAAACAGTTGAACATTTTGACCTGTGTGTTCTCAGCTCGTTCTCGTCCGCTTTCTGGCATACAACGTTTTTGGGGGTGTTAAAAAGCAGAAATCTTTTTGTTAAGGATGTCCTCCGTGCGCCTGAGTGAGAAAAAGACTCGGTAAATCCCATGGTGCCTTTGGCGCTTGCGTCGATTGAAAGGATACACCATGGTAAGGCGCTACTTCCGGCTCCCGAATGATCCCCAGCTTCCACCGTGACACAGAGGAGACGTAGCGGGGGAAATTACGATCCCTCTGACTATTTGACAGCAGCGGGGATGCTCAAGAAATACCCGTTGCCTTCTGGTTCAATAAATACCTTTAAAAGTATGGATCGATCGATCATCTCTTTCACATGTCCACTAAAGCAGTAATAGTACAGTAATAGAAGGTATTATAAATGTTATTTGAGCTGTTATCTATTCTTTTCGAATCGTTGTTGCCATTTAGCGGTAAATCGTAAATCGTAAAGCTATTCATTAGTAAGTAAAGTACAGTAAAGTGGTCTTACTCTAAAGAGTGCCCCGAAAAGTATTGTCGCATTGTAAAGCCAGGTAAAGTGAAAGAATTTATTGATAGATTCCAGTAAAAGTAAAGATTTATGCTTATAATCTCATTGTATTTGAATGAAAAGACTGAAATCCTACCGTAAATACTGTAATAGTACCCCACCGCCCCCGTACAGTCGCGTAGTGGCAAAAGTTTTTTAGTATTTCATTTTTTCAAAGCGCCCGTACTTTCAAAAAATGTGTCTTTGGTATCAAAAAATAGCTGAAATTCAGGGCTATTTTTTGATATCTAAACGAGCATTGTAGCATAAACCAGTGTCGAGAAAAGCGCGTTTTTTCGGGATTTTCGGGAACTTTAAACATCCCGTTCTCGGCGCTGCTTTATGCTACAATGCGCGCTTTGGTATGAAAAAATAGCTCTGAATTTCAGCTATTTTTTGATATCTAAACGAGCATTGTAGCATAAACCAATGTCGAGGAAAACACGTTCAAAGCTAGACTACGCAACGCTCCGCACCCTCATTATGGGGATGGGGTACTATGTTATGGGGATTTCATTTTTTCAAAGCGCCCGTACTTTCAAAAAATGTGTCTTTGGTATCAAAAAATAGCTGAAATTCAGGGCTATTTTTTGATATCTAAACGAGCATTGTAGCATAAACCAGTGTCGAGAAAAGCGCGTTTTTTCGAGATTGTTGCGTAGTCTAACTTTAAACATCCCGTTCTCCGCCCTGCTTTATGCTACAATGCGCATTTTAATATGAAAAAATAGCCCTGAATTTCAGCTATTTTTTGATATCTAAACGAGCATTGTAGCATAAACTAGTGTCGAGAAAAACGCGTTCAAAGCTAGACTACGCAACGCTCCGCACCCTCATTATGGGAGGTACTATTACAGTATTACAGAATCTGCGAGCCTAACTTCTAGACACTTCTAGCCACTTTTCCTTCACTCATCAATCATTCTTGCATAACAAAAGACGAAAATGACATCTAATAAAAGATATTATATTAAAAAGACATTAAAAAAAGACAGTAAAAAGACAGTAATACAGGGTGCCCAATAATTACGGTTTAAAAATCTAGATTTATAAAACTTCTATAATTGTAGAAGAAATTAACTGGCTTTAAAAAAGGTATTAGGTACTTGCAAAAGAAACCGCGGACTACTTCCGAGGACCAAAATTGTTTTTATTTGAAAGTGTGATGGTCCGGTTTAAATTGTATTATATTGTATTATTATTGCTTATTCATTTTAATTATTTTCACAACTATTGCTATCATTAAATATTGCATAATCTTGGGTCCAAGATGACGGATCAAAAACCGGTCTAAAAATCAACTCGTGTTGCGGGCGTGTCTTCTCTATGACTTCAAAATGAAGAAATCAGCATCGATCAGCCGTACCAACTGTATTAATCAGCTATTTAGTCTAGTTTTTAGGTTAATTATATGTGCTTTTTTTAATGTTTTCTATTAGTTATGATGTTTTCCAATATAATTTTATAGTTTTTTTTGGAATATTTTAGGAATGGCGACAAAGTGACCACATTCGAGTGACCACAAAGTGACCACATCGAGTGACCACAAAGTGAACACAGCGGTGATTACAAAAGTCAACATCAAGAGGATCCGCGAACGAACGCGACATAACAACAAGCAGCGAAAAGCGACGACGTTCCAGCGAAAAATGAAAAATAGCAAATTCGATGGGGATTTCAAAAGGGATCGATGGGCACAATTGCTAAGAAGCATTCGAAAATGAAAGCTTATAAGTACTCAAAAGGTCAGTTTCTTTCAACTGTGGGAAAAAAAGCTCACAAAGCTCAAGTTGTTCAGGGTTGGTGTCAGCAGAATTTCCCCGATTTCATCACTTTCAACCAATGGCTTCCATCAAGTGCAGAATTGAATTCTTTGGCTTACAGTGTTTGGTCTATTTTGGAGTCAAAAGCTTGCAAAAAAAAGGCCATTCCACAGTCGATTCTTTGAAGAAATCATTGCATTGCTGAGCTGGATGAGCTGAGCTGAGCTGGATGAGCTGAGCTGAGCTGGATGAGCTGAGCTGAGCTGGATGAGCTGAGCTGAGCTGGATGAGCTGAGCTGAGCTGGATGAGCTGAGCTGAGCTGGATGAGCTGAGCTGAGCTGGATGTTCCATACATCTCTGCCACCATTGATGCCTTCCCAAAGCGCCTTTAGGCCTTTATTGCCGCGAAAGGAAATGTGTGTTGAGAAAAAGTTATTTGTTTTGTTAAAAAGTTACTAAAGAATAAATTGTTATCGTTTTTTTAATTAATCTAACACTATAATTAATTTAACACTGCTTTAAACAAGCGAATTTCTTTGTTGCCGTCATTATTGGGCACCCTGTAGTAAAGTATTATAAATAGAAGGTATTATAAATGTTATTTGAGCTGTTAAATGTTATTTAAACTGTTAAATGTTCTTTTCGAACAGTTAACACCTGTTATCTATTCTTTTCGAATCTTTATTGCCATTAAATTGTAATTAAATCGTAAATCATAAATCTTTATCAAAAAAAAAGAGTAAATCAAAATGAAATGAATGACAAAATTTACAAAAATTAAAGAAAGAAAAAATTGAAATCAAAATCATCATAAAATTCCATTTGTTTTACGCCAAAAAGCGGCATTTTCAAGAAGCTGTTGGCGATAGAATTGAACCTGGAAATGGGAAAGGTTAGAATTAGATTTTATAAAGGAAAGATCTCCTAATCTCCAGGTTCAACCTCCAGGCTCAATTCTAATCTAATCTTTCCAAAGATTTTCTTAAGATTTCTCAAGATCTCTAAAGATTTTCTTAAGATTTCTAAAGATTTCTCAAGTTTTGCTCAAGATTTCTAAAGATTTTCTTAAGATTTCTCAAGATTTGCTCAAGATTTCTGAAGATTCCCAAAGGTTTCTCAAGATTCCTCAAGATTTCTGAAGATCTAATTGACTAAAAGATCTAATTGACTTTCCATTTTATCTATCTACACTACTGGACAATGAAATATGATATTTGAAAAACGATCGTCACTTTCGCGCGTCTGTAACTCCCTTGTGTTTACCGTATTTCTAAATATTAATATTACCATTGTGTAGCCGTTGAAAAGAGCTTTCAGAAAATGTATAACACTAATTCATTGATTTAGTCAAAACTTTCAAAATCCTCCGTTGTAAACAGATTAGCCCTTTGTTTATAGACTTTTTCAAATTTAAACCGCGGTCAGGGCCCAGAAGCGGCTCATTTTGCAAATTCCCTTTGCTTCCAATGCCTCTTTATCAAATTCATTTCCCGTTAGAGCCGCTAGATTATGGAACTTGCTCCCAAACGACATTACGAGAAATTCAGTCGCTTTTCATATTCAAGAAACGTATCGATGCTTTAGATCTAGTGGCTCTTTGCCGTAAGTAATTGGCTTATTGATTTCAGTATGTATTGTATGATTAAGTATCACTGTGCATTTCTCTATCATTTCTTTCACTTTATCGTTTGAATAAAGTATTATTACTAATAGTTTAAACTCAAAGACAAGGGAATTACAGACGCGCGAAAGTGACGATCATTTTTCAAATATCATATTTCATTGTCCAGTACTGTATATCTCTTTTTCTTCTTTAAATCTTTTAAATCGAATCCTTTATCGTTTAAATCGACTTCTTTATCGTTTAAATCCTTAATTTATATCATAATCGAACTCTTAAATGCTATTTGAATCTTTCTACCGAAAAACTGGACCTAATTTGGTCAAAAGACTGCACCAGAAAGTATGCGTTTGCAAATTTTCAACTTAAACAACAGATTATTGTGTGGAAATTGTTGGTTCCAACTTAAACAACAGATTACAGAGTGTGTGGAAATTGTTGATTTTTCAGTTTCCTTACCTCAGCATCAAGCTTGTCAACGACTTTCTTCAGCTTTTCGTGCTCATTTTCCAGCTTTTTCTCCTCTTCCAACATATTGTTATATCTTAAATTAGGCTTAAATTAGCATTTAGATGAATTTAGATGGATTTAGATGAATTTAATTGAATTTAATTGAATTTAATTGAATTTAATTGGATTAAACTGAATTTAACTGAATTTAATTGAATTTAACTGGATTTAACTGGATTTAATTGGATTTAATTGAATTTTAATTGAATTTAACTGAGTTTGACTGAATTTAACTGAGTTTGACTGAATTTAACTGAATTTAACTGAATTTAACTGAATTTAACTGAGTTTAACTGAATTTAACAGAGTTTAATTGAATATCTATTTAATAATTGCTTTTTTAAGCCTCACTTTGACTTGAGCTTGTTCCGATACTTCTGTGCAGCTTCTTTATTTCGAATTTTCTTGTTTCCTGAAAGAAAATTTGGATATAAGATCTAAAAAATTGAAATTTTTGTAAGATTTTTGAGAGTTTATAGTTTGAATAGAGGTTTTCTTTCTTTTTTCAAAAGAAAAACACCCACCTGGCTCAGAAATATCCGAGATTTTCGCGTCAGAAATATCCGAAAACGGCACACTATCACAGTTTCTAGAAAAAATGTATTGAAATTGAGATTTTGATAGCTTCAATAGCTTCAATAGCTTCAATAGCTTCAATACATTTGCTAGACTATCTAACGAGTTTATTTAGTTTACTAGTTATCTAGAAATGCAAATTTCACGCACCGATTACAATGGAAGCACTCGTCCCGTCTCAACAAATGCTCACACTCCTCAGCCAACTCGCGAGCGATTTGTTTCACTGAAAATTCTAAAGATAAAGTAAAAAACTTTAATCTCAATATAGAAACTAGATTATTAAAGCTATTCTCTACGCTAAAGTCGATGCGTTTACGCGGTGAACAGGCACAGAAACAGAGTACTTTCTGTTCTCTGTGGTATCGTGTAAACGCACGCCTCTGGCACAGAGATAGAGTACTTTCTAGCACAGAGATAGAGTACTTTCTAGCACAGAAATAGAGTACTTTCTGGCACAGAAACAGAGTACTTTCATGTTCTCTGTGGTATCGTGTAAACGCATGCCTCTGGCACAGTTCCTAGCCTCAATTACCAATGATTTTCGATGAATTTTTCGATTTTCGATCAATTTTCGGCACAAGAACCCTATTGACTAGGTGAATTTGATTGAATTCATCAAAATCACTGTAAAAGTTCTCTATTTAAACAAACCGGGCGTTGATGGCCTCATCCTTTTGCATTGTGAGTGAAATCCTCCATCTTGATGACTGTAATGTCCATGCGAGATCGTGATATTTCCCTGATCATCATGGTTATGCAGAGATATCTTAAGCTTTCCAATTCTAACAATCAGAACCAGAGAGATTTCGGGGTGTTTTAGAACGAAAATCATCACTCTTTAAAGCCCGATAGATCTATCGAAAATCAGAGCCAACTAGATTGTGTTCCTCTAGACTAATGCGTTTTCAAAAATGCACCCTGAAATGCAACCTTTGATTCGAGAAAAGTACCCTAGTCAAACCCTTCGTTTTCAACAGATCAATCAAGTTTTTAAATCATTGCTTAAGCCTTGTGATTCTTCATCAAATGATACCAAAAGCTCAAGATGATTGAGCTGATCGAATGTCAAATTCGTTGATCGAATCCAAATTCGTTGATCCGATGACTACTTTCTCAAATAGATCCATTTTAGAAAACGCTTTAGTCAAAAGGAGCACACTCTAGAGCAAACAGCCCATTTCATCTATCCTAATTGAATGTTGTGTAATTGAATTGAACGTTTGTTTGCATGCGAATGAAAAACCAAATCAACCTCTTTTTTTGGTATCATTTGAAAGTTTAAACTCTTTTCTGTAGAATGATATAAAAAGTTGACAAGAATATGATCTCTGGACAAAGTTATAACCCTTTAAACCCTGACAATGATCTCTGAACAAAGTTATAGGCCTTTAAACCCTGACAATGATCTCTGACAATGATCTCTGGACAAATTTATAACCCTTTAAACCCTAACAACTCGTTCAAAATACCCGAAAATTACGAAAGAACCGAATTTTCTTTCAAAATCTTTCCGATTCTATCTTTTAACCCTTTAAAAAACAAATAAAACCAACCGAATGCTCGCAAAGAATCGGCTTTTGATTGTCCATTGGAAAAATCGAGTGCGTAATTGAACCAATCGGGACTGCAATTAGAATTTGAGTGAATTTTGAGAATTGCTCGACTAGTTAACGTCTTTTACTTGTTCTTTATGTTAAAACTTTTCAAACGCAGCTTTTCTGGTGCATTTATAACTTCATTTTTCATCTTTTCATTGCAAAATCGACCAATTCGGTAATTAAACCAAGCCCAACTCGAAGCGAGTGTACCAGATGCGCGTTTAAAAGAACGCACAAAGAGCACCAGAAAGCTCATCCTTTTAAATACTGCCAGTGCACGAGAAAGCGTGTGTTTGAGCTCAAAGTAGCTCAAAGTAGCTCAAATTAGCTCAAAGTAGCTCAAAGTACATTCACTTACCAGCCGGCTGCTTTGGATCACAATCAGGGCACGGATCAGGTGGACATTGACCGAATGGATCCAACGGGATACAATCCAATGGCATCAACGGGCAATCGGTCACACATTCCTAGAAGAGATTCTTTAGATCTTTAGATCTTTAGAACTTTAGATCTTAGATCTTTAGATCTTTAGATCTTTAGATCTTCGGAACTTTAGACCTTAGATCTTCAGAACTTTCGAACTTCAGAACTTTAGCTCTTTAGAAATCAAATACAAAATAATTGAAGGAAATTTAAGGAAAACTGAGTACTCGTGTACCGAATTTCATATTGAGAACATTTTAAGTCCAATTCATTATCAAAAATAGACTAGAAATAGCTTAGAAATCGGTTAGAATCTTTAAATTCTGAGCCTTGAATAGTTTTCGGTGAAATTCGTGAAAAAATCAGTTGAATTTTTGGTAAAGAAACCGAGCGCCTGGCGCAGAGTTTAGTGCTAGATTGGAGGCGTTTACGTGAAGCACGAAAGAACACCGAAAGTTATGAAGGCATGGAAAATCAAAATTTCATTTGCCTCATTGGCCTCGACGAATCCCTGTCAACGAGACTGAAGTTATTTTGCAAGGAACCTTAGAACAAAATTGGGCAGAAGTTATGAAGGCTATGAAGTTATAAAGGCGAGAGTTATGAAGGCTATGAAGATATGAAGGCTATGAAGTTATGAAGGCGAGAGTTATGAAGGCTTTTCTGGGTTTTTGCAAGTTAAACGTTAACTTAACTATTGCATAAAAGAGTAAAAAAGATCTCTTTTACTTTTCAAAAGCACTCACCGGGTAGTTGAAAGGATTTTGGTTTTGATTTGAGATGTATGGATCAAAGCAACATTCAGTGAATGGCGCCGAGCTGGGACACTCGTGAGCGTCGTGCATTTGCGCCGGGAAATAGTTCGAGCTGGAATTTGCATTTAGAAAACATTTGCATTACAAATGAAAGATATTCAGCTATTAAAGAGGCTCTTTCGGGCTTTTTCGCTTAAAAATCTTCAAAGAATCTTGAAAATCTTGATTTTGTAAAACAAACTTGTATCCCCGTTGCTCGTGATATGAATAAGGCTTTGAATTGGTCGCCTCGTAGCTTTGAGCGCACATTTTTCGATATAAACTAAATAGAAAACGTATAAATATCGATAAATTTCAAAAAACATTAATAAGATTTCAATTTTCGCTAATAATTTGATAATGGAGCATAAAGATAATCAAAAAAAATACTTAATTTTAAAGTTAAAGAAGAAATGAGTGAAAGAATTCTGTGAAAATCGTATTTGAACAACTGGAAAACATCAAAATAAGGTTTTTTTAATAACCCAGATCGATTCGCTTAGATGTTTTTTTTTTGTTTAAAAAGAACCTGTGGCGAATAGCCACGAAAAAGTTACCTAACTCTGAAAGCCTAAAAATTGGAAAAGTATTGCGGAAACCCGGAGCTTAAGCCTAAGCCTAAGCCTTCATTCTATTTCGCGCCCCAAATCATTTATTGTTTTGTAGCTCGTTAGCTGAATGTCTTGTGCTAAAGCCTATATAAGGCAATTATTGTTCATTTGATGTTTTTTTTCGGGTAGGCTAGTTTCCGCATTTTTTTTTTGCACGACAGGGTCATTTACGCAACTGCCTGAAAGCCTAAAAGCCTGAAAAATCTTTAATTAAACAAATTTGAGCTCGAGCTCCATATCAAATCGCTTTCCAACTCGATCCGGGGAAAGAAAAAGCTCTAGAAACAAAGAAAAAACCATTCTTATCAATAGAATCATAACTAAACCATCAATAGAATCATAACTAACCAAACAAATATCTACAAATCAAAAGTTTGAAACGAACTGTGATCAGGTGCAAATTTTGTTCCTAAACCCTTTCCCAGCTCTATTTATCGTTTCAATCAAAGAATGGGCGGTCCGTTTACAGAAAAATAACATCAAATAAGGGATATTTTTAGAGAAATTAGAGAGATAATCATTAAAGAAAGAAAGAAAGAAAAAAAGATTCAAAAACATAATACTAAAGAAAAATAGAGAAAAAGTGTGAAAATAATTCTCGATTTTCTCTCGATTTCCCTGAAATTTACCCCATTTTTCCGCTTGACATTCGGTCATTCGTTCAACGATGAGACTCGAAAAACTAGAAAATGAAAAAAAACTTCGACTTTTACCAAGATTTTCCAAGATTTTCCAAGATTTTCCAAGATTTTTGCTCGATTTTCCCCAAAAAACCACGAGATTTTTGTGTTATCTCTAAATTGTCCATCAATTCATCACTTTTCGAAGAGCAAAAGTTGAAGGTTCAGCCAGGAGGATTCCCATAAATCGACAATCTCAAATCTCAAAAATCAAAAATCAAAGAAAAGCTGGTATTGATTGAAAACGCAAAGATTTGCTGGCTTTTCTGAAGAAAAGAAATGAAAATTTGAAAAAACAGTTCCTAAAATCTGTCAAAGTATAGAAAATTTTCCGAAAAATCATCATTTTTCATCATTTTTCAACGATTTTCGGTGAAAAATGGTGTAAGTCTGTGCGTTCTTTTGCCTTCACCCAAAAAAGCGGCATCTGGCACACGGCTCGCAAAACCCGTGCGTTCTCTCGTGGTCACCCGAAAAAAGCAATATCTGGCACAGAGCTTGAAAACCCCGTGCGTTCTCTCGTGGTCAGCCGAAAAAGCGGCATCTGGCACACAGCTTGCAAACCAGTGCGTTCTTTCGTAGTCACCCGAAACAATCGGCATCTGGCACACGGCTCGCAACGCCTAGGCGTTCTTTCGTGGTCATCCGAAAAAGTGGCATCTGGCACACGGCTTGAAAACCCCGTGCGTTGTTTCGTGGTCACCCGAAGAAAGCGCCATCTGGCACACGGCCTACAGCGCCCGTGCGTTCTTTCGTGGTCATCCGAAGAAAACAGCATCTGGCACACGGCTCGCAATGCGGTGCGTTCTTTCTTGGCCAGCCGAAAAAAGCAAAATCTGGCACATGGCTCGCAAACCCCGTGTGCCAGATACCGCTTTTCTTCGGGTAACCACGAAAGAACGCACAAAACGATTATATAGACGGATTCACAAAAAAACTTCAGACGCTACTTTCTCACCCTAAACTAGACTTTCACCAAATAAACTCTATATTTATTTGATAGCATTTTTCAAAGCGCATCTTTTGACATAAAAATGAGCTCAATTGGTCCAAATATGACTGACAAAAAGCTGAAAAACTAAAGCACTTGGTTTTGCTTGTTTAAAATCGAAAAATTTTTATTTGAAAAGAAAAATTTGTGCTTTTCTCTGTTAAATCACAAATTTCAATAAAAAAAACCCGTTTCTAATTGAATTTACAAAGGAAAAGACAATTTTTGGTGTCTTTTTTTGACTTTATCTTTGTCTAAAGACAGCTAAAATGCTAAAATGCTAAAAAAGCTAAAAAAATGATGCTAGAAAAGCTGAAACACAACAAATTTGCATATAAAATTAGCATTTCTAGGATTATTCTCCAAAAATTCGATCACTAATCATTTTCTCGATGCTCAACGTCATTGCAAACAAGACTTTTGTCAAGGAAATCTCTCGAAATCGACAAACTTTTGTTTTCTCTTTTCTTTACTCGACGATCTTTTGAAATCCTTTGAACTTTTGATTCAAGGAAAATATTTTTTCGACTTTTGAAAATCAAAAATACTTTTGCATGAGTCTAAAAATAGAGCCAAGTACAAAACGTGAACTTTTCTACGCGCAAATATCGAAATGATCGTCTATCTTTCAACTGTTAAATCTTTTAAAATCATTTTTGTTTATGGATCTATGAAATTGAGAGAGAAAAACAAAATTTCGAGAACTTTGCGAAGCAAAAAGGGAAAAGAAATGAGAGTTTTCATGGAGAAACGCACGAAAAATGAATCATCAATGAGTGTAGACAGTTTTGTGGACTTTTGTCTACAAGTTTGGTTCCTTATCTCTCTCTAAATTTGGTTCCTTATCTCTCTAAGCTTGCACCTTATTGCTCTAAATTTGGTTCCTTATCTCTCTCTAAATTTGGTTCCTTATCTCTCTAAGCTTGGTCCTTATCTGTCTCTAAATTTGGTTCCTTATCTCTCTCTAAATTTGGTTCCTTATCTCTCTAAGCTTGCACCTTATTGCTTTAAATTTGGTTCCTTATCGTTCATTATCTCTCTAAGCTTGGTTCCTGATCCCTCTAAATTTGAAACTTGCTTTCTTATTTCTCTAAACTAGGTTACTTATCTCTCTAAACTTCCTGCCTTATTCCTCGAAACTTGGCTCCTTATCTCTCTAAATTTGGTTTATTTGGCTACAAGTTTGATTCCTTTTATCTACAAATCTGGTTCCTTTTCTCTACAAACATTTTTTCCTTCATCTTCTAAACAAACCTAAGCTAGCACACTTAATTCGGTGATAACTACATTTCCGATAGCTTTTTATTAGTTAACCAATTGAATCGCTAGCTTAGAGATTGTTTTCTTTGGTTTAAAAGATGAAGGAAATGTTTCCTAGCTTCATTTTTCTTTCTTTTCTTTCTTTTCTAGTTTAATTTTATAAAAATTAGACAAATTTATGCACAAAATCCACTTTGAAAGAGTTTATTTTTAAAGGATTCAAAGCTAAACTTGTGAACACTCGTTTGAGCTATGGAAAAGATCATTTCCTAAAGAATATCCCAATCATATTATTTGCAAATAGGCAAAAATTGCTTAAAAATAGCCCCTTCTTGAGCCGGAAGTGCACAAAGCGTCAATATTTTCAATTGAGCAAAAAAATAAGCTCTTTAGCAAATCTTTAAATAAGCTCAAATTTCAGCAATCTTTATTCGAAATTTAGACGCTATAAAACACTAGCAAACTGGTTTAGAACTAGATTCTTACTTACTAATTGTTCTGCCCACTCTACTGCTTAGCTGTGTAGCTAAGTTGTGTAGCTACCTAGCTGTGTAGCTACCTAGCTGTTTAGCTACCTAGCTGTGTAGCTGCCTAGCTGTGTAGCTGCCTAGCTGCGTAGCTACTTAGCTGTGTAGCTACTTAGCTGTGTAGCTACTTAGCTGTGTAGCTACTTAGCGGTGTAGCTACTTAGCTGTCTAGCAACTTAGCTGTGTAGCTACTTAGCTGTGTGGCTACTTAGCTGTGTAGCTACTTAGCTGCTGTACTTAGTGTAGCTAAGTTACGCTTGAAACTCTAATCTAGAGCTATTTTCCGATGCTTTGAACAAAAGAGATTCCTTTTGAAAGATCTAGCATCAAGAAATGGTATGAAAAAAGTCGTATTGATGCGAAATTTGATTTCATTTTCTGAAAACTTTAAATAAGCTCAAATTCGAGCAATTTTTATTCTGAGGAAAGGCGGTATGTTTCGATGACCAGAGAAAAGCAGCTAAATTCCGATTCAGGACAATGAACCATCATGAAATCCCAAAATCTTGATAAATGCAAAAGAATCTGCACGAAGTGGGATTCGAACCCACGCATCCGAAGATACCAGAAGACCCGAACCCGCGTTGCCTGCGGGAAGCTGCTCGCTTGAGTCTGGCGCCTTAGACCACTCGGCCATCCGTGCTGTGTGGAGGGGTCCGAGGAAAGGCGATAAGTACAATCAAGCAAGTCTTCTTTCCTTGTTATTTTGTTTACTATTTACCTTCACAAATCCCCTGAATAGGTTTGGAGGGAAATTTGTAATTTTGCCAAATAACGAAAGTTCATACAGAACTTTCCTTGTTCTCAAAATTGATGCTCTTTCTAAAGCTTTCGATCTACTTTTAAATCCCATTTCCTGCCGTTTTCTTCAATGAGCTCATAACGCAAAAACGTTTTGTACATTTTGTGATAAACGAAAAACGAAAAAAACCCCTCCCCTCCCGTCTAAAGTTTACCTATTTCCACTCATCGACTGGGAAACAAGAATTTGAAATCCCAATCCCATCAATCAACGATTAGGAGAAAATTTTGGGAAAGATTTCAGTGATATCCCAAACTTTTACGGGTTTCCGGAAAAAACCCGTGAAAATTCTCAAGAAAAAGAAAAGATTGGATAAATAAGGAAAACCAAATCAAGCAAACATTGAATGGAAAAAGAAAAACGATGGGGTTGAGTTGGTAGAGTTTTCCACACCAAAAAGAATCATTTACTCGCTTTATGATTGAGCTGTGGAGGGGACTTTATTACGGCTTCAGGCCACAATGTCTTTATTACAAGTCCAGGCTAAGGTCGACGTCAAAAGTCAGAGACTAACCTTGTCCCTAGCTTTGTTCTGGATCTAGCTCTAATCACGGGCTATGCTTTAGTAAATCTTTCGGCGACTCTAACCTTACGAGCCAGGAGAAAGCCTGGCTCGAATCTGAGCCAGAAGAAAACTCTAGCCTAGACAAGCGAAGACTATTTCCGTGAAATGACGTTTGCTGACATTAAAAGGCTTTCGCAATAAGCAAGAAGCACAAAATAAAATCACTTGTCTCACCCAGTTTTCCCCCAATCCTCCACGTCACCATCATTCCCTTTTGTTGATATCTGATAGAGTTCTGATAGAGTTCTGATCCCCATAACACGAAGTGACTCCTTTGCACTCATAAATCATCCAATTGGGTGACACTTTTCACGACTTTCAGCCTCAATTTTTTTCATATTTCTCTATTCTTCTCGATCACGAGACAGACCAAATTTTAACCAAAGATGAACCAGGGAAATTGATTGGATCAAATGAATTTGAGGAATCGACTTTATTTGACAGTTTAAAGCGTTCAACTTTCACAGCTGAAAGTGAAAGTGTTGAGTAAGTCTAGAACAAAAGTCTCACAAGGCATCAAGTACTCTAGAGTACTAGTATTGTCTCCTGATTCTCTCCTGAACTCCAGTTTAAAACTATATGCTTATCCGCAGCTATTCCGAGTGAGTCTTCTAGTCACTAAGTTCTTCTTGAGTTTTAAGAAAAAAAGAATCACTAATGTAGCCGGTGGGGTTGAAGTATTGATCTCTCGACTAAGATAGAGGACTATTAGCCAGTCGGGTATGGAAGATTTTGTGTAAATGCATAGTTTTTGGATATATCAAGTTATAGATACGAGTGTCACCAATTTTCCTGAGAAATTTCCAGGGATATCCACAAAACTGTCATTTAATAGGGTTGATGGAAATGATTGATTGGGGGAAAGAAGTCGAATCTTGTTTCGGAGAAGATCTGCTCAAAAATATTGACGCTTTGTGCATTTCCGGTGAACAAAAACTATCGTAAATCCACGAATAGAATGCGGACAGTCGTGTAGTCTAACTTCTAGAAAATCTTTCTTTTTTTCAACTCCTACCTTTTTCTCAACTATACTTTGAATATCAAAAAATACTAGATTTCAAGGGCTATCGTTTGACGTAAAAACGTACATTATAGCATAAAGTAGCGCCGAGAATGAGACGTTTAAAGTTAGACTACGCGATTGTACGCTCATTTGAGAGTATTTAAAATAGTTATAAGAAAAAGATGAAAAAGTTTCGTAAAAGATTCTTTAAAGCGAATAAAAATTGCTCAAATTTGAGCTTATTTAAAGTTTTCAGAAAATTAAGTCAAATTTCGCATCAATACGACTTTTTTCATACCATTTCTTGATGCTAGATCTTTCAAAAGGAATCCCATTTGTTCAAAGCATCGGAAAATAGCTCTAGATTAGAGTTTCAAGCGTAACTTAGCTACACTAAGTACAGCAGCTAAGTAGCTACACAGCTAAGTAGCCACACAGCTAAGTAGCCACACAGCTAAGTTGCTAGACAGCTAAGTAGCTACACAGCTAAGTAGCTACACAACTTAGCTACACAGCTAACCAGTAAAGCAGGCAGAACAATTAGTGAGCAAGAATCTAGTTCTAAACCAGCTTGATAATGTTTTATAGCGTCTAAATTTCGAAATACCCCAGTTTAAAGCAGCTTTCAACTTTGATAGACTTTAGAAAATGAATAAAAGAATAGAAAATACATAAAAAAGATCGGTTTTTAAGTGTTTTGAGTACAAAAAGAGTTCTGAGCTCAAAAGAGTTGATTGAAAATGATTGAAAAGTGGTGAAAAAAGCCGATTTTTCATCATTTTGTTCTAAGAGCTGGTTAATGTTAAAAATAAGTGTTATATCTCAAAAAAAAAAATCACCCATCCCCTCTACTTTAATTTGATACCTAAGCGCGCAGAAAGAAATGTCTGAGCGCCGAGATATGAACATTTGTTGGAGTGTAAACAGACTATGTTCTGAGCACAAAAAACGATGAACTGCTTTGAGATGACAATGGCAATTGAATGGCGTTGATGACAATGGAAATTGAAATGAATCCATCAAAATGAAACTTTTAAGGCCAAAATTAAGGCTAAAATCAAGGAAATATTCATTAAAATCAAGCGAAAAGATTGAAAAGATTGAGAAGATTAAGAAAGAGAAACTAAGAGAAATATAGTGAGATCAAAAATGAACAAACATCGAAAATGAACAAGGAATATGACATAAACGGCTAAATGTTTACTAGCCAGTCATTCAGTTAAACGCTTCTCTAAAATTCTTTCAGTCGTTATTTCGAAAATCTTTTTCAGATCATGCTCTGATAGAAGTGAATTTCGTTGAAGGAACGGTAGGAAAAGGCATTGAAAAGGCATTGAAAAGGCATTGAAAAGTGGCTGAAGCGATGAGGGCCTATTTGAAGAGAATGTGGGAATGTGTAAGAAACAGAATGGAAAGGGTGAAAGAACATGCAGAGATCTCTGTAGAAACATAGAGATAGGCCTGTGATGGACAGTGAATAGAATGGTGAGGAATTGAAGAGAACAAGAGGCTAGAGAAATCGATTTTCGGAGAAATGGCGCCAGAAAGAAGGAGATTTCTAGAAAGGCCTGTGGCTGGGGGAAAATGACCGCAAAACTCAAAAATTAAAACTCAAAGCTCGAAACTTAAAACTTAAAACTCAAAACTCAAAAGCTGAACACTTTTTTTAATCCTTTTAACCTTTTCTGCGTACTTTATGCTTTCAATTTCGAAACGCAACGAGTCTAACGCAAGAAAAGCGGGATTTTAGTGCACTAGAAACAATGGATTTTCATTGTACACAAAGTCCACAAACTTCAGCCCAAAGCTCAGCACAAAGCTCAGCACAAAGCTCAGCACAAAGTTCAGCACAAAGTTCACAAAGTAGTCACCTTTCTAGATTCTCTGTGGTACATCAGATTGCGTGCGTTTCCTTGTTGAACTCTTCGTTATCGTGGCTTGAATTAAGTGCTCTAGAAAGGATTTGTTTCAATGTTTTTAAGCACAAAGTATATTTAACGACTAAGTGATGTTGATAGTTAGAAAAAAGAAGGAAAATCTAATCTAAAATAAAACCAAAGCAATACTTTGATCGTTTAAGAAAAATCGAAACCCGAAAATGTTTTTAAAAGCTTTCCAAGCCTTATCAGAAGGCCTTTTCTGGCCTTTTTTAGCCTTTTTGCAAGCCTTTTCAAGTCTTTTCTATCTTTTTTTGCCTTTTTTCTATCTTTCTCTGAATTTTTCGAGTTAAAATCTTATCACTTTGATCAGCTAGACGAGAATTTATGAAAAGAAGAAGAGAAAACGATTTCTAGACACTTTTCTAATAGTATTATGATTTAAATATGTTGTTTTTTGTTGTTTTTTGAGTTGTTTTTTTGTTATATTATAGAAAATTGAAAAAATAAACCTTTAGAAGATTAAGGGAAGAAAATTCTCTTTTTGACAAACTCAATTTTAACGATTTAAATTATTGGGTTGGTGAATTGAAAACTGTGGGACTTTGAACTAAAATTTATTCAACATAAAACCATCAATTCATTCCAAATAATTTCCATTATTATTGACGACTTGTGCCCATTTTATAGACAATTTGCGGATTCCTCTTTCGTAGTAGGGTTTTGGTTTTAAATCGAAAAACTTTCAAAGTCAATTTTTGACTGCTTCTTCCGAATCGAAGTGTTCTCCCGCAAGCTCATTACTCATGCTCCGGAATAAATAGTAATCAGAAGGGGCAAGGTCCGGACTGTATGGCGGATGTGCCAAAAGTTCCCAACCAAGGCTATTTATTTTAGAGCTAGTCAGTTTTGCAACATGAGGGCGCGCGTTGTCGTGGAGGTAATGAGTTGGTAATGAGTTCGAGTAATTTGGAATCATCCAGTTGGGGTTTTACAGGCAATTTGCGGATTCCTCTTTCGTGGTAGGATTTTGGTTTGTGTCTGAGACAAGTGTGAGACTCAGAAATGGAGAACTGGAGATGTCCTAGTTTGAGGACTTTCTTCAAAAGAAACCCATTTTGGTGTCAATGGAAAAGTTGTAGAGAATCAAAAATCAAGCTTATAGCCAAATTTCCAAAAAGATACACTTAGTAGTTTCGCTGGGGAGAGGGCAGGGGCTTATGTAAATGCCCTGCGCCAGATGACGAGCGATTACGAAGCCGCACAAAGAATAGACAGAACACACAAATTTCAAGCGAAACTACTAAGTGTATCTTTTTGGAAATTTGGCTATAAGCCTGATTTTTGATTCTCTACAACTTTTCCATTGACACCAAAATGGGTTTCTTTTAGAAGAAAGTCCTCAAACTGTGAGATATGACAAAGGCCCGAGGCTTTCAATTCACCAATCCAATAGATTTAAAATCTCATTCAGTTTTATTTCACTTTAAACTCCATCCATTACCTTTTAAAGCTTAATTTCCGGTTTATTTGATTTGATTTATTCATTTGCTTATTGTAATTTCAATTTCAAGTTCAATTTCGAGTTCAATTCAATTCATTTCCCCCAATTCTCAGTGTTGTTTCTTCTCGTCGAACTTGCGTCGCTTGTACGGGAAAGTGCAACCAATGCGGAATTGGATTTCTTCCTAAATTTGAATATCGAGATAATTTAAAGCAAAGAAAACTCTTTAGAAAACTTTCTAGAATGAGTATTTCGTTGAAATTTTGGCTAAAATTTAGGCTAAAATGCTAAAATTGAAATCGAAATTCTTTGGCTTATCTCTAGCTTTTTCAAAACACAAAACTTGTTACAATTTTTCTGAAATCTTAATCTTTTGCTGATAAACTGTTAAACTGACTGTTAAGCAATCCCCAGCTCGCCAAAGGAACCAATCCGTGCGTCGACGAACAATATTGTAGTTGAAAAAGGCTAGGCATCTGAAAAATGCTTTTTGTGCTTTTGGAGATGCTTTTGGATGAGATTTGATTTGATTATTTGGTTTGATTTGGTTATGATTTGGTTATGATTAGATTATCATTAGATTATGATTTGTTTTAGGTGAATCGGGGGAATTCCTGAACGGGGAAAAGCCCATTTCGAATATGTTTACGGTGCAGTTAAACGCGTTTCATTTTTCACGCACTTGTTTTTGTTTATTGGAGTTTTTTAGGTGAATTGGTGAATGAGGCTGAATCCATTCTGGCTATGTTTACGGCTGTTTATGTAAAAGACTTTCATTCCCACGCACTTGTTGTTGTTTATTGGAGTTTTTCCCTCAATATATGCCGTCTCAGCGTCGTCGCATTGAAGCGGGCAAAACTCGAGAGCCTCTTTGCGCTTTGGATCGAATTCCTGAACGGGGAAAAGCATGAATCTCAACTCTAATAACGATATTAAAACAAAGATTGTCTAATTTAAAAGCTAAATATCAATTATAGATAAAAGAATAGTGCCTTTCTGTTTGTCAATCTTTAAAAACATTTTCTAAACCATTTTCTAACCAATAAAACCCAATTTTCTTGTCTAACTAAAAGCTAAAGTATTCTGGAATAGAAATATTCAATTACTAGACTATTTTCTTTAAATATCTTCTTTAAATATCTTTAATTAAAAAGAATCTACCGGGAATACCGGGAATAAAACCGTTACTGAACAGAACTCAAGAAAAGTAGTCTTTTTTTTGGGAACTTCTGAGTCAAGGTAGGTTTTAAAATCTTCAACAAATGAAATAATACGACTGTGCAGAAAAGTGCCTTTAAAAGATCGCTTTTATGACGGATAAATTCACTGTCGAATTTGAGGAGAATTCACTGTCGAATTTGAGGATTCGGAAACGCTTTATAGGCTCTTTTCCGTATATTCTCTTCGTATATTCTCTTCGTATTGCTTTTCGTATTGCTATGAAACACTGAACCAACGATTCATTCTATTTTATTATATTTTCTCGCTAGATTAGTATTGTGCTCAGATTCGGAAATCAATATCTAATAATCATTGCCCCCAAATCATTCGGTATTCTCTCACACACTGCACAACGACTCTCAACAATTCCCCCTAGCTTTCCTATTTTCCCATTCTTACCGTAAAACATCCATTGTCATTCAAAGCATCCCATTCGTCGGGATTCCCATCAAATCTCAGACGACAGATCGATGTTTGAGGCGACTGTTGACGAACACATGTATAATTCCGGAATTCTGAATTTAAATCCACAAAAATGAAAAAGATCTTCGCTATTTTATGAATAAAATCCTTCAAGAATGACTGAATTCAATGAAATGCTTAAAGTTTTGGATAAAACTCACGGTTATGACTGTACTCGGCTTCAATCAAAGATGAGAAAACCGATAGAATTAGTAGAAAAATCATCCTCTTTCCTTGAAATGCTCAAAAATCCGTTCAATAAAGCTTTTCTCAATTCCTTGAATGGATTTTTATCTCAAAGATGACCCAATTTCCAAGTCCTGTCTTTGGAAAGTGAAAATGACACGAAAACGAACGAAAAACAAATGGTTTCAATTAATTTTCATTAAAACCCAAAATCTTAATAAATGCAAAAGAATCTGCACGAAGTGGGATTCGAACCCACGCATCCGAAGATACCAGAAGACCCGAACCCGCGTTGCCTGCGGGAAGCTGCTCGCTTGAGTCTGGCGCCTTAGACCACTCGGCCATCCGTGCTATGTGGAGGGGTCCGAGGAAAGGAGATATGTTTCGATGGCCAGGGAAATGCCGATAAATTTTCATTTAGGACAATGAACCATGTACTGTTTAAATACTTAAATAGAGTTTTATTCAAAGCTGAGTAACGAACCTGGATTAGCTACCTAATTTGGCATTGTTGTGTAGCTTTCGTTAACATGGGAAATCCAACAACTCTAACACATTTTCCAGCTAACCTCGAGTTTGCAAAAATATCTGCACGAAGTGGGATTCGAACCCACGCATCCGAAGATACCAGAAGACCCGAACCCGCGATACCTGCGGGAAGCTGCTCGCTTGAGTCTGGCGCCTTAGACCACTCGGCCATCCGTGCTGTGTGCAAGGGGCCGAGGAAAGGTGATATGTTTGATGACCAGGGAACGGCAGATAAATTTCGATTTAGGACAATGAACCATACTGTTTAAATACTTAAATAGAGTTTTATTCAAAGCTGAGTAACGAATTCAACTGGATTAGCTACCTAATTTAGCATTGTTGTGTAGCCGTTGAATTTGATTGTCTTTGTGATACAAATTACATTTGAATGCTTTAGTATTGGCTATTATGCAAGCGATGTTTATAATGAACAATTATTACTGCTTTAAAACGCTTAACTATTCAAAAAAATAGTTTTTGTTTCAGAAAAAAAAAGCAAAAAGTTCGGTCGACGAGTGGAATTGAATCCGCTGGGAAAAATGGCAGAGACTTTTGGTAGAGTCTAGGGCACTATCCGTTAGGCTGTCACTGTTCTTGCTTCTTTTCCACTTAGCGCTCTTATAGGCTAGTTTGTAGTCTGACAAACTTAGCCAAAACTTCGCATGCTTATCTCTCAAACACTAGGACCCAGCAAAAAAATTCTACGGGGCTTTTTGTGGCTAGGTTGAGCTTCGAAAGTCGGTGTTAAGTTAAAAGAGTTCCCTAGTTAGACCTAGAGTCTAACTAGGGAACTCTTTCAACTTCACTCGGCCATCTGTACTGTGATTAGCAAGCCGGGAAAGTTAAAAGGCAATCAATTACATAAAAAACAGGGTTACAGTTTCGGTGAAAAGGATGTTTCATCTAACCACGTACTATTAAAATCCCGGTCATTTGTACTGTGATTGGCGGGAAAAGGCGATAAGTACAAGTAAGTAGTAAAGTAAAGTAACCCATTGCCACCTTTACAATCCCCAAATCAACTGAATATCTTTTATTAAGAGTTATTTTTCAAAAATCCAACTTATATGCAAATTTTCAAACGTACTTATCGTTCTCTCACTTATTGTTTACTCATGGCTTCTTTTAGAACATTTTTCTTGTTTATTTTATGCGTACAATGGCCTTTGACCACAAAGAACTTCATTTATTCAAAGATTTCAATAAAACGATTGAGATTGAGTGGATTTTTAAGTAAAGGTGAGCTCAGAACTGACAAAACACGACAAAACGGACAGAACAAAGCGGACAGAACAAAACGAATCGCTACACGACTGCTAACTTGTCTTGAGCTACTATAACAGATAGCTTTTACAGATTAAACTTCAAAACTACTCTTGAAACGTCTCTTAAAACTTTTCCCAGCACACTTGTGGATTCAGAGGAAACTTAGAACTGTTCGCAAAGTGAGTCTAAACCAAATCTGACCTGATCTGTAACGAATTTTGGAAAAATTCATTTCCTGGCCTACACGTACTGGCCAGCCTGGCCTACTGATGCCTACAGTTTGATCTACACTCAGTTTTAAAGATCTTTAAACGAACTTTAAGATCTTTAAGATCTTTAAGATCTTTAAGCTCTTTAAGATGTTTAAGATCTTTAAGGCCTTTAAGCTCTTTAAGGCCTTTAAGATCTTTAATCTCTTTAAGATCACTTAAATCTAGTGATATCTTCAATCTTCAAGATCTCTTGATTGACAAATGATAAGTGTATGTGTGTAATATTTGAAGCCAATTGGACAGTCAAGTCTTGTGCTTAATGCATCTTTTTTTTGGTTTCTATGAGAAGCTAAGCTGAAAAACAACAATTGAAAAACAACAATCATAAAATCTGTGTATTTTTACATAGAATCTAAGAGCTCAAACATTTTTTTGAAATCATTTTAATAACCCGAACCGAGCAATATAAAAATGCTAATGTAAAAGAGTTAAATTCGAGTTTAGGATCTCTAAAAATCATCTTTTTTTCATCTTTTTTTCATCTTTTTTCATCTTTTCCCGTCTTTTTCTGTATTAATATATTTTTAGAGTTAATTCCTATAAAAGTAAGTGCTTTTTAAGCTCAATTCTTCCTTATCTTTGGCTTATTTTTGCTAATAAAAATGACATTTTTGATAAATTTCATTTTTTTCGACAAACAATCATGTTTAAAGTCTTTTCTGAAGCGAATAAAGTTTTAAATTTGAAAATAAACTCGAATCTAGTGGAAAAATAGCCGTAGATTTGAAATATTTAAACGAAAAACCTGTAAAATCTTTTGGGTTTTTGAGAAAATGATACTTTTATGATAGAAAATGAGAAAATGATAGAAAATGAACCCTGCAATTTCCTCTTTGATCACTTTTAGATCCCTAATTCAAAGTCGTTTTGTGAAAAGAGTTCACTAATCGACACCTGTTCTCCTCCCAAAAGCGTGACAGTATTCAGTTTCCATTAGGTTCCTTCCACCGAACGGGAATTGTGAAGAATGAAGGCTTTTTTTGCAAAGGGAATGTTTTTCGAGTTCCGAAACACATTTCCCATCACCACTAATGGTCACCTTTGGTACAAAATGCGGAAATCAATGCAATCAATGTAATCAATCAATGCAATCAATGCAATGAAATCAATGCAATGCAATCAATGCAATGCAATCAATGCAATCAATCAATGCAATCAATCAATTCAATCAATCAATCAATTGATTTTCATGAAAATCCCTAAAACCTTGATGTGAGCAAAAGTGTGTGCTTTGGCTGAGTCACGTATTTGTCTTTGCTTTTGAAAATACTGTAGGAAGTAGGAATTCGTCGATCTTTGGACGGAAAGTGTGTGAAAACACAAACAATGTCCAAAACCTTGACATTGTTTGTGTTCTCCTATTGTTTTTTTCTGCAAACATTGCGCATTCTCGATACTGAAATAGATACTTTTCTTGGTTTAAATCCAGAACTTTTGTGCTTGATCGGTGTCGAAATTTGAGTTGAGCTTTTGTCTAGACATTGTTCGCAAATGGATTTTGCAGGATTTATTTTGCAGGATTTGAAGATGCTTTCAGATGAAAGGTTCCAGGGTTTTGGAAAACTTGAGCTTTGATTTGAGCTTTGAGTTGAGCTTTGAGTTGAGCTTTGATTTGAGCTTTGATTTGAGCTTTGAGTTGAGCTTTGCTTTGAGCTTTGATTTGAGAACAAGCATGAGAACAAGAACACTTTTATGGATCCTGAACTTACTGTAGTAGACTCTTTTGCCAGTGTACTGTAGCCACAACAGTTTCCTTCTTGTAAACTTCTTGTTATACTACGGTATATTGTAATTTATTCAACAATGTACCACTGTGAACTTCTCTCAGTATAATCGCTTGCTATTATACTATCAAAGCATGCTGTAGCTCATCTAACACTCTTGAAAGAGTGAAGGGAAATTTGCTGGTGTACTGTATTACCCGAATAAGTTATCAGATCAGCAGTAAGCCAAGCACTGGCCTGATCTTGTCTGGTCTAGAGTGTTAAACTAGTGTTAGATGATCTCTACAAGCGGTGTCAGATGATCTTGGGATACAATAATTGTAAGTCTACAGTGTAATTTCTTAAATTTTATCTACTTGACTCTATAAACTTGAAATTTTAAACAGTTTATAGCTAACGATTTTGATTTTGATTTTCTTCTTCTTTTGATTTTGATTTTCTTTGATTACTTTTGATTTTCTCTGATTAATTTTGATTTTCTTTGATTAATTTTGATTTTCTTCTTCTTCTCATTGAAAGAAAAGGCTTTAGATTCTACATTTAACATTTAACAAACAGCTATTTAGCTAAATTTCCTTTAGATTGTTTAGGAACACTTGGAGAAAGACAAAGATAAGAAAAAAATTGGGGGAAGTGAGCAAAAAGCAAGAAATGAATGAAAAGAAGGGAATGGGGTTGCAGAAGGAAGAAAGGAAGAAAGGAAGGAGAAAGGAAGGAGAAAGGAAGAAGAAAGGAAGACGCTTTTGTGCCCGATATTCACACCACACAAGCCTCGGTCAAGAAGGAAGGAGATTCGTGAATTCCCAGGAAAACAATAAGTTCGTTTTGGGTGTTCCCGATCTACCCGTTCATTCTATCGTCGTTCTACCTTTGAAATTCATTTCCCGACTTTGTACCTAGTGAATTGCAGTCTGTTCCAGTCTATTTCAATCTATTCCAGTCTATTCCAGTCTATTTCAATCTATTTCAATCTATTGTATCGTAAATTTGATAGAATTATAGAACTTATCTCTTTCAATACCCTTTTATAATCAAATTTTCTGTAAAGGATTTCTTTTTTCTTTCTTTTCTTCCTTCTTTCTTCTTTCTTTTTCACCTTTCTCTATATTTTTCATCGTTTACCGTATCCATAGCTTTTTCATGTTCTCTAAAAACTAAGATTCATTAAGAAGAAAAAATAGGGATCGCGTGAAGCGTGTCGATGATCTATTTGATGGAAAGATTATGGAAAAGATGGGTTTTCATTGAATTGTTTGAGAGAAGATTAAGACCTCAAAAAGGACAAAAAAGGACAAAAAAGGACAAAAGAGAAGCGAAGAGATCTTCATCGCTCACGTTCACTACATCCCTTTCCCCTTTCCTTCCCCTCAATCATTTAGTTTCAGTGACATTTCCCCTGAAATCCCTGGAGAGTAAGCTGCTTATCGAATGCTTATCGAATCCTACTCTTCCACACCTCTCGATTCATTGGAGTCATTTGATACCAGTTCACTAGTTCAATTATTTACTGTCTTTAGATCTTTCCACTATATTCAATTCAACTGTACCTTTGTCTTTCTGTTCAAGAGTACTGTACTAGATCTAGTACAGTACACTTGAATGATCTAGTACAGTACCTTGTAGTAAACCAGTTCACCGATCTAGTACAGTACTCTAGAGTCTAAAGACTACAGTACTTAGTCTCTTTTCTCTCTTGTCTCTTTTCTGTTTCTCGTTTACTGCATTCAGGCTGTGCCTTTCCGTCAGTTTACTGAATTTCCACAAGATCAACATGTTGAAGAACACTAGGAACTTGTTGAACATGTTGAAGAACACTCTATCCTTTCTAGCTGAATCAAAGCAGCTCTCAAACTCTAGCTGATCTAGCTTCTCTATCCGTTCTACCTGAATCAAAGCAGCTCTCAAACTCTAGCTGATCTAGCTTCTCTATCCGTTCTACCTGAATCAAAACAGCTCTCAAACTCTAGCTGATCTAGCTTCTCTATCCGTTCTACCTGAATCAAAACAGCTCTCAAACTCTAGCTGATCTAGCAGAACATCGGGGATGATCGCTTGGTAATCGAATCCTCGAATTCTCCTTTTAAAAAAAAGATCGTGCTGGGATGAAAAGACAAATCGCTAAGGTTTTCGATTGTTTCGTCGACACATTCGGCTCTTTTCATTCCCAATTCCAATGACCCAAAAGCCGTTATTCGATATCTCTTTTGAAACACAGCTGGTAAACATAGGAAAATCGGATCTTAAAGAGAAAATTGGGTCATGTTTAGGTGAAAAGAGTTATATTAGGTTTTTATTGTTTTGAAGCTACACTATTGTAACTTTAGAAGGACGAAAAGTGAACGTCGCCGTCTACGGTAATGGCGCTAACCAGCTACCGTACCCCACGTGAATCTAACTAAAGTATCTCGTCATGGCTAGCTACCGTACCATGCCGTAGCTACTATATCCTAGGAGCTACCGTATCCTGCCGTATCTACCGTATCCTGGTGTGGCTACCGTATCTAGCCGTAACTACTGTATCCTGCCGTAGCTACCGTATCTAGCCTAGCTACCGTATTCTGCCGTAGCTACTGTAACCTGCCGTAGCTACCGTATCTAGCCTAGCTACTGTAACCTGCCGTAGCTACCGTACCTGCTGTAGCTGCCGTACCTACCGTAGCTACCGTATCCTATCATAGCTACTGTTCTCGGTTACGGTAGCTATAAATCTTAGGTATCACTCTTCCAATTTCGATTCATTTTCCGTTCCGCCATGGCCAATTGGCTAAGAACCTAGACAAGAGATCAAGGGTTCGATCCAGTCAGATTATTAGTCCCTTTCCATATATAGCTTTACCCCTACATTCAGGACTTGCTTTTGTATTGTTTGATACGTGTATTCGTGTGAATAAAATACTATTCCTACTATCCCTATGCGGGATCTATGACCTTGCTTCTTTAAAGAGTATTTCCCAGCTTGATGAGTGAAGAGAGTACACCACCCTTGTAAGGGAGATTCAAGGCAAACACTCATAACTAGTCACGGCTGTTGAAGAGAGAGCTCTCTCTTGACCTTTTCCTATGATTGTTGTGTCATTGATAGGCTCCACTTGAGCATCTTGTTGTTTCTTTTAGAGAGAATCGATGGAACTTCACGGATCTCAGTGATAGTACAACCAACAGGGTTCTAGCAGATTTTCTAGCAGACTACTATAGTAATCTTAAGCCTAAGCAACAGTTATCCTTATTTTCTTCAAATATTCAACTAATACAGTAGATTACGATGGTTCTATTGTTTTTCTAATCACAATCAAGCTACAGTAACTAGGGATAACTCTGGTGTACTTTGTGCTTTGTTAAAATCATCACTCTAGTGCATCAGAAAGGATGAGCTTTCAGGGTTGGATTACGGTAACTTTTCTGCTTACTATAAGCGTCAATAACAACTACCGTAATCCTAAACTTATCTAAAATACAGTAACCTTTTCGATTGATCTTTTTCGATCGATTTCTATTAGAGATCGATGGAACTGACTGATCTCAGTGTTAGGACAATCAACAGGGCTCTAGCGGATCTTCTAGCAGCTCTAGCAGATCTTCTAGCAGCCTACTATAATAAGGAGCCTATACCCTTAGCCTATACCCTTAGCCTATAGCCTTAGCCTATACCCTTAGCCTATAGCCTTAGCCTATAGCCTTAGCCTATAGCCTTAGCCTATAGCCTTAGCCTATAGCCTTAGCCTATAGCCCTTAAGCCTAAGCAACAGTAGTCCTTTATTTTCTCCAATCATTCAATCATTCCTTAAAATAAGACAAGAATGGAGTCCGGGAAAATGTGATCAAAAAACAATGCTCTTTCTTTTCTTTTTCTTTCTTTCCACCTTTTTTTAACCATAGATCACCCAATTGTTCTTAAAGAAGAAAGTTTTCCCGAAATTTCAGACAACGTGATTTTTGAAGAACTTTCCAATGAAAAGCGGCTCTTCTCAAGGGAAATGAAGTGCCTTTTGGGTGAAATTTGATCGCTGAATGTCCCGAACCTGGCTCTCTTTTCTTTTCTTTTCTTTTCTTCCCAACAAGAACGGTTTTTGTTTTGAAGTGACCCGTAACAAAGTCTTTGAATAAACCTTGAAAAGACCTGAATAGTCAAAGCCTGCATCTTTCTCTGCTTCTTTTTCTGCTTCTTTTTCTGGCTTTCTTTCTGATTTTCGATTTTTAATGAGACTTTTGAATGAATCAGCTTTTCCCTCTTTTGAAAAGTTTCATTTAATCTTTTCAAGCCTCACTTACAAGCACTAGAATTCGAGTTTTGGCTTTGAATTTGGCTTACTTTTAAGTGTCTTGCCACTTTATAACTCTTTATAGCATTAGCTGAAATTGTTTGGGAAGATTGATTAAAGCTTCACAAAAACTTCACAAAGCTTCACAAGGCTTCATAAAGCTTCACAAGGCTTCACAAAGCTTCATAAGGCTGCACAAAAGCTTCATAAAGCTTCACAAAAGCTTCACAAAAGCTTCATAAAGCTTCACAAAAGCTTCACAAGGCTTCACAAAGCTTCATAAAGCTTCACAAAAGCTTCACAAGGCTTCACAAAGCTTCATAAAGCTTCACAAAAGCTTCACAAGGCTTCACAAAGCTTCATAAAGCTTCACAAAAGCTTCATAAAGCTTCACAAAAGCTTCATAAAGCTTCACAAAAGCTTCATAAAGCTTCACAAGGCTGCACAAAGCTTCACAACTTCCTGAGCCTACAAAATTTAAATAGAAAGAGGGAAACTAACCTCTTGACTAACAGTATAAAGAGGCAGTAAAAGCTATTGTAAACTACCGGATTGGATAAGCATAGTAGAGGAAACAATCTTATGAGTTTAAAATGTTAGGTGTTCTGCCAGGAGAGGTATAATCGTTTAGTATCACTTCAGATAGATAAATATTTGAATTCGATTCATAACTATGGACTATAGGACTCCGGTTCTCGATTCTAGCGTAGCTATTCTTTCGTACTCATTGCAAAAAGTCTGGAAAGCACTGCTAGTTTCCTAGAAATTAGAGGCGTACCTCTTGAGTACTTTCTAAAATGGATTTATTTGAGAAAAGTAATGTAGTAAAACCGTTAGTTTACATCTAAGCAGTTTGATTTTGACATTATTCGATGAGGATTCTTAGTCAGTTTTACTGACTTTACAAGACTCAGTCAATGATCTAATGTAAACTAACAATTTGGCTTTGGTACTTTTCGAAAATAAGTGCATTTTAGTAGCATTGCTAGCACCCTTCTTTTCATCTCTTTGTTTAGACTATTAGCTTCCTCATTCACTCTTTCCATTTCGTTTCCTGTTACAGTAATGATCTACGGTTAGTTTACTGTTATTGATCTACTGGTAGTCTACTGTTGATCTACTGTTAGTTTACTGTTAATCTACTGTTAGTCTACTGTTATTGAGCTACTGTTAGTCTACTGTTAGTCTACTGTTAGTCTACTGTTAATCTACGGTTATTGATCTACTGTTAGTCTTGATCCACTGTTAGCCTTGATCCACTGTTAATATTGATCTATCTACTATGTTAGTATTCTCCTTAACACTCTATTGATCATTTTAAACCTTCCTGTATGGACTTTTTTGAAACTCCCTCCTAAGTGCATTCAACTATAGAAAAACGTCGTTAGAAAAACGAAAAGAACCATCACTTTCCAAAGTTTACTCTAAAGCCTAACTCCTGTCTGATTCATTCATCAAAAGCATCTTTCTTTTCCTTCTTTCTTTCTTTTTGTTCAATCATGTTTCTAGAGGTTCATTTGATGCTGTATTGATTTAAAACTTTGAAGCTTTTAAAATGAAGCTTTCTTTAGTCTAAAGCTTTGAGAATTCATTTCAAAATCATTTCTGAACTTTCTAATTTTCATTATTTTCAAAATCTTACAGTTATTCGATTTCTAGATTTCCTTCTTCTTCTACCTTCCAATTTCAGTTCTATTCTCGCGATTTCTCGAGATTTTTCCTTTCTTTAATTCACTAGACTTGACCTCTAATCTTCTTTTTGCTTTCAATATGCAAACGTACCCTTTCTGGTACACTTTCTGGCACAATTCTTCCATTTCCTTGTAGAAATCGGTTGCTGTTGAAAGAAAAATGAAGAATTCATTGTACAAGAAAGGTTGAACCTCTGAGAACTTCAAAGAAGCCTATCAGATTTCTATCATATTCCAACATTTTCAGAGATCAATATTATGGGTTTACATGCCCGGGGAGATCTCCTCGTCGCAAGAAGTCACTCATCAACAGCCACTTTCCTTTTCACTTTACTCTTGTTGATACACCGAGTCTCGGCTCAGCTCACTGACATTTGCGATCCATATATTTGTGAGTTTATTGAAGAAATAATAAGATTATCATGTAATAATGAGGATCTAGGCCTTGTATTTCAAGTCTTGCTATTACTAGAAATTTGATCAGGATTACAAGGTTCCTGGATTCAAAAGTGAAGTTAGTCTGGTTGGTCTGATCTGGTTGGTCTGATCTGGTTGGTCTGATCTGGTTGGTCAGATCTGGTTGATCTGATCTGGTTGATCTGATCTGGTTGGTCTGATCTGGTTGGTCAGATCTGGTTGGTCTGATCTGGTTGGTCTGATCTGGTTGGTCTGATCTGGTTGGTCAGATCTGGTTGATCTGATCTGGTTGATCTGATCTGGTTGGTCTGATCTGGTTGGCCTGATCTGGTTGGCCTGATCTGGTTGGTCTGATCTGGTTGATCTGATCTGGTTGACCTGATCTGGTTGGCCTGATCTGGTTGGCCTGATCTGGTTGGCCTGATCTGGTTGGTCTGATCTGGTTGATCTGATCTGGTTGGTCTGATCTGGTTGGCCTGATCTGGTTGGCCTGATTTGGTTGGCCTGATCTGGCTCGCCTGGTCTGGTTAACCTGATCTGGTTAACCTGATCGGGTTGGCCTGATCTGGTTCACCCAATCTGGTTGGTCTGATCTGGCTCTAGAAGCTGGACAAGATTAGGCCTGGATCTGAGCCTTATTACGGAATAGTTAGTTAACTAGTTTCCAATAGTTACGATAGCTATAAATTGAATTTCAGTTTGTTTTGGACCCAATCAATGCAATGAGGGTTTCGAGTGCAACTTGTTGACGAATCAATGCTGTGTCTTCCTCACAACGACGACAACAACGACGACAACGACGACTACAACAACAACAACTACAACCACAACAACAACAACAACGACTAGTTGGTTTTATGAATATTCAATTGTTACTGTTAAAAAACTAACAGTAAAAGAATTCTGTGAGAAAATTAGCCTCTATCATCAATCACAAAGTGTTAGTAATCTAAGCTCAATATCAAGCTCACCGCGAATGGACATTTTTTAAAAGTTGCTGGCAAACGCCTGACTTATTACCAAAGTTCCAAGTGTTATAAATTTAAAAAAAGCCCTTTATCTTGGCATTATTTATCTATCTGGACTTTCTGATTAGATTTAAACAACTCATTTTATAAGCTCTTGAGCAGAGAATGAGCTCAAGCCTCTCTTCAAATATCTGCTATCTTTGACACACAATATTTTCTTCTAGAAAGAGAATCTTTCAATGAAACGTGTGATATTTTGCTTTAGAAATATTATTCAATAAAATATAACAATAGAGAAGTTATACAGCAAGATCTTCTTATCAAAAAAAGCTTAATTTTCTCTTTTTTTTTCGTTTTTCGAATGAATCCAGAAATCTTGTTATAAAAGTTTGATAAAAGAGTTTTTTTTAGTTCTTATTGCTATTAAATAATATTAAATGTTATTTTCTCAAGAAATAAATCTCTTTTTAACATTTTTTTGATTAAGAAAAGTGTCAAAAATGGCAGATCTTTGAAGAGAGGCCTTGAGCTCATTTAAGTGCTTATAAAATGATTTGTACAATCCCAATCGTTAAAGTTCTTTATAGATAAATGATGCCAAGATAAAGGGCTTTAATTTTCGATATAACACTTTGTATATAGCATACTATAGAATACTTTCTATCTAGGATTTTGGAGCTTGAGTTCATTCTCTGCTCAAGAGCTTATAAAATGAGTTGTTTAAATCTAATCGGGAAGTCCAGATAGATAAATGATGCCAAGATAAAGGGCTTTTTTATTTATAACACTTGTCATTTTGGTAATAAGTCAAGTGTTTGAAAGGAATTTTTGCTAAAAAAAAGATTAAAATTCATGATTAGCATTTATTTTTAAAGTTTTTAGGCTTAAATCGGCTTAAATCGGCTTAAATAAGCTTACTAAATCTAACTAAAATTTACAAGCTTAATCAGCTTTACTAAATAATACTTGTAATAGAAAGATTTAAACACAAAATAGGCAAACAATTGCTCGCTTCTTTATTGCACTGTTTATTGCATGAATGCTGAGAATTCAATTTGAATAAAAGATTGAAAATCGCTCTTATTCATTAAAGCATTGCTTGCATTAAAGAATTGCTTGTCAAAAAAACCTTGCTAAACTCAATTTTACCTAATGTTTACTACCCATTTATAGCCTGATACCCATTTATACCCATTTATACCCATTTAGCGACTACAACAACAACGACAAGTACGGCGAGCACAAGCACGATCACAAGTATTGCTTGCAACACTACTAACGGCATTTTTATTTGAAAAAAAAAACATTATTTTCAATGAAATTGTGAAATTGTGAAGTATTGGGTTGTTCAGTTATGAATGCGCGTTTTTTTGTACTATTTTGTAAATTTCTCAAGATACCGAAATCAAGAAAAAGAAAAATGTGAGTATTATTCGAAAGCTGAAGATCTCCTCTACATTTTGAGATAAAAAGTTTTTGAATTTGTTCAGCTTTTGGGCAAATTGACTGCACAAAAGAAGAGGTGGCTAAAAAATGGAAGGGTGCCTTTGGATCAAGTTTTGGCTGGCTTAGGCTTAGGTTCCGCTCAAATTGAGTTAACCGTTTGATGTTTGGCCAATAGATATATCAATACAACTTTTTTTTTTAAATATAACAATTTCAGAGCATCTTTACTTTACTTTTCTTTTCTTGGCGATGATTTTACACCATAAAACTTGAGGAATAGCTAAGCTGGAAAGGATTTTTTCGATTTTTTCGAAAAACGATCTCTCCCTTTGTGCAGTCAATTTCCCAAAAAGTTGAATGAATTCAGAAAGTTTTTTATTCCAAAATGTAGAGGAGATCTTCGAGCTTTCGAATGGTATATAACACTCAGATCTTCAGCTTTCGAATGGTATATAACACTCAGATCTTCGAGCTTTCGAATGGTATATAACACTCATCTACATTTGTTCGATATCTTGAGAAATTTACAAAATAGTAAAAACGCGAATTCATAACTGGACAACCCAATATTATAGTTTAAAATCTAATAGATAATCGGTTTCAATTGACAAATTTCAATTGATAATCAATCCATCACAATCCATCATCCATTTACAATTTGCATCAACTTTTCTGAATGATTAAACTTTGAGAAACTTTCGCATGTTTGCATGAAATCTTCAAATAACCGTTTTCAATTCAATTCTAAACTCAAAAGCTTTCTTTCACTGAATAAATAGTTCATTTTCAGCGACAACAACCGCTGCCTGCGTCGATAAAGCATGTAAGTTCTTGAAAACAAGTATAAGAGTATAGATAAAGATCATGAAATCCGAAATTTCAGCTATAAATGGTATATCGGATTGCGCAAGAAGAGCTTTTCTCTGCAATAGCGCTGAATACTTTGCGGTGATGACAGAGGAATGTGCGGCGACTTGTGGCAGATGCTCAGCAAGTGGGGGATTTTAATTGAGAGAATTAAAGATCTATCAATTTAAGCTATTGATTACTCCAGGACTGCAAGCCAGAGCCAGAGCAGGGCCAGGATCAGGGTTTAGCTCTGGCCTTGTTCTTGATCCTGATCCTGGACCTGACTCTGACCTTGATCTGGTCCTGGCCTTAGGTCTTGATCTCGGCCCTGGTCCTGGTCCTGGTCTTGGTCTTGATCCTGATCCTGGATCTGGCTCTGGCCTTGATCTGATCCTGGTCCCGGATCTGGCTTTGGCCTTGATCTGGTCCTGCTCCTGGTCTTGATCCTAATCCTGGATCCTGGCTCTGGCCTTGATCTGGCCCTGGCCTTAGGTCCTGATCTCGGTCCTGGTCCTGGTCCTGGACCTGGACCTGGCTTTGGCCTTGATCTGGTCCTGTTCCTGGTCTTGATCCTGATCCTGGTCCTGGTCTTGTTTCTAGTCCTGGCCTTTGTCTAGACCTGACAAGGCCTTTGCCTCTAGTTTCGGCCTTGACTTTTTCTTTGTCTTTAGAACAACCCTAGTTTCTTCTTGATTGGTTTAACTGAAAATCCTTTCCAGCTTGCGTGGACAATGGATCGAATTGCCTCTCGCAGCTCGCTTTATGCAATCTTCCCCAATACTACAGTGTCATGTTGGCGAATTGTGCGCTGACTTGTGGCCTTTGTTCGTCACTTTTAGCATCGAGTACAAGTGAGTTTTGTTGTTATTTTAGAAAACCCATCCTTTTCAGCCTGTGTCGATCAGGGTAGCGGATGTGCCGAGCGTTCCTATCTATGTTTTGAGAACGGTTATCGTACCCTGATGGAGCTTGAATGTCCATTGACATGTGGATACTGTAGTGTGGTAAGATCTAGTCAAAAAAGGATACTATTCTGTTATTTGCTATGTTAGGCTTGTTCTGAAAATACTAAAATCAAAATCAAAATGAAAACCGAAGCTTTAGGCCACGGACAACTTTGCTCTCCAAGCAGCCTTGCAAGTGAGCTTTTTGAGTAGTTCTTCTTTTCTCTGAAAGCTCTCAAATTGATTCCAAGAGTTTAAATATTGATTTTTTTTCAATTTAGGCTCAATTATCAGCTGCTCAAGTGGTTTATGAGTTGCCGTCGGCTTCAGTGCTGAATGCGGTGAGCAACGCAATCTCGTCAGGAGCCGTTCAAAACGCCATCAATGCTGCAAATGCGATCAAGAATGGGCGTAAGGGATAGATTGTTTTTAAATATATGAAAATATTAGCGTAAGGGATAGATTCTTTAAAAAAATATATTAAATAGTAAACGAAATGACTCACTTGGAAATAATGGGGTTTTAAAAATGATTGTTTGAGCCAAATGAGTTCTAATTTGTATGAGCTCGATAGATCTTTCTTTTCTCTACACAATAGCTTTTAAGAAATCGCGAAAAGCTTTTATTTTTAAACATTTTAATGCAAAGAAAAGTTGTAAAAATCGACAAAAATAAGCGATTTATAGCATTTCTTTTTGTTAAACAAAAACTTATCAAGCTTCCTTGAATCTCTTAAGCTTCCTTGAACCTGTTAAGCTTCCTTGAACCTGTTAAGCTTCCTTGAATCTCTTAAGCTTCCTTGAATCTGTTAAGCTTCCTTGAACCTGTTAAGCTTTCTTGAATCTGTTAAGCTTCCTTGAATCTCTTAAGCTTCCTTGAACCTGTTAAGCTTCCTTGAACCTGTTAAGCTTTCTTGAATCTGTTAAGCTTTCTTGTGTCTGTCACTCTTTGTATGATTCGATAGATCTTTCTTTTCTCTACACAATAGCTTTTAAAAAATCGTGAAAAGCTTTTATTTTTGAACATTTTAATGCAAAGAAAAGTTGTAAAAATTGAAAAAAAAAAAACGATTTATAGCATTTCTTTTTGTCAAACAAAAACTTATCAATTTGACATCAATTTGACAACTTTTTCAACAAGAACTCATTTCACTTTTTTACGCAAAAGAAAGACAGAGATTTTCTAGATTTTCAGTGAAATTTACAAGAAAATCCATTCAGCCGTTTTTTCTGAATTTCTGTTTGAATTTCTGTCTGAATTTTCGTTTAAAAAAGAGGATTTTGGATAAAGGATTTCCTCAAATAAAGGATTTTGAGCAGATTTTGAACATTTTAATCGCTCTGAATCACTTGAAATTTGTAGAAAACGAGATTTTATTGGAGATTTTACTAGAAATGTAACATAGATTGATCTTTCTTTGGCGTAAAGAGTTAGTTCTAATGAAAGTTTACTAGAAATGTAATAGAAATTGATCTTTCTTTGGCGTAAAGAGTTAGTTCCAATGTTAGTTTACTAGAAATGTTAACAGAGATTGATCTTTCTTTGGCGTAAAGAGATTTCTTTGGCATTAGTTCTAATGTTTCCAAAAGTTCCCCATCGATTCTCTCAACAATTTTCTCTGCTCGCATTTGTGCTCCCTAAAAACGAAAGCTTTTCTAAATGGCTAGCAATCATTTAGAGGAAAGATAGATCCTTAGACTACTGTAGACTTGTAGACTTCTGTAAACTACTGTAGACTTCTGTAAACTACTGTAGACTTCTGTAAACTACTGTAGACTACTGAAACTACTGTAAACTACTGTAGACTTTCAATAGTTCAAACGGGCAACTTTTTCTATGAGAAATAACTCTTTCCTTCATTCATTCTGTACTTCATTTGCATTCAACATTTGTAAAAGCAATTTTTAATCAAAAAGTGTAAAGAAAAAAAGCTATTTTAAAATCTAAAATGATAGAAATCTAGCTAAACTATAATTGTAAATAAAATTTAATATTCTGTAAGCCTTTCAGAGCTCAAGATCCCGACAGTGCGTACGGGCACTCTCGTAACGACAAAGACGGATGATGGAGACACTTTCTATCAGGTAAGCTTTTCAAAAAGGATATTTGGCTTTGTGTTTAGCTTAATCAAATGCGAAAATTTTATCCATTCAGGTGAATTGTAATGGAAAACGATGTAAACCGACGAAGAAAGTGCACAAGGGACATGGCTCTTCGGTAGGCAATTTACTAGATCACTGTAGACTTCTGTAGACTTCTGTAGACTACTGTAGACTTCTGTAGACTTCTGTAAACTGCTGTAGACTTCTGTCAACTTCTGTAGACTTCTGTAGACTTCTGTAGAGTTCTGTAAACTGCTGTAGACTTCTGTAGACTACTATAGACTACTCTAGACTACTGTAGAAATTTTGCACCTTTTCCAGGAAATTCTGCACCTTGGTGGCCCGCCTGAAGAGCTGAAAGCACCGGATTTCAGGAACAGTGCACCGGATTTTGGTTGGTGACTTTAGATTAGAAGCTAACTCTAACATAAGCTTAGCTTTAAATATCGAATATCTAAAGCCTTATAACGTAAACTTTAAGGCAATCAAATCCCGGCTTTCTCTCCGGAGAAACCCTTCAACCATCAAATCCTTTCCATCCCCGCAATGCCCCCGATTCCACCTGTGTCAACTGGTGAGTGTCTTCAGAGAAGATCTTGAACAGAATGGACAATGCTTAAAGTTAGAGAGCTTCATTCCCTGGAAACAGTAAAGAAAGGCGAACTGAGAGCTTACTAGGGTTCTTTATTTGCTAAATAGCCTATTTTGTTTCCTAGCTGATTCCAAATAGCTAGATTTTTGTGTAATGGATTCAAGTTCTTAATTTTAATCCCTTTGAAGTTGGTGTGTAAAAATGAAAGCTTTTGTGTTGCGTGTTGCGCGATTTATCTGACTGCGCGAGTATCAAACGACCTTGCGTCCATACAATGGCCAAGTGGTCAGTGCGCTGGGCTCCCAACTATCTGACCCTGGTTCGAGCCTTGACTCGGATAAAACTTTGCTTTTCTTTACAAACTTTTTTTCTTTGCAAACTTTGCACCTCAGACTTGTCTCAAAGAGTTTTGCCAGGCATTTCAATCGGAAATTGAGATTTTGAAATCCCGTTTGAAGTCAAAATTGGTTTCAAAGCCTATTTTCGAATCTCGGACTTTAAAATGATCAAATTTCCATGGGGTTTGTTTTGAGCACCTTGTCTATTTAGGTCCCAACAAACCTCGCTCAACCCATCGGTCTCGTGGTGTAGTGGTTATCACATCTGTCTAACACACAGAAGGTCGGCGGTTCGATCCCGCCCGAGATCATTTTTCCTTTTTGAACTTGAATTTTTTGATAACAGAGGCTAGAGGCTTGCGTTAATGATACGACAAATATTACAAAGTCGCTTTTAAACAGACAGAGATTATAAAATAGCATAGAAGGGAGGACGTCGGTTCGATCCCGTCGGAGATCATTTTCTGTTTTACTTTTCTTTAGTCTCAAAAAATAATTTCCCTTTCAATTGGCACTAGTTTAAGTACAGAAAGTCGTTAGAAAACTGACAGAAAATATAGAAAACTCCTTCTTTGACCTCCTGTAACTGAAACTCCTTCTTTTACAGAACTTCTTTATAAAACGTTTCTTTTTCAGGCCAAAACCCGTTCATGTCAGTGACACCAGCTGGTCAAGTCCCCGATGAGGTGAATCATCAAACTTTTCTTCAATATTTCATTAGGGTGAGCCGAGCATCCGGGAAAGTTAAATGGGAATGCTCGGAATGAATGAAATTAATGAAATTAATGAAATTAATGCAACGTTGAAATCAGAATGAATGAAATGAATGTAACGTTGAAATCGGAAAAGTTTCCTTCACTCTAACAGTTTCACGGCTAAATAGCACGAAAAATTGCAGTAATTGGAGAAAACGATCATGTTTTTAAAGTTAATCACACGTCACTTCACCAACTTATTTGCTCATTTTCTTCGTTTACTGGCTAAAGATCTTTGTTTAGCACTTAAACGTACCAAAAGTGGCTCCACACATGCCGATGCCGGCTGCAATTCCATTCTCGGGAATGATGCCCATTCCTGCAATCACCCAATCTGCTCAATCACCGATAAGCCAACAGGAGCTCAATCCGATCTCGAATTTGGCTATGGTGAGTTGTCAGCTAGATTTTCGAATATCTTTGTGTTGGGGTTTTTGAATTTAAAGCTTTTTTATATCATTTGATGCGCCAAGTCTTTCTCTGTCGATTTGTACAAAAAAATATTGATATTGAACAGCTAAACACCAAGTAATTTGAGCTTAAAGTTCGATTGCCAATGGCAAGCGTGGGACTCCCAAAATATTTTCATCAAATCTAATCACTTTCAGTCTTTCCCCGGCCCGCCTCGCCTTCCACTTGATGTGGCTTTCACCAATCCGAAGAAGGGACCAAATGAAGTCGATATTAGTCAGGTATAAGAAAATATGACAATACCAGCAGTTTTGCAACATAAAAAAAGTTTTTGGAGCGGCAAGAGGAGTTGAACCCTCGACCTCTCTCTTTCGTTCGTTTAAGAGACGCGTGTGTTAGCCACTCGGCCGCTCGATGGCACAGTGTGAGCACACTTATCTCTAACAAGTGTGCTCACACTTGTTAGAGACAAGTGTTAGAGACGGGTTCGACTCCCGCCCGCGTCGAGAGTTTTGGTTTTTTTCAGAATTTAAAACCATTTTGCCTAACTAGATGGGATTATAAGGCAAACTAAAGCTGTAAGGGATTTAAAACGGCCTGGGTACGGAGGAGTAGTGGACAGACAAACAGACAGACAAACAGACGGACAAACAGACGGACAGACAGACGGACAGACAGACGGACAGACAGACAGACGGACAAACAGACGGACGGACAGACAGACGGACAGACAGACGGACAAACAGACGGACAAACAGACGAAGAAACAGGCAGGCAGGCAGGCAGGCAGACAGACAGGCAGACAGGCAGAAAGACAGACAGGCAAACAGACGGACAGACAGACAGACAGATACAGCTCTTATATCTAGTAGATTGAACTGTACTGTCCCATTGTTTCCCACATTTTTTGCCACTTTTAGGCCCTTCAAACGCTTTCTCTGAACCCGTTGCTCACATTGTCGCAACTCTTGGTGGGCGTCGGGCAAAACATGCAGAAATTGCAACAAGGTGCACCTGGGTTTGTTTTGTTTGAGAATTCGGGGTAAATCATTCAATTTCAGCCCTCCACCACCACATTTCTCTATGAACAGCCCACTCTTTGTGCCAAGAAGAACTCGAAATTTGAATATGAATGATGATAAGATCAGTGACAAGAGTCGAGAAGTGCTAAAATCGAAAATGGTTTGAGAAATTTGAGACTGATTTGAGAAATTTGATACTTTAAACTCGAAAAATTGATCTAAATTGATTTTTTGGTTTAAAAAGGGGTTTAAAAACGGGTTATAAACGGGTTTAAAAACTATTCTAGCTGTTTTATTCTAGCTTTTATTCTAGCTTTTTTTATTCTAGCTTTGATATAATAGAAATTCTTTAAGGAATCGATGAGAGATTTCTTTGCTGGAAGCGATTCACTCAAGAAATTAAGTGGTTTTTTGACGAAAGCTACTGGCACATATTTCAACTCGACCCTCACAAAACCCGATCGGATTACGGTAATTGAAATAGGAAACCCATTTTAGCATTTTAGCTTTTGCCAAACGAGAAACTTGAAGCTAGTTTGTTGAGTGAGCCAGTGCTGAAGAGAGAGAAACGAAGAAGGGAAGAGGTTGATGGAAAAAGTTTCAAAATTGAATTATATAGAAATTTTCAGAAGAACTCAACAAATCCCGATGAGAGTTTAGATAAAAAGAAGAAGCAAAGAGCAAAGAAAAGGTAGAAAATCTTTTGATTTTACAAAAACGAACATCCTAGCACACTTAAGCACTCATTTTTCACAAAGATTCATAGTCAAAAGAAAATTGAAAGGATTCAGCGTGCTAATAGAGATGTGGTTTGTCTTTTGGGTACAAAGTATGTTAAGGTATTTGATTAGATTCTTCAATTTTGTCAAGAATAGTCAACAAGATCAGTCTAAGCTCTACTTCTGACCTAGATCTCTTCCGTCTGACCTAGATCTCTTCCTTCTAACCTAGATCTCTCTTTCAAACGATCCACCATCCCAAATCCCGATTTCAGATACGAGGACACTCTTCTTTTCTTCAACGATGCTGTCAACAAACAAACTCTTGTGACACCAAATATTGACTAAAAAAATTTTGATGAAATTTGAAAAATCTCAAAATTAAAATAGATTTTTACCATTTACACACAATTGATTGTATTACTTTGCTCATGGTTCGCTTGTTTTTTTTTAAAATTTCTTTGTATCGTTTGTATCGTTTTAGGATTCCTGCGACGGGCTTATAAATCTAAAATTTTAAATCTAACTCCTTTTGTCTTTCTTCATCAAAAATGTGCTTTCTTTTTAAGGCTTTCACTTTTCTTTCGAGTTTACGGGTATTTTCCTACACAGTCAGTCTGGCGAAAATGAATAAATTGTTTTTTTCTTGAGACTAAATAAAAATAAAACGAAAAATGATCTCGGGCGAGATCGAATCGCCGATCTTCTGTGTTGATTATGCTACTTTGTAATCTCTCGTTTAAAAGCGACTTTATAATGTTTGTCGTATCATTAACGCAAGCCTCTAGCCTCTGTTATCAAAAAATTCAACTTCAAAAAGGAAAAATGATCTCGGGCGGGACCGAACCGCCGACCTTCTGTGTGTTAGACAGATGTGATAACCACTACACCACGAGACCGATGATTTGGGAAATAGATTGAGGGGGTCAAAAAGGGCAACACCTGTCAAAAACTGATCTGAAAAGAACTGATCAAAAATGGCATTTTTTGTTATCTGTTGCCTTTTAGGCATAAGAGACCAAAAGGATTAAAATGAAAACGTCTATCAAATTTCCATTGGGATTTGTTTTTGACACCATGTCAATTTAGGTCCCATCAAGCTTCTTTCAATCCATCGGTCTCGTGGTGTAGTGGTTATCACATCTGTCTAACACACAGAAGGTCGGCGGTTCGATCCCGCCCGAGATCATTTTTCCTTTTTGAACATCAACTTTGATAACAGCGCACCCTAGAGAGGAAAACTTTGTGTTAATACATTAAATAAGACATTACAAAGCCGTTTTGACACAGAAAGGTATTCCCACTATTGCCCTGGATCTGTATTTTAGCACAAAGAGTGCAGAGATCTTACTTTTGATTTTGACATAAAGTTTATTATACTAATATGGCACAAAACTGGGATGAAAGCTGAAAAGTTGAAGATTCCAAGTTTTTCCGATCTTCATACTTTATATCAAACTCAATTTTATAAAAGACTAGACATGGAAGTGCTTAAGATATTCAAAAATGAATAGTTGACATCAACCAAAAGCTGAATTTTGTGGGAGAATAAATAGCAAAAGATAGTTTCGAGGGAAACCAAGAAAATTACATAAACAACACTTAGAATTCGTCGAAAACATAGCTAGTTAAAGAAATGGTAAGTGTACTTGAGATTCAAACTAAACGTTTTAAGATTGGAGAAAAATTAACAGGTAAATTCACAGCGTTTTAATAAAAAAATGGGCTAAACAAATTTTATGGCTTACTTGACAGGAGAAATTAAACGATTCAGCACCAGCATGATCCTTCATCGGTTTTGATTTCGCGTGGCTTGATTGGATACATGTGAATGGTGGTGGCTAAAAAGAAAATGATAAATCATGAAAGTGATCTTTTTAATATTTGAGTACCTAAATATTTAAAGTTTCACTTGAAACGATTTCGAACAATCCTACATGATTTTCATCCAATAATTATAATCGACATTAAAGAAACAAAACCTGGAAACATTAAAGAAACAAAACAAAACATTACAGATTGATATGTGCTTGCTATCTAGCACCGACATCCACTTGTTTCTGCTTTTTCGTGCAATTTGTCTTTGAGTTTCACTTCGTGGGCTAAACGTTGCAAAACAAACGTAAAATGTCATGCCAATTTGCAACTCGAATGTTGCCCTACAGCGGAAATGCTTTAATAAAATTCATAAACCAGCTAAATCAATCACGTGCCACACTGCTTGCTATACTTTAGTCAACTTTAACATGCAATAATATTTATAGCGAATTTAAACCTACTTTCAGAACGATCATCCCGATCGTTCATGCCGGGAAGAGCTGAGGCAATGCGACGGAAAAGCTAAAAACAATTTGTGTACTTTAAAATAGCCAATTACTAACCTGTTTAACGTTGTATCCGACTTTCGCCGACGTTTCGATGAACATCACGCTGAGCTCTTCAGCTTTCCTTTCACCATCTTCTATAGTGACTTGTCTAAAGTTCAACATAACAACTATATTATTAAGATTATTAAGTGATAAGAAGAGAAGATTATTAAGATGCCAGAATGGATCTCTGCTGTTTTTCCAGCTAAAGTTAATGAAAATTATCGCTACCTCTTGTCAGATAAATCCGTCTTGTTCCCAACCAACATGATGATCACATCGGCTCCTCTTTCCGTTCGAACATCGTCGATCCATTTTGATGTTTGGTGGAATGAAGCTGCACCTAAAAGGTAAATTTAAAATTGCAAAACAAATTTCCAATTAATATTTGGCAATACTTACTAGCAATATCGTAAACGATCACCGCAACCGTCGAGTCCCGAATATACGAAGGGATGAGTGATCGAAAGCGCTCCTGTCCGGCTGTGTCCCATAATTGCAAACGTACCTAAAAAGAAAATAAGTATGAACTGAACATATTTTAGATCATAAAGTCAAAATGACCAAAAATAAACAATCCCTACCAAAAAAATACAGAATGTAGCTCATTCAAATTACAAACTAGTGTTTTGGTTATTCTGTTTAAGAAAAACATATAACACTCACCGTGCGATCCTCGAGATACATCGTTTTCGACAAGAAATCGATTCCAATTGTCGCCTGATACGTGTTGTCAAAGCTGTCGTACATGAATCGTGTGATCAGTGATGTCTTTCCAACTAAAGTAAAAAAAATTTTGATTAAAAACTTCTAAACTCACCGCTTTGTTCTCCCAGAAACACCAGCTTGAACTTTTTCAGCGGACTTCCGAAGTCTGGATTCATTCTAAAAAAGAGATGTAAAAACTATGTTTTAAAGTGTAAAATAAGGATTGAAAGGCCTGCTAAAGTAAAGAACACAAATGACTTGAGAAGTACCCAAACTTTGAATTTAAAGACTTAATCTCTAGCAAAAAGATATTCATTTGAATAACTGAATATCTTTCTGATTCGTTGAAAGAGTATTTAGCGTGTTTTTGCAAAGATGCCTCATTCCTTCTCATTCGTTTCTTCTCACCTGTCACCAAAAGTTGGTGATTTTTTATTTTCCATCATTTTGTTTGTTACTGCACCAGTTTTGTCGATATCGATCATTTCTCACGTTCACACTTATCAAATCTGCTAAAAACACGATAAACAGCAAAATTCCTTTTCCGTTCAGCCTTTATCGAGTGAGTTTTGACAATTTTGGCCAAAAATAATTTCCCTTTTGCTTGAGGCGCAAATATTTACATAGCCAGTGAGATTGGTGCATTGATCTTACCGCAAAACCTCGAAATCTAAAATTTCGAAACCCAAAATCTCGAAACTCCAAAATCCCGAAATTTCAGTAAAATTAAAATTTATTGTTATCTATGTTTTTTATGTGTTTTTCTTTTGTTTGTAATGTTTTAATGCATATTTTTAAGTTTTCTGATATAAAAAAAGCATCAGGAACGCGAAAAAAGCAGTTTTAGGGCAGCTCGATGATGTTTAAGCGGTTATTTTTGACAGATTTCTTAAGAAAGCGAAAATTTGTTGTTTCAGACTGTTTTATGCGTATGACCTGCTCGATTTCTTCTTAGATTGCGCTCAACTAATTGCACTACCTATTTTAAACGTTTTAGGATGAAAAATAGCAGAAACATATGAACTTTAGATCCAAACAAAAGAGATTTATTTAGCATATGCACAACTTACCCATGAACTCCTTTTTTTCTTTTTCTTCTTTTTCTTCGTTGTTCAACCTCAGAAGTGTTGAGCAAGACTTTAACCACTAGTTTAGCATAATTTAAGAACAAATTGAGCATGCTTGCAGTCTTAAAATAGAGCAGCAAACTTGTTCTTTGTTGAAGAAACGGTCAAAATAACCATAGATAACAGCAAGTTTTAATTTTTTTATTGAAATTTTGCCCGTACACCGGGTGCATCTTTTAGGCATAATTTGTTCAATATTGTATTTTTTGTTTCCTCTTTCATTGCGTGCTCAAGCTCATATTTCCAGGTCGAACCTCCACTAGAGAATGCCGTTCATCAACGCTCCAAGAGAACGAAAATCGTGAGTTTTTGAATGGTTTACGCAAATTGAAGCTTTGAATTCTTTATTCGCTTGTGAATTTAAAGTTTTCACTTATTCACGTAAACCAATTGTAAACAGTAGCAAGGAAGGCTTAATTGATAAATAAATGGAGCAAGCTTTTAGTTTGTTAACTTTGTGTTGTACTTAATTATTGTCCAAATTACAATTCATTCATAATACTACTTGTAAGTAATTGTTGGCACGTAGAATTTTTCGTTTTACAGCACCTACATCGATTTCGAGCAGCCGATTCCGCCATCGGCCTATGAGAGAATCTCTTCATCAACGGCCTCATCGTCGAAGTCTTCCGTTTGCCCCTCTTCGCCAGGATCACTTACATCGATGTCATGGTTTCGTTCGGATGTAAGTAGAATTCTTTATTTGAAGTCACATAAAGTTGGAGACGCTATCATTCTGATGGCAACTGCAACTGGAACACCTTAAAATTAACCTTGAAAAACGAACTATACTTGAAATTTTTAGGAGAATCTCTACCAGTCTCTTCCCGCCAGCTCAAAAGAAAAACGCTCGCGTTCACCGTTCAAATCGCCAAAAAAACTCGTCGAGCCTCTGTACAAGATATGTGATGCTTTGAGTCGAAAATGCAGGTAATTTTTTTGAAGTTGATCTTTATCTTATCTTAAAATTTGGCTTAGTTTCAAGCGAGCCGGTTCTCCGAAGCCACGTACCCATGAAAAAGAAATCGACTTACCGAAGCCTCGAATGCTAGATTTTGAGTCACCAGAAAAATGGGTTAGTTTTATTTGGCGATTGTTTTAAAGTTTGGTTGACCGTAAAGAATATCCAGCCCTTAAAATGTTATAATCTCTAAGCATTTCTCCAAACTACCTAATAATCTATTAGGCTAAAAATGGCCAAACTCATTCCAATATTATTGTTCATGTTCAGGACTCAAATAACCGAGTTGGCTGCCGCGAATTGGACCTCACACCGTTATGTCAAATGTCGCCACTGGAACAGAAAAAATCAACAATTAACTCGCGCAAATTGATCATAAAACGGAAATCGATCAACGAGAAATCTGAGCGTAAGAGGGATTTGCGAATGATGGAAGGAAAAATAGAAGACATTGATCGAAGGGTTTTTTTCTTTTAAGTTTTGTTTGATTTGGTTTTTAGAAAATCATCGGCACGTACAAGAATGCTGGAGAAAATGTGAACTGTTTTGGGTCAGTTCGTGAAAGGTAGATTCTGTCCTATGCTAGTCTTCTAAGCTCTGATTTTAGACCAAATCCATTAAAGTACACGGATTCGATGCCAACGACGTCTCAAAAAGGCTACTCGGAGTTCACTTCACCAATTGCCAGGCGACCTCCTTCGTTTACCACATCCACACCAACTCGAAAGCCAGATGGCGGCATTTATAAGAAGAAAACACCGCTGTGGGTTTTAAAGTTTTATACAGATTACAGAGTACATTTGCATTGAAACTTTATTTGAATTAAAGAAGAGCTCAAGTTGTAAGTTAGAAGCTCTTTTATGGCATTTTTGTGAATTTAAACTTTCTTTTTAGTAGTCGTCATCGATCGGATGCTGCAACGCTTCGCCAAGAGCATTCGCCGCTAAGAATTCTTTCTTCGCCAACAAAGATTTTGTACAACTCTCGCAGAATTAGACAAGGTACGTTGCTCTAGGTTTTGTTATTTTAAGAGTTTAGACAATTTATGGCTAGAAAAGTCAAACAATTTTTGAATTTAGCAGCGACCCGCCGAAATTCGATGCGCATACGGCAGAAAAACGTCTTGGAGGTCACCTATCTTTAGTCAAATCTTGATTCTCATTTGTTTTTCTTGATTGTTTATTCGTTGTTTATTGTTGATTGTTTATTTTGTTGAAGTGAATATTGTTGTCTGTGATTGATGCGAATAAACTTGGGTGAAAGTGTTTATGAGAACTAGCATAATTTGACTTCCTTGCAACAAGTCGATGGCGAGGCTTTCTTTTCGATGTAAGTGATAAGTTCTTTGAGAACCTAGGGTTGTTGATTATTAGCAAGAATCGATGAGAACTCACGTCGTCAAGTGCCTCCTCGCATTCCTTTTTCAAAACAACCGTGAAATCGCAGACTTCCGAGATTTTCTTCTTCAAATACCCCTCCAAATCATCGCCACCGTACTTTTCGGCGTCCTGTAAGGGTTATTTCCTTTGAATTGTTCAGTATTCTCCGACCAACCTCAACCAATTTCTCGCACGCCTCGCAGATGAGTTTATTCTCGACAATTGGGTGAACGGCAAGGGTAATTCCGACAATCACCGCCAAAAGAAGGAGTAGGGTTCTCATTCTGAATCACAAGACAAGAGGGTAGGTAAGTGACAATGGAAATTCTTAAAAAAGTTTATGAGAGAGCAAAAAATTCTCTGAAAGTTCAAAGATCCGTCGGTTCAAAGTCGTCTCAAATAGCAGATCCGGTCGTTCGCTGAGGGATTTATCTTTTCAGCTGTGCTTTTTCTTTTTTCTTTTCTTTCCGTGATAAGCCTCAAATATCAAATTGTCAAATTTTTGGTCTGAAAAGGAAGGAACGTTTTATAAAGATTCGATTAAAGATTCAGGAATTTTAAGTCAATCACAGATGGGGATTAATACCGAGTAAGATTGTGGTATTTAAAAAAAATTCTTCTAGGAAGAATTCTTCTTCCTTCTCTCTCTTCTCATCCTCCAACTCGTCCCCTTCTCCCTTTCCCTCTTCGAGCCAATTCAAACCAAAACCCACGTTTTACAAACAAAAGGTGTCCAGTGGGGTCGAACCCGCGATCTCTGGAGCCGGAGAGATTGGCACTGAGCCATTTGAACAGGTTGGGCTTCCAACTTTCCTGCACTTTATACTCTTGGTGCTCTCGGTTTTCTTTCTGCTTTTAGAAATTGTGTTTTTTAAAGATTTTAGATCACTTTTTTTTTGATTTTGATTTTGGATTTTTGATCATTTTCAATGATTGTTTAAAGAAAATTTATGGAGAAAACAAAATTTGGTACCTCGACAAAATAATTACATTCTTTTTTTTTTACACAATTCACTTTGAAATTAAGTTAATTAAGTCCATTTCAACACAAGCGAACTTCCTTGCAGGCTCGTTTCGCGTCAACTTTTTTGTCGATCCATTTCACGAGATCTTTTAGTTCCTGGAATTTTTTTATAAACCTTCATCTTAACTTACTTCAGTGTAGGATTGAAAGCATGCAAACTAACGGAAAATCTTTCTGATATTGTAGCTTAAAGGATTCGTTTCAAACCTATTTACTTAGCAATACCTACAGAGAAAAGTATTCAACTAGTACTGGCTAACGAGAGCCTACAGTACTCGAGACAAAGCTATATCCGCTACAGTACTCGAGACAAAGCTATATCCGCTACAGTACTCGAGACAAAGCATGGTACAGTATCCTACTCATTATCAATAAATTCTAGTTTAAACTCACATGATCAAGAGCTTTCTTGCACTCGTGCTCGAAGAAACCGGTAATCTTGCAGATCTCAGCGATACGCTTTCGCAAGAACTTTTCCAGTTCCTCGTCACCTTTTTTGTCGGCTTCCTGTAAAGATTATTTTTACTAAGCTAAGAAGAATTGTTTACCTTGACAAGATTTTCACAAGCCTTGCAAAAGAGCTTTCTGCGCTCAACTGGGAGTCTTTCGATGTCCTCGATGTCCTCAATTTCAGCACCCTCACCGATTTCGATACTCTCGCTACTCGCTACGATAACAATTCCAACAGCAAAGAGAAGAAAAAGGGTTCTCATCTCTAAAGTTTATATAATCTTATCAATTTGGCAATATTCTAGAAATTGTACAAGAAGAAAAAAAATCAAAAGATTCCCTAGTTCTTTAGAGATTCTTTTTAAGTAAAAAGTGCAAAAAAAGCATTTTTTTTCTTGTAAAGCAAGCAATGGTTTTGGATAATTCAAGAAAAGATTGAAAGTTTTGGACTATGGTGACTATGGTGCTTGAGAAATTGAAGATATTCACCTATGAAATGCTGCTCGTCACGATCCAACGTTGTTTATAAACCCCCAAATCATCACACGTCAAAATAAACAAAACAAATCTATTTACACTAAATTTGCGTAATTTCAACTTCTATCTACATATTTAGCTTAGTAAACATTATTTGCAAATAATTGAAAACAAATTTCCTCAAAAAAAAAAGCTTATCTGTTATTGTTTTCGCAGTAAAAGTGATGTATTGTTTGTCTTTTTTGAGCTAAAAATTTAGCTTAATTTAGAATAAAGAGTGTTTTCCCCTTCAAGTAATGCGTTTTCTAAAAAGTGTGCTCAAAAAAACGAAATCTACCCGAGAAAATGTCGGATTCCAGTGATGCTTGAGCTTTAGTATCACTTAGGAATAGAGATTCCTAGCCAATTGATAGGAATCTCTATTTTAAGCTCTTTAAATCCATTAACCGTTTGCAAATTGGTCGGATTTGGACCAAGTTATACAAAGAACAAACTTCTAAAAGACGCTAAAAGACTCTAAAAGACGCTAAAAGACTTTTGTCCATACTGTAATCGGTCTGGATTTTCAAGTTCACCAGCTAAAACTGTTTCATTCGTTAAGTAGGTCAGGCCAGATCTAGTCTACCCGAGAAAATGTCCGATTCCAGTGATGCTTCATCTTTATTATAACTTAGGAATAGAGATTCCTAGCCAATTGCTAGAAATCTCTATTTCTACTTTAGCTTATCGTTGTTACATCACTTACAAGAGCCAAGAATAAATGCGATCATCAAATGGTTCTTGAGCCTCGACCAGGCACGGTCACCAGACTTGAAACGGGCACAGAGAAAGCGAGTGGCGTAAAGAGTTTGATGGCAAGTTACTAACTATATCTACAGTAGAGCTGCTGAGTTTTAAAATAAAGTATCCATAAACTAACCGGACTAGTATTACAAAATGTTTATTTGAAGCTAAAGATTGTAGAATTGAATTGAATATTGATATCGATCTGGAATTTTCAAATTCATCAGCAAGCATTCGTTGTTGAATCACTTCCGAATGAAATTTCAAGGTTTTCTTTGTAAACTTACGCAAGAAACTCTCCGATCATTATTTAGATTCATTCTTCTGAAAAAAAGCTGAATATTTTAAGCTGAATATTTGATAATCTTCCATTTCTTGGGTGATATTGATGGAAATTTAAGAGAAGCCTAAGAAATGACTCTTTCAATCGGAAGTCCTTTAGTCTTGCGTAGTTTTGTGAGCATCTTGGGTTCACAATTTGTCAAAGAATTTCCTATTATACAGCCTTAATATTTGAGAGAAAACGAACTCAAACCCCTAAAGGAAACATTTTCAATCAAAATCAAAGTTTTCTACAAGAATGCAAAAATATCTGCACGAAGTGGGATTCGAACCCACGCATCCGAAGATACCAGAAGACCCGAACCCGCGTTGCCTGCGGGAAGCTGTTCGCTTGAGTCTGGCGCCTTAGACCACTCGGCCATCCGTGCTGTGGGGAGGGGGCCGAGAAAAGGGATATCAACTCTTCTCTCTCCTTTCATTGCTTTTATTTTTGGGAAAGAAAAAAAAATCAATTTATTGGGAAACGTTTAAACATCAAATTTTATTAGCAAAAAATGATTTAATCATAAAATTAATAAACTAAAATTCATATATTAAGATTTATTCATGAGATTTGCTTGAAAATTGTCCCAAAATCATGATTTTTAATTAAAAAAAAACTTTTTTTTAAGTTTTAAGTAAAATCAAGGAATTTTTCTTAAAAAAACGATTTTAAAAACGATTTTTGATGAAAAAATGATTTTAAAACGTTTTCTTTAATAAAAAGAATGATTTTAAAACGTTTTTCTTTATCAAAAAGCTTAAAAAAAGCTAAATTTTAATTAGAAATCAGATTTTTTGACTGAAAATTGACTGAAACTTAATAATTTTCAATTTTTTAGCCAAATTTCATATTTTGTTAATGTTATTTAACATTTTATTCTTTAAAAATGCTTATTTAACTTTATTTAACTTTATTTCATTGCTTCTGTATCATTTATCGATCGTTCTTCAATGCGTTTCATGTGAAATTCGGTGAGGAGAGCCCAGAAAGTGAGTAAAACGGAGAAAGTCTGAAATTGAGCAAAAGAAACTAAGAAACTTGCTGAAATTCGAAACGAACCCGCCCTAGTGCACCTAATTCTTTCATATTCTTGAAAACTTACCGTTAAAATTGATGTTTTCGATAAAATAGCGAAACCCCACAAAGAAACGCCCAACTCGGGTTGATCAAGGTGAATCGCGAGTGTTCTTGCTTCGGCTCTCACCTTGAATCAAAAATTTCACTCTTTAAAGATTGGTTTTGACTTTTATCTTATCTAATTATATACACTGAACATTTTAGCGTATTTAGAAACTACTATAAGTCTCAAAATCCTTACATTATCTTGGATTAGCCTATGTAGAGCCGCTGTAAAGCTATTGTAGCCATAGTATACGAGTGTTCACTTTTGTTTTACAGTTCTCTGAATCATGTAGGGATACTATTGCTGTTGATCTCTCTACAGTAAACCAGCTTAAAGAATCTGGGTTACTGTAGAGAAAAAGAAACGCCAAAGGCAGGTTGAACAAGGTGAATTGCGAGTGTTCTTGCTTCGGCTCTCACCTTGAATCAAAAATTTCACTCTTTAAGGTTTAATTGACACTTTTATCTTATCTAATTATATGCACTGAACATTTTAGCGTATTTATAAAGTACTATAAGTCACAAGATCCTTACATTATCTTAAATTAGCCTATGTAGAGCCGATGTAGAGCTATTGTAGCCATAGTATACGAATGTTAACTTTTGTTTTACAGTTCCCTGAATCATGTAGGGATACTATTGCTGTTGACCTCTCTACAATAAACCAGATTCTTTAATCTGGGTTACTGTAGAGAAAAAGAAACGCCCAAATTGAACAAGGTGAATTGCGAGTGTTCTTGCTTCGGCTTTCACCTTGAATCAAAAATTTCATCATCTATTTGGTTGTTCGGATATAGACAAGCGTTGCTAAAGCTTTTAAAGCTTTTAGCTTTTAATATAGAGCGGATATAGGGCTTTGAAAGCTGTTATGAGAGAAGCTGAATCATGTAGGGATACTATTCCTGTTGATCTCTCTACAGTAGCCCAGATTCTTTAATCTTTAGTCTTTTCTTTCCTTTATTTTCTCACTTCTTGATCTTGACTCTCCCAAACTTTCACATTCATGCAGAAAATTGATTTCGAATCGTTAATCTAAAAGAATCTATTAGATCTATTAATTCGTTAATCTATTAGATTTGTTTTTTGATTTAAGATTTAAGATTTCAATGACCTCTTCATATAATAAAGCTGGCACCACAGTCCAAGCATAAAATCCATAAATACAGAAAAGAAGAGACGGCAAAGCGGAGAGGAACTCGTTCAAATTGTGTAAACGAGTTTCGCCGATTTGAATGATTGAGAAGAGAAAGGTGGGAATCGTTGAACCGACCATTAGAAAGGCGTAGATCTGAATAGGGTTTGGCTTTTGGAAACTAGTATTGAAACTAGGCTTTTGGAAACTAGTATTGAAACTAGGCTTTTAGAAACTAGTGTTGAAAACTGTCGGCTTTGTTAGAGAGGCTTTGTTAGAGGCTATTAAATCTAGAATCTAGAATCTAGAGTCTAGAATCTAGAAACTAGAAGGGCAAGCAAGGGTAGCAAGGTCCGTACATCCGTAATCACTCACACTATCATTTCCAGGCAAACCAGGCAAGTCTATGAATCCAAACAAGTCCAAACCTGGTTTCTGGAGGATCCAAAGATTTTTTGGATTAGCTAGGCCTTTAATTAGGCAAAACTGAGCCTGGTTATGCGGCTAAATTCAAAAAAATTGCTCTTTTTATCAGAACAAACCTTTTTTATTCTATTTTATTACTCCTTTTCCCTTACCGCAAAAACATTATTAAATTGCTTGATCGTTGCGATGAGTCTCGAGTGTTTGCAGATTAAATCTTGCAACTCTGACTTCAAATCACGTTTCAGTGTCAGCTAAAGCTTTCTGATTTTATCTAATCTATCGATCTATCGATCTACCTCTCTCAAAAGCCAATTGAAGCTTTTCATCTCATAATATAAAGCTTTTGACAGGGTCACGTACAAATGGATCACCATAAGATCAAGAGGGAAAAGAATCGAATAGACGATCATTCGCACATTCAGCATCCAACCTTGCATGAAGATCTGAAATCGATAAGAAAACAAGAAACGATTAGATTAGATTAGATTCAATCACCCGCTCAGTTTCGTTGATCATCTCTCGATGCAATTCTGCAAAGTAAATAAAGAAGTGACCGAGTAAATGAACGAAAAATTGAGCGATCATCATGAAAAGGATTGTTCCAGTGAAAGCACAGAAACGGATCATCGTTCGGCGATAAGAAGAGGATGAGCGCTAGAAATTTACTAGCAATCTTCCATAGAGCTTTTCCAAGCCAAGATTCCAGGTCTAGCAAAGGTTTCTAAAGAACTAAAGGTCTAAAAAAACCCATCCAGACTATTAATATTCTATTTAGGTCAATAATCATTATCTCTAGTATCACAGATTGAACACTGAGATAATCTATTCTATTCTATTCTTGATTCCGACTACAGTATCCCTAAAATACGACTCCTCAAGCTGCTTTTTGCAATTTCTTACAAGGTTTTTGATTGTGAAGCTGATATTCTTTGAAAATTGTTTTCAGCCATTTCCAGAAACCCTATTTAGCTTCTTAACGTTTATAGAAACTTTAAAACACTTAAAAATCTGCTTTAGGGATTTAACAAAAAAGAAAGGCGGTGAACGGATTCGAACCAGGGACAAGGGTCACCCCTGTCCAGCGCGAAAGACGAGGACACTATCCATTACACTACTCAGTCACTTGTGTTCGCGAAGTAATTTGACCCCATACCCCGGCGGCACCGTTTTTCCCAAATTGCTCAAACTTTAGAAGGCTTTTTCTCGAAAACTAGTTGCTATCAAGTAAAACTGAAAAACAAGTATCCCTTAGAAATTCAAGGTGACATTTCTCCATATTTCAAATCGATGCTAAGTTGAAGCAATTCTCTAGTGAGCCTAGATTGAAATCAAGCCCTAGACCAGGCGAGGCCGAATGCCGCTGAATGCGTGTGTTTCCGTTTTAAGCACTTTGTCACCTCTACTGAAGCTTCTACTCTTGTAGAATCTTCTTGTAAAAGCAATCTTTCTCAACCTCTCTAAACGCTTCAACTCCGAGATCGGACTCAGAAAAGCATTGAAGAAATCGCTCAATCGATCCGTATCTTTGCCAATAGAATAAGCAAACCTAAAAGTTTCCATTATTTCCTGAGTTTCTCTATAAAAACATAGAGAAAATTTGTGTCAAAGTTGACCTTCCAGATAGGAGTCTCGGAGTTTGGGGACTTTTCTATTTCACTCTATAACTCGACTTGCAATTGCCAGATCGACTTGAGGTTGGTTTTAAAATGATCCTTATGAAATTTGGTTATAGAAAAGTACAATTTATTTTGTATACTCTAATGTAAGAACATCGAGAAAATTTGAGTCAAAGTTGACCTTCCAGATAGGAGTCTCGGAGTTTGGGGACTCTTCTATTTCACTCTATAACTCGACTTGCAATTGCCAGATCGACTTGAGGTTGGTTTTAAAATGATCCTTATGAAATTTGGTTATAGAAAAGTACAATTTATTTTGTATACTCTAATGTAAGAACATTGAGAAAATTTGTGTCAAAGTTGGACTACCTACCCGAAAAAGTCGATCAGTTTAGATGGTCTATAATTCGAGGTATAGGAGCTGAGTGAACTTATGGTTGGTTTTATTAGAATCTTCATTAAATTTGGCTAATAGAAAAGTAGAATTTGTTTTGTTTTCATAAATCTCTTCAAAATACCATTGAAAAGCTTGAGTGAAAATTCCAAATGATCATTAAAATGCCCATTGATGTAGCATTGGTAGGACCGTAGAAAACGATAGATAAATCGTGGATCGTTAAAGCAATACCTTAATAAACTTTAAATTATAGCCTATATAAGCTTACTTATAATGCATATTGTAATCATTAACAAAGAGTTTCTTCTTTTGATCCAAAACGAGTCTCCACGCTTGAAACGAAGCCAGAGAAGGCGTGTGAACTGGAATTGAGCCAGAGGCTAGTTTGGCAAACTTTAACTGAACTATTAACTAATAATTTGAGTATAAAGGCTCCAGCTATCGTAACCAAGTCTTCATTTCTATTATCTTTATAGTTTTACGCTTTCTACATCTAATTTCTACAGCTTTTACAGAGTCTACAGCTTTTACAGCTTCCTATCTCTAGTAACTTCCTTCCTATCTCTAGTAACTTCCTTCCTATCTCTAGTTACTTCCTATCTCTAGTTACTTCCCTCCTATCTCTAGTTACTTCCTATCTCTAGTTACTTCCCTCCTATCTCTAGTTACTTCCCTCCTATCTCTAGTTACTTCCTTCCTATCTCTAGTTACTTCCTTCCTATCTCTAGTTACTTCATTCCTATCTCTAGTTACTTCATTCCTATCTCTAGTAACTTCCTTCCTATCTCTAGTTACTTCCTATCTCTAGATTTAACGCTGTTCTTTACTACTTATCTGCTTGGATTACTGTAAAATATTAAGGATTACGGTAATCAGTTCAATGTAAAGTTTAAATTTATACAAAACTTACAATATTATACTGCCTAATTCGTCTTCTCAACTCTCTCCAATGAAATCTCGAATCTGCTTTCTCATACCCAAATAGTCCCATTTCCAGGGTAAACTGTTGAGCGGTGTTCTAAAATTGGAACTAAATGAATCGATTGCACTTTTACATTTCGAATTTGATCGAATCGATCAAATTCGATCGAAAGCCCCCAATCGAATTCCTATCAAAAACAACTCACATACGACCATTTCCTTTCTTGTTTCATAGCTCGAAAAAATTCAATCATAGAAATTCAGAAAATAAACGAATTTCCGTCTTTCCGTCTTTCCCAAATGTTATTTGAGCTCTCTCCACCTCTTGAACCTTTTAAACCTTTCCAAGAATTCAGAAAACCAAATAAAAACCCTTGAAAGCTAAATGAAATTAGCTGATGAATGCTTTAATTTGATAATTGTCTAGCCTGGTTTTGATTTGATTAATTTGATAGTTTTCTGCTTCATTGTACCTACATTCAACAAGTGCAATTAACTTTTTATCTCAAAAATCGTAAATATAAGTAAAAGGATGAACTTCTTACTGTAGGGTATTACAAGTAGAAGGGTAGGCTAATTTCCCGCGTTTTATTTACGCAACAGGGTCATTTGCGCAGCTGGGTCGTTTGCGCAACTCGCCATAACTTTCTCCTAAGTGGGCCAATCTTTATGATGTTATTTTGGTTTCATTTTGTTGCACTTATTGAGATCTACGAAATGACACCAAAATTATAAAGATTGGCCGACTTCGAAGAAAGTTATGGCGAGTTGCGCAAAAGACCTAGTTGCGCCAAAAAAATTGGCGCAAAGTAGCCTATCCCCAAGTAGATGCTTAATAAGCTTCTTTTAGATACAAAATTGCTTAAGACTTTAGATAATATTCGATATTCTATGCTATTTGATTAGTTTTTGAAATGATTAGTTACTTTATACTTTGATATTTCTGTTTGAGCTCTTTTGGAAAACGTATATGATTATGGAAGAAAGGCTGGAAGTCTTAATTTAACTTTTTCTTTCTCTTCCAAAAGAGAAATTTCTCTTTCTCTCTCTTCTTTCTCTTCTCTTTCTTTCTCTTCTCTTTCTTTCTTCTCTTTCTTTCTCTTCTCTTTCTTTCTCTTCTTTCTCTTCCTCTTGAAGATCCTTCAAGAACTTGATCATTTCAATTTTAAGCCTTTTTTAACATAAAGTCACATTGCTGTGTTGATATTTTAAAGAAATCAACGAATAGATATTTATTTAACCCTTTCAAATCTCTCAATTAGTACTTGAGGCTTTCGATCTCTCAATCATTTTTGTCCTTGTCGGCTCCACAATGAAACGATTCTCGTCGGTTCTGAAAGTCGAATTTCCAATTTCTTTCAATTTCTTTCAGTTTCCCTAATTCAATTACCCAATTTGTCCACGAAATAACCGTTTCACGCCTTGGGTGACCGATTTGTTGAAGAGAATTGTTAGAGTTGGCTCGGCGATTGCTCTACTCTGAATCAAGAGCTCAGTACACACTAGGAAGTGTCGAATTTTGAGTACAAAGAACTCACCATTGTAGCCACATTTAACAACAAGGGAAAGCCAATTGGCACTACCGGTCCAGTCAACAAAATCGGGGCAATGAAGTTGAACGTCACCGCATTGCCGCCAGTGAATAAACAGATTAAAAGACCCTGAAAAGAGTATGGTTTGTTAGAAAAGAATATATTGATTCAATATGAATAATATGACTAAACAAATATAGAGATAATAACCAATGTTGCAGAGAAAAAGCCAAAGGCAAAAAGCGAAAGCCAAAAAGATGAATAGAGCCGATTTTCTAGGTAGACAGGATCGAACCAGGGATCTCCCGAGCAGGGCGCAAGACTCCTAACCACTTGGCCACAGGGGTACAAAAACGCTTGCCCGAAAATCACCTGAAAAACAAGAAACAGCTCTCCACGTCCCTTCTTCGACGACCCGAGACTCTTCCGATTTTTCCATAAAACCCATTGAATGTAAAAATAAAGAAAAATGTTGAATAGTAAAGCCAAAGCTGGATATCCCAAGCGTTGATATGAGTCAAACTAAAATAATCTTTCTTTTAATAAAACTAAGGAACGAGCGTGAATCCGCGTGAATCCGAATCAAAGTCGGATGGCAAGTAGCTTTAGCTTCTTGCTTGCGAAATCTAATCGTTTCTTAGTTAGACTCACATTTATACATTTCGGTGTGTGTGTCCCCTTGTCCCCCTTTTGTCCCCCCGGTTTTCCCCTTTGCCAGAGGCATTTTGTATTTTTCTCGACGTAGGATTTATCAATTTGGCTGTTTTTGGTTTCATTAGATAGAGGAAAAATAGACGCATCGCATGAGTCTAATGCGTATAAATGTGAGTCTAATGCGATGCGTCTATTTGTCCTCTATCCAATCAAAACCAAAAACAGCCAAATTGATAAATCCTGCGTCGAGAAAAATCCAAAATGCCTCTGGCAAGGGGGAAAACTAGGAGGACAAAAGGGAGACAAGGGACAAGACACCGAAATGTATACTCACATTATGAAATAAGAATTGATGCTCTTGCTCTGGCAAACACTCGTACGCAAATGCCAATCGCTCATAGGAAAACGATTTCTGGCAATCGGTAAAAGTCTCGATTAGCGTTTCGGCCAATGGAATTAACCAGGTGAATGCAAGTAAACTGAAAAGCTTTTTTCTTTGATTAAGCTGTTAGACTTTAAATTTTACTAAATCACTCACAGATTCAGTGAATATCCACTAAAAATCTTCTCGTGTAGCTTTCCGGATAAAAAGATAAAGAAAGCATTCACCGCGCATAGCAAAACAAGCAACATTGAGGTCTGAAATGCCATTCTTGCCATTTTCTTGCCATTTTTCTGTCATTTTCCGCTTATTTCATTTAGATTTATTCAAAATTCATACTTAAAACAAGCTTCTAAACAAGACTGAGATACGGTAACAGTCATTGTTCGTCTTGAATCTATTTGGGATCAATTGGATCGTCTTGAATCAATTGGATCCACCCGAAATCTTTCCCCAACGATCTTTCTATTGCTTTAAATACTGGATTTCTGCATAAACTTAAAGCTTTTAACTAGAATTAGTTCAATTAGTTCAAAATGAATGCCTCACCATGAAATTGATCAACTCAGACGCGACAGCGACTCGGAAAAACCAATAGAATGATGTAGCTGTGTAAATCTGAAAATTAAATTTGTTTATTTTGAAATTTTGTACTATTTTAGAAATTCTAATTCCTTTTTTATTAGTTTCAGCCATTTTTCAATACTTTTTTTTTTGCTGTTTCTAAGCAAATGCAAATGAAGAATAAACAAATGTTTTGAGGAAATCTTTATCCAAGTTCTTTAAAAACTAGAACACCAATCAAAAAATGAATTATCGGAACAGTTTCCATATTTCTTTTTTAAACAATTCCTCAAAGAACTCACATTTCGGCCGGTAAATGTGATTGGAAGTGTGAGAACGATGTGAATGAAACCCTGAAAGAAAGAAATTTCATTTGAAATCGGCTTAAAGAACTTTGTGTGCTTTTCTCTTATCCAAGTCATGACTGAGATTCTTTAATAGCTACCACAAAGTATTTTATGTTTCCAGTAGACTGTAGAGAGTTCTTTACATAGTTACAATAACTGAATAGCCCTGTACTTTGTGTTTAATTTCGAAACGCAACCATTTGCTATACATTTGCTATAATATTCTTTTAAAACGGGATCATTTCCGCAGGAAAATCGGAAATTTGATGCCAAAAAGAATGCGTTTACATTTTTAAGCGCAAAGTAGATCTATTGTTAGCTATGATAGTTGATATTTACCTTAATTTCGCCTTAATTTCAATTAGATCGCATTCTTGAAAATACTTTAGAGTAAACAAATACTAATGATAACTTGCTATCGTTAGTTTTAACTAAGCTGACTAACTAATAACTAAGCTAACTAGCTAATAACTAAGCTAACAAACTAATGACTAAACTAATAAACTAATAGCTAAGCTAACTAGCTAATAACTAAACTAACTAGCTAATAACTAAGCTGACTAGCTAATAACTAAGCTAACTAGCTAGCAACTAAATTAACTAGCTAATAACTAAGCTGACTAACTAATAAGTAAGCTGACTAACTAATAAGTAAACTAACTAACTAATAACTAAGCTGACTAGCTACTAACTAAGCTAACTAGCTAACAACTAAACTAACTAGCTAATAACTAAGCCAACTAACCAATAACTAAACGAACAAACCTGCAGCAAATTTACCAAACAATGATGGCAATGAAAGCGGAAAACGGCCGAGTTTTTACTTGAAATGCACTGAAGAATCGGTTAATTTCTTATTTCAAAAAAAAACTAACCAATTTAATGGTGAGAAAAACAAGAGTGTTGAGAGAAATGAGTAAAATCTCGAGCACAATGTAAATCCAAAAAGCGATCAGACGATCATTGAGCGGAACCTGGAAAGGAAAAAGGTTATATTCGTTTTCTAAAACATATCAACTTTCTAGACTACCATAATTTGACTCTTTTTATTCAATCTATCGACGATTAGGGTAGCTTTTCGAAAATTAAAAATTGACATCTTTTAGAAAACGCCCATAACCCCACTTACACTCGAAATCTCGTCAGCGAGCCTCGTCGTTGAAGCTGTTGAAGTGTTCATAAAAAGTTGAGCTCTAAATTTTAATTTAAATCCTTTAAAATCTTTTTATTGAGCTAAAAACGACAATTTGTGGCAAAGAAAAAAACATTTCAGAATGAAAAATCAGAACTAGAATTAAACCCAATTAAAAGCACAAATTGAATGCTTTTGCTTTAATTAGGGGAACAATGAAAAGTTGTGAATGCATTTGAAGACAACTGAAGGACGAGAATACGATTGTGACATTTTGTCGAGATAATTTCTGCACATGAATCAACGGTAATGAGATTTGCTTGCTGATTATTCTCACAAAATTCTTACTACATACAAAGTGCTTCAAAAAAAAGTCCGTTTAGCCGATTTTGCTCGGAATTTCTAGTGAGCTAGTTAGTTTAGTTATTAGTGAGTTTTGTTATTAGTTAGTTATTAGTTAGTTAGCTTAGTTATTAGTTGGTTGGCTTAGCTATTAGTTAGTTGGCTTAGTTATTAGTTAGTTGGCTTAGTTATTAGTTAGTTGGCTTAGTTATTAGTTAGTTGGCTTAGTTATTAGTTAGTTGGCTTAGTTATTAGCTAGTTAAGTTAGTTATTAGCTAGTTAAGTTAGCTATTATCTAGTTAGTTCAGTTATTAGCTAGTTAGCTTAGTTATCAGCTAGTTAGCTTAGTTAAAACGATAGCAAGTTATCATTAGTATTTGGGGTGTTAAAGTAAACATTTTTCCACTCTTTTTTTTCTGATTTCATGACCTTTATAAATGTATAAATGAAATTTCTGTCTCACCATTAGATTTTTGGTATAAAATTGTGTTAGTATCGTGGTGTCAGATTAGAGTTAATCTATAAACTAGGATTTTAGGCCAAATACTTTATTCATCTGATAATCTTTTGAAAATAAGGGATTTTCAACTCGTTTTTTTAAAAATAAGTGTTTGATTTGAAGGAATTTGATCAATATGATCAATTTCTAGTTATTCTAGTGTTGATAATGCTATTTTGTAATCTATGTCTGTTTAAAAGCGACTTTATAATGTTTATCGTATCATTAACGCAATCCTCTAGCCTCTGTTATCAAAAAATTCAACTTCAAAAAGGAAAAATGATCTCGGGCGGGATCGAACCGCCGACCTTCTGTGTGTTAGACAGATGTGATAACCACTACACCACGAGACCGCTTGTTTGATGGAAGTTCGATGGGAGCTAAATTGATAAGGTGACAAAAACAGACCGGCAGAAATTTCATAGGCGTTTTTTATTTGAAACATTTGATCTCTAAAAGGCAACAGATAACAAATAATGCTATTTTTCAATAAAAAAGAAATTCTGAGAAACTAGAAACTCCTAGCTGCTAGAAATTCCCAGAAAAACTACCAGAAGCTATTAGAAATACTGAGAAACGAGCTGAATAGACTTTTTTTTTTGAACACTCTGTAGATTCTCCCATCTCTTCTCACAACGACAGAAATTTCTTGCAGAAAAGTCGACTAGAACTGATGTGTTTCCATTTCACACACTATGTAAAAGTCGATTTGAATGTACTGTGCACAAAAAAACACTGATTCTTCGACGCTTCTTTCATCAATTATCAAGATTACAAGATTTCTGGATACTCAATTAAAGTCTAAAGATAAAATCTTGTTCATTTCATCGTTAATAAACTTAAATCAGGATTTCCCAAAGGATTTCCGTGTGCTAGGATGAGTTTTTAAGCAATTTTTAGCAATTTCTGAACATAAATCACATCTTCCAGCATTGCAAAGGAAGTAAAGAACACTAAAAAAGCAAGATTTCGAGTTTCTCAAACCGTTTTGACAAAAAACACACTGTGTTTTTTTGTCAAAACGTTGTTTTTTGTACTGTGCACAAAAAAACACAGATTCTTCGACGCTTCTTTCATCAATTATCAAGATTACAAGATTTCCAGGATACTCAATTAAAGTCTAAAGATAAAATCTTGTTCATTTCATCGTTAATAAACTCAAATCAATAATCAATAATTACCCAAAGGATTTCCGTGTGCTAGGATGAGTTTTTTAAGCAAATTTCTTCACACAAAGTACATCTTGCAGCATTGCAGCATTGCAAAGGAATTAAAGAAATAAAGAAATTAAAGAACACTAGAAGAAAAGAAGATTTCGAGTTTTCACAAAACCGTTTTGACTATTTTACTTTAAAAATTCATATTCTTAAGTTATTTTGGAAGAATCCGTAACACTAAAAATTATATAAAAATATTTAAAAAATCAAAATTTCTTTATGAAATTACGAAAAATTCTTTTCTTATTCTTTAATTTTATCGATTCTTTATTTAATAAAAGCAAAATTTACTTGAAAATAACAAAAATTGAAACAAGAATTCAAAATACATTTATAAAACATTTAAAAAACATTTAAAATACATTTAAAAATACATTTAAAAGACATTTAAAAAAAATTTAAAAACCAGAGATTAAAATACGCAGCTCGACCAAGACCTAAGAAGTACGTTTATGCGCCAGCTCTCGGGACTCAGAGATCCAGTGGAAGTGATTGAGAGAAAAAGACTCAGATGCCAGAAGAACCAGAAGAAGGACCACGTAGCCTGAAGAACAGACGACAGATGGACGATACGGATCACAGAGTGGCTACCACGAGACCAGAAGAGGCCCATCGGAAGACCAGCAACGAGGTGGAGCACAAGAGTGGCAGAGACGGCCAGAGAAAGGATGGCTAGAGTGCAACCACCACCAGCACCAGCAAGTCGAAGACTTCGAACCAAGAACAATCAAGGAAACACTGGATGACAATAGCAAGGGATAGAGAAATGTGGAAGCAGGTTGTGATCTGCGCAAATAGGAACACCTAAGTGCGAAAACAAATAAAAAAAAGAAAAAAAAACATTTAAAATACATTTTAAAATCAATATTCTAACGAAAGAATAGTTTTGTTTTACTCTTTGGTTTTCGAGAAGCATTACGGAAATCGCATTTTCCTGCGCTAACTCATTTTATTTGATTGTAATGAGAATCGAAAAATTTGAAAGAAAAGAAAAGAAATTACGTGTAAAATAAGGAAAACCTCTGAGGAATTGAGAATTCCGAGAATGTTTCTTTCATTCTTTGTAAAAGGTTTTAACAAAATAAGTTAAATATTCGAATATTTACAAGAAGTGTCTGATTTGAAGGAATTTGATCAAGATAAATTCAGTCGCTTTTCATATTCAAGAAACGTATCGATGCTTTAGATCTAGTGGCTCTTTGCCGTAAGTAATTGGCTTATTGATTTCAGTATGTATTGTATGATTAAGTATCACTGTGCATTTCTCTATGATTTCTTTCACTTTATCGTTTGAATAAAGTATTATTATTCTTTTTTAAAAAAAAAAAAAATTTTATTTTTAAAAAAAAAAAAAAAAAAAAAAAAAAAAAAAATTTTTTTTTTTCAAAAAAAAAAAAAAAAAAAATTTTTTAAAAAAAAAAAAAATTAAATAAATTTTTTATTTTTTTAAATATTTTTATTATTTTTCTTTTTTTTAAAAAGATTATAAGATGGTATAAATTTCTAGTTATTCTAGTGTTGATAATGCTATTCTATAATCTATGTCTGTTTTAAAAGTGACTTTATAATGTTTGTCGTATCATTAACGCAATCCTCTAGCCTCTGTTATCAAAAGCTTCAAGTTCAAAAAGGAAAAATGATCTCGAAAAATGATTTTTCTTTTTTAAAGAAAAGAGATTTCTACTTAAATCTAAATCAATTTTTTTGAAGCCGTCAACATAAATTAACTGTGTGATCTCTGAAAATTAACTAAATTAACTAAAATTATTTAGTTAATTAACTAAATTAATTAACCAAATAAATAACGAAACTAAAAACGAAAAACTGCCAGAATTTGGAATCGACTTCCCAAAGTTTTGAGAAAGTTCAATAATCTCGAAACCTTTAAATGATCTGTAGATGATCTTGATCTTCAAGCTCTAGTGGATCCTTGACGTTATCTGTGCTGCCCATTTACAAACATTATATCGTGTTCCTTTTAACGACCCTTTTCGTGTTATCTGTATGAATTGATGTGTTTTAATCTTAAATCTAGTTCATTAGATCATTAGAACATTAGATCATTAGGTTATTAGATCATTAGGTTATTAATCATTAGTTCATTAGATTATTAGGTCATTAGATCATTAGATCATTAGATCATTAGTTCATTAGATTATTAGTTCATTAGATTATTAGATCATTAGATCATTAGATCATTAGGTTCATTAGATCATTAGATCATTAGTTCATTAGATTATTAGATTATTAGATTGTTAGATTATTAGCCTGTTAGATTTGTGTATAAATGTTTTCCAATAAGAACTGATAGAATTTGGAATCGATTTCCCAGAGTTTTGAGAGAGTCCAATAATCTCGAAACCTTTAAAATGATGATCTTGAAGCTCTAGTGGATCCTTGACTTTATCTGTGCTACCCATATATTACACATATAGTGCTGCTTTTTATCGGCCCTTTTCGTGTTATGTGTATGAATTGATGTGTTAATCTTAAATCTAGATCATTAGAACATTAGAACATTAGATCATTAGATCATTAGATCATTAGATCATTAGATCATTAGATCATTAATCTTAAATCATGTGTATTAATCTTAAATCTAGCGCACTTTATCTCAGGCCATGTATATTTATATAAATTAACTGTGTAATCCCATAGGAAATCTCTGAAATGTCAAATTTTCAATCCCTAAGTCATAGAAAATGAATATTTATCAATGCAAAAAAAGAAAATGAACTTTAGATAAGCTTTTGAAGAAAATTCCCTATCTCCGGGTCACTTTATTCTTGTTGACTTCTCGGTAGATTTCGATCAGATTCGCGATGACGTCATAGAGACGAGTCCACGCCTCTTTTGTCTTCTCATCAATTCCACCACTCACCGCGCCCAGTGTCTCCAATACTGGTGCACACATGTGCTGAAGAACCACTTTTAACTTTAACCTTACTTTTACTTTTAAGCGCATTTCGAAGTTCCCCTACGCCCTGATTTTCCCGTTCGATTACCCAAATTTCCCCCAATTTCATTCGATTCTTTTCCTTTGTGTTTATTCTATTCTATTCGATTCGATTCTATTCTATTCTATTCGATTCTATTCTATTCTGCTTTATTCGATTCTATTCGATTCTATTCGATTCTATTCGATTCTATTCTATTCGATTCTATTCGATTCTGCTCTATTCTATTCGATTCGATTCGATTCTATTCGATTCGATTCGGTTCTATTCTATTCGATTCGATTCTATTCGATTCTTTATCCTTATCAGCTTTGTTTTCCCCTAACCTCGACATGATGCCGATAGACACTCCATTTGATGTGAGCGCGAGCGATTCGATTTAAATGATCGGCGAGATCTTTCTCGTTCTCTAGAGAGTAGATGATTTGTCGAAGACCACACATGTAAACCTGAATTGAAAGGATTTCGTTAACATTTTCAAGAAATTGGCTTGAATTGGAAGGATTTTATAAAGAATTTCAAGAAATTGGCTTGAATTGGAAGAATTTCATAAAGAATTTCCAGAAATTGATCTGAATTCAAAGAATTTTATGGACAGTTTCAAGAAATTGGCTTGAATTGGGAGGATTTTATAAAGAATTTCAAGAAATTGACCTATTGTGGTTAGGCATGGCTTTAGACTTGAGAATTGCCAAAGATTTGAAGTTCCCTGAATCATTTATCATCCAGAAAAGATTTGCTTTTAGAATTACAATCGATTTAGAACATTTGACTGACTCTGGTTAACTCTGGTTAACTTTTTCGAGTCTCCTTTTCACCAACCGATGCATGTTTTCTCAATTCGATCGCATTCATCAACGACGAGTCGGGAATCGCCCGGAATTGCGGCCAAATCTTTTTGTATTGTGGATACTCGGCAAAGAGTCTAAAGATCAATTCTAGGATCACGAATCAAAGCTCGAATCTTTAGGATCTTCAGTATAAGTTCATTGTTTTTGTTGGTTGGTTTTATTCTGTGCTACTTACAAAACAAGAATCTTGAGCCCATTGTTGACCATATCTTTCTCCATCAATGCAAACGTTCTCTTCAAAATCACTTTTTGATCTTCGTCAATTCGGCACAATTGCTTTAAAGTTTGTTGACCTAAAACTATCAATATAGACTATAAATATAAAAAAGATCTAATCCTGCCTATTCCTATCGTTTGATCATCTTTCTGTGCCATTTGATTGAGAAATCCAGAAATCATGTCACGGACTTGTCGACGTTTCTCTCGTTCCTCGAGGAGTTGCTCTTCTGTCTGAAAGGTCTTCAAAGTCTATGTAGTCTACGGAAATATTCTAAGATCCAATTCTAGCTTTAACTCTAGATCTAAAAGATCTAGACTAAAAATTCAGTCTTTCAAAAGTTGTACCTTTTCCATAAGACTCTTGGTCTCTTCCGTTTCCACGGATAGCTGAATTTCGGGTATTTTCTCGGTCTCGATTCCCAAATTCCCATTTTTCAGCATTTGTCGATACATTTCTCTTTAAATTCTCTTGCTAAGGAACAAGAATGTTTAGATAAAGAACTGAAGAGATAAAAGATTCAATTGTAATGCTGAATAACTCAGAGATAAGCTCTTCAGCTTCATTGCAAAGCTAAATAGCTCAGGGACAAGCTATTCAGCTTCATTGTAAAGCTGAATAACTCAGAGAAAAGCTCTTCAGCTTCATTGTAAAGCCGAATAACTCAAGAACAAGCTCTTCAGCTTCATAATTGAAGCCATTCAGTCTTATCGATAACTCCCGAAGCCCAAAAACCAAAAGCTTTCTTGAGAACCTTATAAAATGACAAAACAAAGGCTTATCGGAAAATGAAATTTTATTTAAACAAATGAAAATTTAAACATTAAAATATAACAGAATTTAAAGAAATCAGTTTTCTATAAAAAAACACCACACAACTTTCATACCCGGAAATCTGAGATTTGGTGGGATCTCTCTAGGAAATAGAGGGAAATAGAGGGAAATCCATTCCTCAACTCCAACAACCTCTCAACTAACCCCAGTCTCCAGCAATTCCAATCGGAAATGCGATTAAACTCTTATAGGGGAGAATCTTTAGAAAAAAAAATATTCAAATTAGTTATGCTTCTCATTTTAGAAATCTGTACTTGTCACTGTATTTTACAATCCAAAAAAAACCAAATGCCTTAAATGACCTTATGAAAGGCCTCAATATTGCTGCTGATAAGAGCACAAATCATTTTTATCCAGGCTTATTACAAGAAATGAAAAATGTGTACCTTCTATAAACTTATCACTGTATTTTATAATCATTACATCAAAAGGATTTACAATCATTACAATTCTGAAGCCTTTTCGTTTCTTTTCGTACTTTTGTTTAAAATCAAGAAATTCATTACTTAAACTAATATTTATTTCATTAGAAAAGCCAATCATTTTTCGGCCTTAAAACATTAAAACGAGTCTTAAATGTCTTATTTTTGCGATTTCTTTTGAAGCAACGGCAACAAAGGAATCGATCATGCAATTTAGACGCTTTTGGCTAAAGGAAATCTACAAGGAAATCTACGCTAAAAGAAATCTGGCTTGGCTTGGCTAGGCTAGGCTTCGCTAGGCTTAGCTAGGCTTGGCTTGGCTACCCGTTCAGACTGACTCAATGCTGAGTCATGACTGTTTCTCTTAAATGGCTAGACCAAATGAGCTCTTAATTTGCAAGAGCATGTAATTTTGAGTCCTCTTTCCGAATTCGCCGTTCGTTTTATTAGGAAGTTGTGTGAAGGTAACCAATAATTTTTGATGGTTCAAAAGAATTCTGACGGATTATTCTGACGGATCAAAAGATTATTTTAAGGTAAATTTTGGCGTAGATTCCGAAAATTGTAGTTTCAGAGCGATTCCAGCGCTCTATCATAAAGAAAAAGAAAAATAGCTTTGAAAATCAACAATTTTGAGTATCCCGTCTTGTGCGCGCTGAAATGCGTCAAAAAAATACCATATTTCTAAATATTAATATTACCATTGTGTAGCCCTTGAAAAGAGCTTTCAGAAAATGTATAACACTGATAGTTTAAACTCAAAGACAAGGGAGTTACAGACGCGCGAAAGTGACGATCGTTTTTCAAATATCATATTTCATTGTCCGGTACTGTAATTCCACCTTCGTTTTCTCGGTCTTTTCTTGTCCGATTGCTCTGAAATTTTGTCTACAAGCTGAAAATGTCGATTTTTATTTGTAGACGAGATTTCAGAGGAATCGGCCAAAAAACGATGATGGAATTCGGTTCGAATTGGAATTTTCCCATGTTTAGTATCGGGGAAGAGATTTTGATTTTGATTTTGATTTTAACTCTTTTCCGATACTGGGAAAGTACCCGATTGTGTTCAGATGGGGGATGTGGATGAGTTTCAGTGTAAAAATTGAAATCTTTCGATATCTTCTCTTCATTTTGTTATACTGAAGAAATTAAACCTAGTGGCTAGAAAGCAGTTGTTAGAGCTAGAGCGTTAGAGCGTACTTTGTTAGAGCGTACTTTGTTAGAGCTAGAGCGTTAGAGCGTACTTTGTTAGAGCTAGAGCGTTAGAGCGTACTTTGCTAGAGCGTACTTTGCTAGAGCTAGAGCGTTAGAGCGTACTTTGTTAGAGCTAGAGCGTTAGAGCGTACTTTGTTAGAGCGTACTTTGTTAGAGCACAAAGTACGTTCACATGTTCAATTCCACCATTTCTAGCTAACATCATGGTTCTTTATTGCAATGGGCTCTTTATCTCTACTTGGTGGATTTTTGTATCGTCTATGGGCACTCTCAATGCATAGTTGGGCAATGGATAAGCCAAACAAACATCTAAAAATCAAACTAGACGAATGATCGTTGTTCTCTTTTTGGTACATGCAATCTATAGTATTCCAGCATTTGTATTAGGCATCCTTGCATATACTCCAAGATCGAAAGCTAAAGACTTCATACGGCTGGTTTGTTGTGCTGCTGTAGTCTGTAGATCCAGTGGCTTACCATTTAATAATTAGCGATTTGCTGTTCAGAAATTCCCCGAATACTCTGACATTTTTACATTGTGCAATTTTGTGATTATCGAACCAAGCTTGAACCCATTTAACCCCTATTTTCTTTACACCGAATTTATCGGCACCATGTGGGTATTTGGAACTGGAATCTGAATTCTGAATCTGAATCTGAATTCAGATTTGGAATCTGAATAAAATTTCAGAACAATCCATTCTTCGGAAGGTTGATTTTCAAATTAGGCTCAAAATGCCCTTTTTTTGTGCTAATTTATTAAACCATTTTCGCTTGAATTTAAGCAAGATTAAAAGAAAGAGATTAAAAGAAAGAGATTAAAAGAAAGAGAAGAAAGAGAAAGAGAAAGAGAAAGAGAACGATTGGATTGTTCTGAAATTTTGGGAAACTATGTAATCGATGAAGCGTTTTATCTTAAAAAGTATGCAATCACTCAAAAATATATTAGCTCATGAATGCTAGAAACCCGGATTTTCAACTCTTACATTAAAATGCCAGAAAAAGTTCTAGAATAAAGCAGAATTCAAAGCCATTTCAAGAATTCAATGCCATTTGTAGATTCAAAGCCATTTTGTAGATTAAGGATAGGGCTTTTGAATAAAGCAAACCGTTTTTTGATTGGATAAACCGTTTTTTCAGAAAACGTTTCAGAAAACATATTACCCAAAAACGATCGTTTATAACTTGCCAACCTAATAGTTCTCTTTGTAGAGAAAAGGAATCAAATTTGTACCGAAAAGCAACCAAATCTGTACCGAAAAGGAATCAATTACCAATTATTTATTATTTAACAATTACCAACCTAATCGATAAAGAAATGGATATTCAATGTGTAACTATTCATTCAAAAGACGCTTCTGCGTGAATTATCTGCTCAAAATGCCCAAAGACTGCCTGAACTCCCGAGAATCCCCTTGATGTCTCAACTAAAAAGAATTCCCAGCGGAATTTTCGTTGTGGGATTTTCGGCAGCCCAAAATCTTCAAAGTTTCAATTTTGGGAGACGGTTCAAAGGTGAAAGATGACCATCTTCTGGAAAATATGTTTCTGGTATATGACTCGCCATTCGTTTCATGAGTTTTTGCTGCCCCTGCGGACCGAAATCCTTGGGATGAATCCAAAAATTCACAGCGACTCCCTACAGCACCCTTTTACAGGCACTTGGGATCCCATCTCGACCGGCGGAGAACCCGCCGTTGTGGTCAAAATGAGCCGGAACTGGGTTTACCAATACTACAGCCGAAGTTAGTTTTGGGAAGCGGTGACCATATGGGGCAGACAACGGATTGGTTACCGGATGACCCAAAATGGACGCTTCCGATTGGACGAGGGAAAAAAAGTATATCTGCTAACACAATATGCCAGATCGAGTGCGATTGTGCTCGCGCACAGGGAACACACCGGGATCCTCTTTTTTGCATTTTAAAGTTCAAAAACTTCAAATTTTTGAAATTTAATTATAATGTTTTTCTTATAACACTGTAAATCGATTCCCCAACCGCGAAATTTCAATTTCTGTAATTTCTCTGTTTAAAAATTTGAAGTCTTTGAACTTTCAAAGCCTCCCTACGTCCTCGCCAAGCTTTTTTCTCTACAATGCTAGGACTAAAATGCTACAATGCTAGGACTACAATGCTACAATGCTAGGACTACAATGCTACAATGCTAGGACCTACACTCAATTACTTACAACATTGTAAGTAATTGAGTGTAGATAGTTTTACTCATTCATTTGATGCGATCTACTTCTTCTAGGTATTAAAAGTTTGCATCATAAATTTTCCCCTACAATCGGAAACTCTACGATCTTATCTTACGATGCCTTGGGAGTTTGATCATTGATTGATTGATTGATTGATTGATAGATCATTGATTAGCTTTGTTTCTGTGTTGTTCCGCTTTAGGGCTGTATTAGTGAGCGCTCCGGGGTCTAATTATTAGGTTGTTCGGATATAAACAAGCGAAGGACTCGTGAGGAAGCCATTTCCCGCATCTGATCGCCTTTCCAATAGCGTGGAGATGCTCATCAATGGTAGAATTTGAACATAGAAACTGTTGAGCAAGTTCGCGCGTCGTTTGACATGGATCCGGTTCGATTGCAGCCCTCAAAATATCGTTGTCTACCGTTTGAGATCGATGAGAGTGTTTGACCTGAGTGGTTGACAAGAGAGTCATCCTCGAGACTTTCATCATCATTCCGAAAGTGTTAGAACCAGGCTCGACTTTCGGCTTTCGAACAATACATCATTCCCAAATGCTTTGACCGAATGTCGATGGAATTCCGCGGCTGTTTTGCACAGTTTGAAGTAGGCAGACGTAAAGTAGGCAGACGTAAAGTAGGCAGACGTAGAGTAGGCAGACGTAAAGTAGGCAGACGTAGAGTTGGCAGACGTAGAGTTGGCAGACGCGAACTTGATATATTTGAAGTCGGTCATCTAAAGCAAGAAAAAGAGATCTTAAAGATAAGAAATCATCCGTTTAAAAAGATTCCAAATATGCGCAAGATAACGTACATTTAAATACAGAAAGACATGTTTTAAAAGCTTCTCTCACAACAAAAAGTTTCGCAACGCTTGTTTAAATCCGAACAACCTAATATTGCCCTATAATAAGACCTTAAATTGCCTACTGCTAGCTTTAAAACCCACCAAATCCCTTAGCCAAAGCCGACCACCGAAAACCAGTGTTCTTAAAATGATTCTCGTCTAAAATACTAAAAAAAATAAAAGCTTAAAACTTCAATAAAAGTAAAAACCTTGAAAAATCACAGAAAAGAATCAAATGTTTTTTTAAAATTAAATTTCCATTTCTTGCTCTTATCATCTATAAATAAAAAAAAACGTGATTCATGATTCTCTATTCAAAATTTGAAGACATAAACATTCCTTTGCTATTGTGAAATAATATTTGTATATATTTGTATATATTTGTATTTCTTTAATGTTTATAAATCTTTATTTTCTTTAAAAGTTTAAAAATTCGTAAAAACTATCGGATGAGAGCGGTGATGATGAGAAGAAGGATAGATGGAAGAGCAGTGAAAGCAGCTGGAAATTTAGTAGAATTGTTTTATAATCGAGAACTAGATATTAGCTGAAAGCAGCTGGAAATTCAGTAGAATTGTTTCATGATGGAGAACTAGATATTAGCTGAACGCAGCTGGGAATTCAGTAGAATTGTTTCATGATCGGGAACTAGATATTAGCTGAAAGCAGCTGGAAATTCATTTGAATTGTTTCACGATGGAGAACTAGATATTAGCTGAAAGCAGCTAGAAATTCATTTGAATTGTTTCATGATGGGGAACTAGATATTAGCTGAAAGCTGCTGGAAATTCAGTAGAATTGTTTCATAATCGAAAACTAACTATTACTTAATCTTTAATCTCTTTCAAAGCTTTCATTTCTTTTAAGCAAACCTTGTGTTGTGGGCGCTTCAGTCTTGTCCGTTGAGTCATTTGCTTTAGTTGTCGTTGTGCCTAGAGTGGCCATTGTTGTTGGGCCTGTTGGATTCGTTGCAGCGGTGACGGTGGGACCTAAGATTTTCAACGATCTACAGTCTGATATCAAGATCATAAACAAGAACTCATTCTTAGAGCAGCTAAAGTTAAGAAACCAAACTCTTTCTTACTGAATTTTTCAAATCATGAGTAAGACTGGCCGAGTTTCAGCCCAAACTGACCATTGGTCAATTTAGGCATGAGTTGACTTGACTTTTGATACTACAATACTCCAGAATCTAGATATAGATTAGTCTACTGTGTTAGCGTTCTTGTAGTTCACTTCTTATGCAGCTCACCTGTTTGTGGACCCATTGTTGGACCAGACACTGTCGCCGGTGTATCGGTGCTGGGGTTTTGGCTTGGTGTGGTTAGTTGCGAAATCCATTGACCCAAAAGTGAGCTGATCGTCATGCGAGCATCCTAAAATGATTTACTTGTTGATCATTCCAAAAACAAATGAATTTCTTTGCACCTTCAACCCTTGTGGATCGGTGTCTCTCTCTGGGTACATATCGGCGCAGTGAGCGGTGGCTGGAATTTAAGATTTACGGAAATTTTAACGGATTACTTTAGCTGAGTACTGTTACAGACAGATTACGGTAGCTTTCCATTGCAGGTTACTGTAGCCTGTTCCTGGCCAGTTACTGTAGCATTTACTAGTCGGTTACAGGTTTTTTCTGTTACTGATACTGATTGGGCACTGTAATCTGTTACTGGGATACTGTAGTGTGCTAATGTACTGTAGACTTTACTGTACAGTACAATAGCAGTCTGTAGTCTGTAGTGTCTGTAGTCTGTAGTGTCTGTAGTCTGTAGTGTCTGTAGTCTGTAGTGTCTGTAGTCTGTAGTGTCTGTAGTCTGTAGTGTCTGTAGTCTGTAGTGTCTGTAGTCTGTAGTGTCTGTAGTCTGTAGTGTCTGTAGTCTGTAGTGTCTGTAGTCTGTAGTCTGTAGTGTCTACATCTTACTGTAGACAGAATACTTCCGTTACAGCACAAATGACACTCTTACCGTTAATTGAAATGATCGTTTGCCCGCTGGCTGTCGCTTTCAACAGTCCCAACGCATGCCATGGATCAACGTTTCCATTTGGAGCCACAATATTTGAAATCTAGACAGATATTCATAGAATTTTGCATTGAAATCTTACATTAAATGTGGCGGTGAAGAAATTGTAGTGATCGTTGATATCGGATTGGATTTGCTTTGTTGAGTAGTCGCTTCCTTCAATCACGTTACCGTCTCGCTGTTCGCCGAAAATATCGTAACACATTTGGAGGAACATGCTGCAAAGAAAGCATTTCTATAGAATTTCTATAGAATTTCTATAGAATTTGAATATTTGTATTTCTTTTCTTTCGAAAACTACCATAATCTTGACTCGAAACAATATCGTAATGAATATCTTTAATCAATTCCCGATCCTGATCTCTCATCTCTCATCTCTCATCTGTCTCTATCTTTTGCATCGTTCCAACTTTAAGACTATGAGTTTAAATGACTTTTGAAAAGAAAGTCAAGCTCTAAATGTTTTCTAGAAAGCTAGCTAACTTCTAGCTTTCTCTAGAAACTAATTTTCTTTTTGTTTTCCGCAAAAAAGAGCAGAGATTTTACAGAGATTTCTCTTTGTAAATGGTAGAAAAAAGAAATTCAGCTGTAGATTTGTACTTGAGAGATCAGATGAGAGATGAGAGATCAGGATCGGGATTGGATCAGGATCGGGATTGGATCAGGATCGAAAATTGATTAAAGATATTCATTTTACCGAATCTCTGGATCATTCTATTTCTATTTCTATTCCTATCCCGTAATTTCTTATCTTAACTTCACTCACTTGACTGGTGTCGGTGATCCAAAAATATTGTATCCAGAGTCACTCGATTGGAAGAAGCCAAACTCGACGCAAGTTTGATAGGTCCACGTGCGATCAGCTCCAGCCGAGACTAAAATGGAGGTGGTAGCTTTTTTGGATAAAAAGGGAACTTTCTCAAGTTACCCACGAGTTACATCATACAAATTTCTAAAAATCAAAAAAAGTTTGACTGCTGGCGAATCGGAACCAAGATCAAAGAGTTCTGAGAGCAAGCATACTAAGCTACTAGCTGACTCTGGCTACGAGGCTACGAGCTGACTGAATCACTAGGCTACGAGCTGACTTCTGGAATGGAAAGCCTTTCCACTGACAAAAAAATTCGAGAAAAGCCTTCATTTTTTCGAAATTCAAATGGCTATAACTTTGTGCGTTTTGCGGCTTTTAAAAACAGCTTCTGAACGTACAGTACAACGTACAATTCAGCCTTTCTTTTGGCACTTAATTCATATTGTAACTCGTGGGTAATTTGGGAAGGTTCCCTTGTAGCTAAAAACGAGTTGAGAGACTTTTAAATATTCAAGTTTTCAGAAATCAACAATAAAGCATTCACCAGAACTGTTTCTAGATCTGTTCTAGATCTGTTCTAGATCTGTTTCTAGATCTGTTCTAGATCGGAAATCTACTCTTTCTTGCAATTTCTTAACTTTATTTCAACTTTTTATTTCAAACTCACTATCTCTCAACGCGATGATCATCTCAGTGTAATTGTTGAAGGTGCTGAAGACATCATCTGGACCGGCATAGTATTGCCACATGTATCTGGAAAAGAATTGAGATTTATCTAGATACAGTTCACATTCAACTTTAATCAATTCTTGTATCTAACGAATAGCTTTGCATTTCAATCGCTTCCAAATCACTCACGCGTTTACAGCAGCCACTCCGCCAAGTGGATCATCCGAATTGTTTCTCATTATAGCACAAACGCCTCCAATATCTCCCTCATTGTTCGCGTACCACTAAAGCCAAGAATGTGTTTCTAGATCTGTTTCTAGATCTGTTTCTAGATCTGGTTCTAGATCTGGTTCTAGATCTCTTTCTAGACCTGTTCTAGATCTGGTTCTAGATCTGGTTCTAGATCTGTTCTAGATCTGTTCTAGATCTGGTTCTAGATCTGTTCTAGATCTGTTTCTAGATCTGTTCTATTAGGTTGATGCAAAAGTCTTTTTCATTTTTTTCGTACTTCCGTTCAAAAGTAACAAATGCACCAATTGAACAACGGTTTATTGCATTCGAAAGGCCAATTATTTTTCTGCAAAATGACATTAAAACGAGTTTAAAATGTCTTATGTCTAGATTTTTTTGAGAGCCTGAAGTCGGGTAGTCAAAAAAAGGCGACGGCTCGATGATGCATTTTAGACGCTTTAGCTAAGGAAACCAATCTTGATGTTAATAAATAAAAGATAGAGCACAAAAAGTTAGATATTTTTTCAGATTTTCAGAGAAATTGATTCAGCCAATTTCTTTATAGAGGTTTTTATAGATTTTTATGAAAAACCCGTTTTCACTCTCGAATTTGCTTGAAAGTGAACCCAAATTGACTTAAAAAGATGGGAAATTGAACAATAAACACTTTTCATTTAGAGCAAACCATAGGTTAATTGATCACTTTGTTATTTTTCAAAAGAAGTACGAAAAAAATGAAAAAGACTTTTGCATCAACCTAAATAGATCTGGTTCTAGATCTGGTTCTAGCCATTCTATTATTTCTATTCTAAAAACGAACTCCAGTATTATCTCCAGCGTATTGCACAGCACCCTGGAAAGCTCCATAAATATTACTGAAGAAGAATTGCCGATCGATCTCTAATAAGACAGACGTTTCATCCCAGGCTGGATTAAGGCTAAAATAAATCTCATTTTGAAATCCATAAGAACGAACGTAAAAATATCGGAGAGATTTTTGATTCCACCAGGTGAAAGGGAAAGTTGTTGCATTTGATCGAAACCAGACTAGAAATTATTTTATTTTGAAAATTTTAATGTTTTGATGCTTTGAAGTGAATTGAAACTATCGTCTTTACTTTGCGAAAACATTATATCAAAGTTTTCCTTTCCTTACCTTCACCAACTCGGCGCAATCGTTGTCATACATACGAATTGAGTTGTCAACAACTGTCAAGTACTCTGCAAGAGATTTGAGGAGTTTCAGAAGTTTTGCTAACTTTGAGGCTGACTCTAGAGGCTAACTTTGAGGCTAACTTTGAAGCTAACTTTAGAGGCTAACTTTGAGGCTAACTTGGAGGCTAACTTTGAAGCTAACTTTGAGGCTAACTTTGAGGCTAACTTTGTGGCTAAATTTTGATGCTTTAAATTGAATTCTATCATCAGATTCATGCATGATTCTCAATTTGATCAATCAAAATTTCTTGCACACCGTAGAAGTCGAGTTTGATGTTGATTGGAGCCGAACTGCCGACAGCGCCAGCGATCAAATTCGGGAATTTGTTTCGAGCCCACAATGAGAGCATACCTGACCAGAGAAATTGTTTTTGACTATAAACTGAGCTTTCAAAGCGTTCACTCTACAGAACAGAACTACAGAACAATGATGGGAATCTAAAAAGGCAAACCAAAAAGGGAAACGAAAAAGGCAAACCCACCAGAATACGATCCTCCAAACGTGAACCACGGTGCCGTATTTCCCTCTCGATAGTTGATGGTTTCAATGAAAAGCTTCACATCCCAAAGTGATTGCCAGGAATTACAGAATAACATCACGTAATCGGTTTTATAAGTGGAGTTGCTGAATGGATTACTTTAAAAATGTTAGTGCAAAGTTTTAATAAAGCTGTGATAGCCAAATGACATATATGCAGAATTTTACGCTGATTCCGATACTGCTATCCGTTTTTTGAAAATGATTCGGAATCATGCAATTTTTGCAAAATCTAGTGAACAAGTTTTGGAGAGAAATCAGAGGGTAAAGATCAGATATAACGCCCGTCGAAAGCCCGTCGACAAGTGCCCTTGTGGTCTAGTGGATAAGAGTCTCCTTTCCAAAACGATCGATCGGTCTTTTGCTCAGGTTCGATTCCTTCCTTTTCTTTTAGTTTTATTTTGATGTTTAACCACTTGAATTTGCTCTATTTTAAGTTTTTGTTTGTTTATTATGTTTGATATTTGATGTTTAATTGATATTTGATTGATATTTGATTGAGATTTGATTGTTATTTGATTAATAAACCGCTGTTTACCCTAAATCGTGACTCTCTCCATAGCATCGATGTTCCATGTAGTAAACGGTGGCTCCGTATTGAGCAGCTTGCTTCAAATAGGTGATTTCCTCGTTGAGAACCCATCTAAAGATAAAGTTTTTTGCATTGAACTACTTGAAACTTTTCAATGCCACTCACTAATGCCACTCACTTTGCTGGATTTGCTGGCCCTTCTCCTCCAATCATCAAGAAATTCGGCCCACCTGCTTTTGCCCATTTCGTATTCTTCCACCATCGCTAAACATCAATTAAATAACCTTTTCCGTGCACCAGAAAGGATATGTTTTCATTGTAGAGCACAAAGCCAAGTCATGAGTCTAGATCAAAGCCAGTCTAGATCAAAGCCAGTCTAGATCAAAGCCAGTCTAGATCAAAGCCAGTCTAGATCAAAGCCAGTCTAGATCAAAGCCAGTCTAGATCAAAGCCAGTCTAGATCAAAGCCAGTCTAGATCAAAGCCAGTCTAGATCAAAGCCAGTCTAGATCAAAGCCAGTCTAGATCAAAGCCAAGTCAATTTTAAGCAAATCTGTTCAGTTTAAAATCGATTTTACCTGCTGGAAAGTGTCTGGAATCCTATTGTTGAAATGACACAATGGTTGCGTGAACGTGAATGCTGAATACCCGGAAAGATCAGCGTCTATCAAGTTCTGAATCTTCAAAATTGATTCATTGTTGTAAAATGAACATACAAAATCTGGTGTCAACACTCTCGGTCGATTCCTCAACATTGGCACCTTTCGACTCACCGGATAGTACTTTTCGCCGTTCTGAAAATCCTTTTAAACTTTGCCATACTTTTACAAAAACCCCTACATCAAGTGGCAACTTTTTGCCCAATTGAGTGATTGTTGGAGTGAATGGCTTGTGCTCGCTCGGGAATTTCTTCTCTATTCGTGCAACTTCTTGCGCTTTTCTCTCGACGGCTGAGGGGAGAAGGGCTAAAGGTGAATGAAATGAAGGAAACTGGAAATCCAATTAAACTTGAATCAATTTTTGTCCTATTATGTTATCCTAGTCAACAAAATTCTAAACTATCAGCTAAACCAGACCAAATGGACCATGGATAACCGAATGCTTAATTGAAGAACAGGAAAACTGAGTCTGGCTTGAATTTGCAGCAAGAACAGAGTCTAGCTTTGGCTTGATCTATGCCTAAGCTGATCTATGCCCTGATCTATGCCTAAGCTGATCTATGCCTAAGCTTATCTATGCCTAAACTGATCTATGCCTAAGCTGACCTATGCCTAAGCTGATCTATGCCTAAGCTGATCTATCCCTAAGCTGAACCATCCCTAGGCTCAGGTTACTATCCCAATATCCATCAGAAATCCATCCAAATCCATAAAACCAAAGCCAAACCTTCCGACACTTCTGGTGGCCCGTTCACCCAGTTGCTAATGTGACGAGCGATGAGAGCATGGATCTGAAAACTCGAGAATCTACTTTTAATCTACTTTGTAACTCTAAAGTGTAACTTCTTATTAAACTCACTCACCACAGTGTATCGGCTGTCTCCCGGCCCTGGCGTGTACATATCTCCACAATGGGCACTGCCTAGAAAATTGTGTCTTATACGATAACTGTCGTTATTGTGTTTTTAGATTATTGTTTATATCAAAAACAAACCCTCAATGAGATAAGTGGTCTGTGAGTAGTAATCGGATTGATAACGACCAAGCGCATGCCATGGATCGAGATCTCCGTTCGGTAGCACTACATTCGTACCCTGAATTCAAGTTTTCGATCTGCTTATCGATCTATCACAGTCAGAAATGTGGTGATCCAAAAAAAACCCGGATCCGGAGATTCGTCTCAAAAAGATTCCGGAACCGGATTTCGAGTTTGGCTCGGAAAAGCAGACCGAATCCCGGGCCTAAACCCGATCCAGATCCAGAACCGCACAGCTCTGATCACAGTACTACGGTAGCTATTATATTTCTAGAAATCTTTTACCCAATATCCATCAGCTCCTCCATAGTAAGCATTTGTGTCTTTCACCGCTTGACTAATGTAATCGGCGGTGAATTGTGGGCCATAGATATCGATACAGGAGTTGATTGAGACGCTGAAATGTTTTCTGAGCTCAGTAGCACGATAAAGTGATTAATCTTAAGAGGAAATAAATTCTAAACTAAACTAGGTACCTAAGTATTCTTCCGATCTGCTAAATGACCGATTTTCAGATCAAATAGAAGCCTATCTAGATCAGAGGATCTAGAAACTAGTAAACAAATACTGCAGTAAACAAATACTAGTTATACAATGGATTTTTGCGCTTATATAGATCAGAGAACAAAATTCTGGGATAAAATATAACTCACCTCAACGGTGATGTGCCACCAAAGACTCCCTGGGTATAATCGGTTGATTGATAATAGCCAAACTCTGTACAAGTTTGCCAGATCCAACTACGGGCAGCAGCTTGAAAAAGAAGACTTTGAAAGTCTCTAGTTGATCAATTTCCCTTACCGAGATTCAAATCATTGTACGACTCATCTTTCAACATCTCGATGTCGGCTGTGTAGTTGTTGGAAAGGCCCTAGATTGAAATTGAATAGATAGCTGGATAGATAGCTGAACTCACAAAGTTTCCTTGTCCATCAGTGTTGAGGTATTTGACGACACTGATGAGGCCACTCCATGGATCGCTAGCAGTCATCATAGCACAAATTGGCCCAATGCTCATTGGATCATCGCGACCACCCTTTTTTGCAACTTTAGCAATGGTTAGGCTTGGCTAAGCTTGGGTAAGCTTGGCTAAGACAGTGCTAGTGCTGGTACAAAGATAATCTAGACTTACAAGATCTAGACTCTAGACATAGTAGACCTTTACACTACCGCTTTAATCCCGTTAACCCATTTTCTTATTGTTCAGCTTATTTTTCAGCTATAACAGCTCATTTTTCTTACCCTATCATTCGAGTATTGTATGATGTCTTGAAAATTGCCGAAAATCAACTGATAGAAGTTCTGGATATCGTTGTAGTTGAGGGTTAGGTTGTTCAATGGAGGCCAGAGTCTGGAAATGGTCAAAAGCCTAATAATTTTTATCTAATTCTCACCCGAAAGTGTCACTCAATTGATCTCGGGTATCTGGTGATTGCATCATCGTGTACACTTGCTAAAAGAGGGAGAAATTGGCTTGATTTGATTGATCGATTTGATTGATTGCTTTCAGTTATATCTTGCTGCACCTTTAGCACAGATAACTATCAGATTCTATCTTCACTTTCTGCATAAGAAACATAAGAAACTCACTGCATAAGCGGTTTTCACAGCAGCCAAGCAATCAGCTGAACCAAAGCTCCATCCCTTCGCATTATCGGTGCCATTGTAGGAAAGAGAATTCTCGACAACTTGCAGATATTCTGGAATTGGAATTCTCGAATTCTGGAATGGAAACTAAGCGACGTACGGTAAAAATCAACAGTCGCTTGAACAGGTCCCGAAGAACCAACAGCTCCTGCAGCCAACTCTGGATGCAATTGACGGAACCATGCAGCTAGTGCACCTAAATTTAATAAAATTTAGGAAAATGACTCACAGATATGACTAGATGACAATAAAAGATGACTAGATGACATTTTCTAAACTTTAACTTCAAAAATTACCCGAGTACGATCCTCCGAACACCACCCATTTTGTACCAGTCCATCCATTCTGTTTATTGATGAATTTAATAAAGTAAGCGATGTCCTCAATGGCTTGTCGAGATGAAAGATATTTCAAATTCTCCACGGATTGGGTTCTGAAGAATCAGATCTTGATACCAGTAAAGGAATCAGCTAGTAACTCGATTAGTAGTGTCAAGTTTTGACTGGGCTCTGTAGCGCCATCGAGCCCGGCTCGGTTTGTCTAGTTCCGTTCAGTGGACTGAATGAAATATGCACAATGCTAAAATCCCGTGGGCTGACTGAACTAGGCTTATGGTTAGGATTGTTGGACATTTGATTGACCCTTTGCCATTAGCAATTTAACTTTAGGCTCAAATTTCTTAGTGCTTAGCTGTTCAATTCAAATCTTTTTAATAGCATTAGATGCGTCAAGTCTTTCTCTATCGATTAGTACAAGAGCTATTTAAATTGAATAGCCCAACACCAAGAAATTTGAGCTCAAAGTTATGGCGATGGCAAAGAGGCGGAGCGTGTATATAAGCCCCTAAGCTCCGCCCCTTTTCCTATTGGCAATCTAAATTTGAGCTCAAATTTCTTGGTGTACGACTGTTCAATTTAAATAGTTTTTGTACCAATCGATAGAGAAAGACTTGGCGCATCTAATGATAGTGATTTTATAATAGATACACTACTGGACAATAAAATATCATAATTGAAAAAAGATCGTCACTTTTGCGCGTCTATAACTCCTTTGTCTTTACCGTATTTCTAAATATTAATATTACCATTGTGTAGCCCTTGAAAAGAGCTTTCAGAAAATGTATAACACTAATAGTTTAAACTCAAAGACAAGGGAGTTACAGACGCGCGAAAGTGACGATCGTTTTTCAAATATCATATTTCATTGTCCGGTACTGTAGCTTATCCGAATCGTTAATCATCAGGTAAAACAGGTAAAACAAAGCAATCTCTACAGTCAAACACTCACGGGAATGGCTGACTCTTTCCGTAGAAGCGATGCTCGATGTCGAAAACGGCGGCTCCATTTGCAGCAGCCCACTGTAAACAAGTTTACATATTAGGTTGATGCATAAGTCTTTTCGTTTTTTTCGTACTTCTGTTAAAAAGTAACAAATTCACCAATTAACCTATGCTTTTCTCTAAATAAAAAGTGTTTTTTTGTTCAATTTGCATCTTTTTAAATGAATTTCGGTTCACTTTGAAGCAAATTCGAGAGTGAAAAACGCCTTTTTCGTAAAAATCTATAAAAAAACTCTACGGAAAAATTGGCTGAATGAATTTCTCTGAAAATTTGGCTATACACCTAACTTTTTGTGTTCTATCTTTTATCTATTGACACGAAGATAGGTTTTCTTTAGCTAAGGTGTCTAAACCGCTCAGGCTCAGGCTCAGGCTTAGGCTGAGGCTTAGCCTGAGCCTGAGCCTGAGCCTGAGCCTAAACCGCATCATCGAGTTAGCCCTTTTTGACTACCCGACTTCATACTCTCAAGAAAATCCAGGCATTAAATATTTTTAAACCCGTTTTAATGTTATTTTGCAGAAAAATAATTGCTTTTTCTAATGAAATCAACCGTAGTTTAATTGGTGCATTTGTTGGCTTGAAACGGCAGACGAAAAGGAACAAAAACACTTATGCATCAACCTAATATTTAGAAATCTAAAATTCATCTCCCAAGACATCGCTATTTCTTGCTCTGTGTTTATATTTGTTCAACTCCAATCTATCAGTACTTTTTCGGTAAATATCAATCTTTATAATATAATAATTATGATATAAGCGTGATTTTATAACAAATCGCTTTTCGGAATGCTTTCGGAATGCTGCTTTAGGTCAAATTTCACTCAAAGATTTCATCTTTAACTATTTTTATCGCTTATTTTCCCCAAGCAAAATCGGCTTAGTCTGGCATTAGCCATAAGGTTTGAATTGGAAAATGATCACTGATAAGAAAAAGAATTGAATAGAAGTTTGGGGATGAAAAATAATCGGCTTTTTCTTGATGGCTTCTGCCAGAATACAGCCATTGTATTCTGGGTAATTTACGAGCCTCCACTAATTAGCAAATGTTCTCCGATTCTCAAAAAAAGTGATCAAAGAAGCGATTTGAATGAAGAGAAGAAAAAAAAAATGGAAGAATATAATTGATCTTTTTAAGAAAACGTGAATAAACAATCTAAATCTGTAGGGAAAAACGGATTCGCGCAAAATTGTCGTTTTCTAAAGCGCGCCTTCGACGTCTGTCTGTCTGTCCGTCCGGGTTGTCACTAGAAACGTCCCGTAGTCTGTTTCATTTCATTTTCTTAGATATCGAACCAAATGGGAGGGAATTTTGTATACTAATTGTGATTCTTTTATTCGTCTTCTCTTTATATCATTTCTTTTTTTTCTCATCTGCTTTTTAGGCACACGCATTTGTTCCTTTGAAATGATATTTAAATTTCACTCTGCCTCGTTTGAGATTTGAATTACTTCCAAAATTTCGACTCTAGAAGCATTAGACCCAATTTCCCTCTTAGTCTTTTCCTCTGACAATTTTTGCCTCTTCAACACTGGCCTAAAAGTATTTGCGTGTAACTTTAGTCAATCTCACTTCTATGAAATCAAAAGTTCCGATGTTGTTTTTATGTTTTTCTATTTTTACATGTTCTTGGCTTTCATTTTTGATACAATCTTCTTTTATTCCAGATCATTATGAAAGCGAGTATTCATCGAGAAGGAATCGCTCATCTTGCCAAACTTTGAGTCAAGAACTCGGCGATCGCTCATCGACTTGGTGTTCCGTTACGAACTGTTCAGCATATCGTCAAATTATGGAAAACAACTGGAAACGTCAAGGGGAAACTAAAAGCAGGTCACAAACCGTCAGTCAATGTCAAGGCCATGAAGGAAATCATCAAAAAACGAATCCAGCGAAACGACGGTCTTAGCATGAACTCCATGGCCGAGGATCTCGGTATTGGTCCAGCAACTGTTCAAAGGATTGTAAAACATTCGCTTAGACTTTGTAGTTATCGTAAAAAAAGGCGACTTCAATATCTATCAGATGAATCGCCACTTACGATTTGCAACAAGTTGTTGTCAAAATGCGCCGCCCGGAAGATGTCCTCTGGTCAGATGAAAAATTTTTACCATCGAGAAAGCCCGCAACTCTCAAAATGACTGCCAACTGATCAGTCCAGCTATGAAGGCTTCTCATAAACGAAAAGTGGATACCAAAGCGCTTTTTCCGAAAGAAGTGATGGTTTGCGGTGCTATCTCCACCGCAGGATTTCTCAAATTTTCATTGAAAAAATGTGAAAATAAATGCCAAAATTTATGAGGATGAGATTCTTAGCAAAGAAGTTATGCTTTGGAAGCAAAAAATTGCAACATGGTGTTCAGACAAGACTGGGCACTTGCGCATGGAGGCAAGACAAGCCTTTTTGGAGTACAACTTCCCAAGCTACCTCACCAAAGAAGAATGGCCTTCAAATCGCCCAGATCTTAACCCGCTCGATTTTCCTATCTGGGGATATATGGAGAAGTTAAAAGGCAAAAAATCACAACTCTAGATGGACTCAAGGAAATCTGGGCCGATTTAGATGTCAACGACTTGCGGCGCACGGTGGAGGCAGTGATTCCACGTCTGAAGACCTGTATTAAAGCGCAAGGAGGTTATACTTCGAAAATTTGTTATAAAATAGTTCATTTGCATTGTTGTTCACACTTTTGTTAAATAAAGTTATATGTTTTGTTTGGTATTTGAAAATTTACACGCTTTGCAAGCGTGCAAATACTTGCCACCCTGTACACTTGCTGGTATTCTCTACGATTTTCAAGCTAACTTTGATCTTTCTTAGCATAAACAGCTTTTACACTCATTTCTTATGAAATACAAAAACTTATTTATTATTCAGAATAAACGCTAACTGGTTTCCGCAAGGAATCACGTTACAACAGTCGCGAGGATCTACTAGGATCTACAGCAAAACAGAAAGCAAATTTCAGGCAAGTTCAGGTGAGCCTTGCTCGGTCTTGACTTGGCTTCTTGTCTGATCGAAAAACAAAGCCCAGCACTGGATCTGTTCTTGTTTTATTGTAAGCTTGGCTCAAAAGCTAACCACTGCATCTGACCCTTGCAATTAGCTTAGTCTAATTTGATTAGGTTTTAGACCTTTGAATCCGATTGATTATTCCTGAAATTGGTGCGCCAAAGAACTCGCGAAAACTGGAGCGCTTTGGATTTACAATTTATTTATATGAAAATGTGTTTGATGTGCTTTTTGAATGGAAAAAGAACGTAGCTTCATGTCTAATAGGAAATTTTTGATAAGAAAGGATAAGAAATTGATCTTGGTGGTAAAAAATTTAGCACTTGGAAGCCGATTCAGCTGAGCCGTTTCAGCTGAGCCGTTTCAGCTGAGCCGTTTCAGCTGAGCCGTTTCAGCTGAGCCGTTTCAGCTGAGCCGTTTCAGCTGAGCCGATTCAGCTGAGCCGATTCAGCTGAGCCGATTCAGCTGAGCCGTTTCAGCTGAGCCGTTTCAGCTGATCCGTTTCAGCTGATCCGATTTCAGCTGATCCGTTTCAGCTGAGCCGTTTCAGCTGAGCCGATTCAGCTGAGCCGATTCAGCTGAGCCGATTCAGCTGAGCCGATTCAGCTTAGGTTATCAGTTCTAATTTAGCTATTCGAAATAAGCCTAAAAATTCTTACTTTCATATAAGGAAGATCTTTGTTGCGACTCCACGTCGAGCTCTCCGGCCCTTCACCGCCAAGCATCAAAAAAGCCACGTTGTTGCTTGCCTTTTGATAGTTTGGTTGGAATTCATAGTTGTAGTAATAGTGCTAAAAATAAAGATTTATTTGTTTACTGAGTTTTGCCTTACTTGATCCCATGTGGTGTTTAGTGAGGTGAAGTGGCAAGTGAGCTGTTTAAAATAAGCATCTCCCACGCTGCCGACACGTTCTTTGAACATATTCTGAGTATCAGATTGATAGAATGGCTTGAAGTCAATGATTGTTCAAGTTTTAAGTTCGACAAGCTTTCTCAGCTCTTAGAGCAAACTATTTGCTAAGTCAAGAGCTGACTAATTAGGGCTTTGTCTAGAATCTCTTACATTAGATTCTGGTGCTGGCAGTCGAGCTCCACCAAGTCGATAACCGAGGATAGTTTTTCGACCTTCAAGCGCTGTGGAAAGCTGAAAATTGATCTATGTGGATTGATCTATATAGATTGATCTCTATGAATTGATCTATATGAATTGATCTATATACAGGGTGTCCCAGAATTACGGTAACCGGCTCTGCCCCGCTGCTTTGCCCGTTTTTGAGTTTTGAGTTGCCTGTGATTTAGCTTTTTTTGGTTTATTCTCTTTTTTTGAATGTTTTGTTAATGTTTACATCAAAATCTGATTTTAAATTTAGAATGACGAAGCCTTCTGCTCATCGTAACTCGATCATTCAACTTCACAAAGGCGGGACCCGAGCGATTGATATTTCAAAGCGATTGAAAGTCTCGAAGAAGCTGGTTTCGACGACTATTGCAAGATTCAAGGAACTGGGCACCAATTTCGATCGGAAACGACGAGGTAACAAACTATCTGTTATCAACAAAGCCATCATCAAGAAGGTGCGCGACCGTGTCCGTGAATGCATTAAAGTGCATGCGCAGAATTATCTGGATATTCTGAAAAATGAGCTTCTTCCTTGGAGCAAAAAACACTTTGGGAACAGGATTTGGTGCTTCCAACAAGACGGGGCGCCGGCGCATAAAGCAAAATTGGCTCAGGATTGGTGTGCTAACAACTTCCCAGACTTCATCAGTTTCAACCAATGGCCACCTTCGTCCCCGGATCTCAATCCAATGGATTTCTCTGTATGGAGTGTTTTGGAGTCCCAGGCTTGCGCAAAATCACATAAAACAGTGGAATCATTGAAGGAAGCGCTTCAAAAAGCGTGGGAGACGATCGATCCACAATACCTTCTCGCCACCGTCGACGCCTTTCCAAAACGTTTACAAGCTTGCATCGACGCTAAGGGATCTCACTTTGAAAAAAATTGAATTATTCTGTTGAATAGTGTTAAAAGAATAAATTTGTTCGTTTACTTTTCGTTCTTGGTCAATTTTGGCTTTCTAGTCCCGCTCCTTACAGGTTACCGTAATTCTGGGACACCCTGTAGATTGATCTATATAGTTGATCTATATAGATTGATCTATATAGTTGATCTATATAGATTGATCTATATAGTCATATTGATCTATATATAATCCTATATGGGATCGTAGAATTGATCTATATAGATTGATCTATATGAATTGATCTATATAGATTGATCTATATGAATTGATCTACATAAAAATCTATATAAAAATCTATAGAAAATCTTTGATATAAAGTTGAATCAATTTCTCTAAACTCACCGCCATCATTGCGAGTAGAAGCCCCGCAACGAGCTGTGTTTTACCCATTCTGAAAGAAATTTAAGTGTTGATAAGTAAAACAAAGCTTTTGAAACTGTAACTTAAAGAAATCAAGTTCAAGAAGCCAATAATTGTAAGTCAAGAACAAGATAATTGTCAAGTTCTCTAGTCTTAAGCCTTATTGTTAATGTCGAGAATATAAAGACTGGGAATAAACTTTAATTAAAGTATTTTGTCAAAGGTATCAATAGAATCTCGCACAGTATGACTGCAGTAGTCAGTCAGTAAACAAAAGAATAGTTGGCTGCAGTTTTGGATTGAACTTTACACTCTTGAAATCAATTAATTGTTATTAATTGAACATTTTGATAAACTGATCAAATAAATAACTAAACTAGATAAGAAATAACTAGATAATTATTAAAGTTATTACTTTAAATAACTAAATTAGATAAACTATTGTAACTACTGTAACTACTGTAAGTTCAAGTCAAGAACAAGATTATCAATCATTAGAGCAATCTTTTCTAGTCAAATTTTAAAGTCATTAAGATCAAGAGTATCAAAAAGGCTCAAAAAACGCAAAATTATAAAGGAAATGATTGAAACTCAAAATTTTCACTTCTTTTTGGTAGCGCTTAAGAGTTTTCTCTTGCTATTGCTTCTTATCTTGTTCTCTGCATTATCTCAGACATGAAAACGCCCCAGAAAAGAAAATTGGTCAATTGAGATGACTCCAAAAAACTGATTAACCAATTTTTCACGATTGACACGTCATTTTTCATCAACTTTTGAAAAGATCTAAAAATGAGCTTTGTGATGAATCAATGGAGATTTTCTTGATGATTTAATGATTTGAAACTAGAAAGGAGTTCAGGAATTGCAGTTTGTAAAGTTTTTTTGGATTTTTTAACCTTTTGTATCTTTAAGCTTTTTGAGCTTCAATCCAAAGCTCTTTAACCCCCTTCCAAAGCTCTTTAACCCCCTTCCAAGCTCTTTAACCCCCTTCCAAGCTCTTTAACCCCCTTCCAAAGCTCTTTAACCCCCTTCCAAGCTCTTTAACCCCCTTCCAAGCTCTTTAACCCCCTTCCAAAGCTCTTTAACCCCCCTTCCAAAGCTCTTTAACCCCCTTCCAAGCTCTTTAACCCCCTTCCAAGCTCTTTAACCCCCTTCCAAAGCTCTTTAACCCCCTTCCAAGCTCTTTAACCCCCTTCCAAAGCTCTTTAACTCCCTTCCAAAGCTCTTTAACCCCCTTCCAAGCTCTTTAACCCCCTTCCAAGCTCTTTAACCTCCTTCCAAAGCTCTTTAACCCCCTTCCAAGCTCTTTAACCCCCTTCCAAGCTCTTTAACCTCCTTCCAAAGCTCTTTAACCTCCTCTAAACGTACTTTATCTAGCAAACAATCCTCGGTTCAGTTACCCAACTCATTTCTTTTCATTATCATTGTCTTTACTTTAATCTCGCATATTTCCCCATTCATTTACCATCTTTTATTTATTAAGCACTTCAAAAGTTTGATAAAAATAACAAATAATTATGATTGTACAATGATTTTAAGAAAGAAAAACTCGGAATTAAGGCATCGGATTTTCGTTAAGCATCGCTTCCACTCTCTTCATTCGATTCAAGCCATTTCTCAGCACTTCCCCCTCGAATCGGTTTCACTATGCCATGTCGAATGTGCCAATAGTTCTGAAAGTTTCAAATATTGCACAGAAATGGTAACTCAAGCTTTACTGCTAGTTGTAGACCAGTGCTAAAAGCCGTTTCACTTCACAGGCAAACACAAAGCCATGAATTCAAGCATTTGATCCAAAACTAGCTAGAAACGTCAAGCCAAGACCAGAATTTGGTCCAAGATTGGGTAGAATCAGCCAAGCCATTTTCAGGTAACTGGGAGAAATGCTAGCTGGCAAAAACTTGGGTCAAATTTCGAGTTAGACACTGATCCTTTGATGAGATTTGTGAATGGGATTTAAGCTGGGATTTGAACCCGCGACGCTTATCGAACGCTCTACCAATGAGCTACAGCTACCGATGAGCCGATGAGATACGTCCATTGCCACCAGGATAGGGCTTTATGCCTTACTTTGATCTCTAGTAATGAAAGGTAACTCACAAAGCTATTCTCGAGAGTCTGAACGTAGAGCTCGATGGTGAAGTGCTGCCTTGGGTGCTCCCAATCGAAGATCACCCACGACATCGATGAGACTTTTGACTCTCTGATTCTCCAATACCCAAGCTCGACTTGTTCGGCCATTTTGTACTAAATTATAGTTAAAATTAGTCTATTAATCTAATACGATTCTAATCAGTGAATACCTTAGCGATCACGTGATTAACTGATGAACCGGACATCACCAATTTGATTGGGTTTGAAGAACGGCGCATCAAGCTTTCCATTGTACCATCTTGGATGATACTCTGAAATAAAATCGATTTTTGACAAGAATGGCTGTAGAACTAAGGCAGCTGTAAGGCAAGACAACTAGATCTTGAAGGTTTTCGTCTTAAAGTCCAGTTTAGATCTAACTTCTTTGAAGCTTCTTGGTCTAAACCTGGCTTTTGACCTGCTCCCCTCTCAGCTCAATCCAGCTGCAATCCCCAGAAGCTTGATCTGACTTCTGTCCTTGCCCAAATTGTTTACAGAAACTCACCGTGATCAAGCTCAACGAGCTGCTGAAAACCTCGACGTATTCCAGATTCTCGGCCTAAATGTTTTCAAGTTGTTGTTTGTTGTATTTATTTGTTTTCCTCACCTCTGAGAAATCGAGGACTTGCTTGAAAAAGCCGCTAATCGATTCGACTGAACGCGGAATTTTGAGATCATCTAGAATTGGAGGGAATTTATTTTCAAACAGCTTTTGACTAGCTTTTGGCTAGCTTTTGCTAGCTTTTGGCTAGCTTTTGACTAGCTTTTGGCTAGCTTTTGACCAGCCACTTAAACTCACAATTGACAGGAGTTGATTGGAAATGTTGCTTTAAGCTGATTCGAGTCGGCGCCAAGATTCTAAAATTAGATAAGAGATCGAATCTTTACTGTAAGACTATTGTGATATTTAAACCAACTCATAAAGATCAGACTCGAGGCTGAGACATTTCTTGTTGTAGTTGTAAAGTTCGGGAAGATAGGTAAAAGTGTTTAGCTCAAATCCGGCTTTAGCTTTTAAATCAGCAAGTGCTTTAAGGTGTTTGTCGGTAAGCTGGAACTCGAGTGGCACCTAGAATTTGGGTTTTCTGAAAATTCATTCATGATCTAGTAGATCTTTAAGTCAGGATTGGGCTTAAAGTTGGGCTTTTTAGCTTAAACAAAAGTCAAGAGAGATCATCAGAGAGTCAAGAGATCAGAGTTTAAATCCCGTTGTTTAACTCACCTCTTTCGTATCGATTGACAACTGATCAACAATCGTGCCAGCAAGACGCCGATAAATGAGCTCATTCATTTCATTTGAATCACTCATTCGATAAATAAACTCGAAATTTCGTTGATTCACCGAGCCACTCAATTTGAAACCCTAAAAAGTTTTGCTGCTTCTTTTCTGCTTCTGGAAAAGTTTCTTTTCAAAGTTCTAAGACAAAAGATTTAACTCAATTAACTAACTCGTCCGAAATCACAAAAACGCAGCTCGTTCCAAACATATTTTGACCACTCTTTCACTTTTGCTTCAGCGATTTTCTGACAACGTTTTGAGCAAAGACGAAAATTCGCGATATCCACACGATTTTCAAGTTTCTAAAAATTAAATAAAAATAAGATTTATCTAGTAATTAACTACTAGTTAAAGGCTATTGTTTGAAATCTATTGGGTTGGTGAATTGAAAACTGCGGGCTATTGTCCTATGTGACAGTTTGAGCACTTTCTTCAAAAGAAACCCATTTTGGTGTCAATGGAAAAGTTGTAGAGAATCAAAAATCAAGCTTGTATCCAAATTTCCAAAAAGATACACTTAGTTAAAGTCAAGTTTCGCTTAAAATTTGTGTGTTCTGTTTGTTCTATGTCCGGCCGCGTAATCGCTCGTCGTCCGGCGCAGGGCTTTTACATAACCCCCTTCCCTCTCCCTTTACAAAACTGATCTGGCCGGCTCCGAATCCTCAAATTGGACAGTGACTTCTCCGCAAATCAAGGCTAATCTCAATCTATTGGACTGGTGAATTGAAAACTGCCGGCTATTGTCATATGTGACAGTTTGAGCACTTTCTTCAAAAGAAACCCATTTTGGTGCCAATGGAAAAGTTGTAAAGAATCAAAAATGAAGCTTATATCCAAATTTTCAGAACTATTCAAAAACTGGTTTTCAAGAAATGCCAAATGTTACGAATTTTCACAAAACTTTCCTTTTAAGCGAAACTACTAAGTGTATCTTTTTGGAAATTTTGATATAAGCTTCATTTTTGATTCTCTACAACTTTTCCATTGACACCAAAATGGGTTTCTTTTGAAGAAAGTGCTCAAACTGGGACATTCCTCAATTTTTGAGTCTCCAGTCCTCCATTTTTGAGTCTCAGACTTGTCTCACACACAAACCAAAACTCTACCACGAAAGAGGAATCAGCAAATTGCCTGTAAAATGGGCACAAGTCGTCAAGAATACTGGAAATTATTTGGAATGAATTCATGGTTTTATGTTGAATAAATTTTAGTTCAAAGTCCCGCAGTTTTCAATTCACCAACTTAATAACAATAAGATTGATCTAGTAATTATTTAATAACTACTAGTTAAAGATTATTGTTTTAAATCTAATAGAAGATTTGAATTACCTTGAAAATCTTTTTAATAACATTATCCGGCAAATCATCGAAACTCATTTCTCTCAGCTCAGCAATTGATTGCTCTTCTTGAGAAATTTCCATCGATTTATAATACTAAAAATGCTTTTTTTTTGAAAAAACCAAGAGAAAAGAAGGAAAATCTTGAAAATTTGAGAAAATTTGCCTTATCAGTTTCAGCGAAAGGAGAACGGTTAAAGTTAGTGGAGAGATTTCTTTAAACAAGTGAAACCAATGAAAAATATGGTTAGAAATATTTGAGTAATTTCGGTAAATTTGGGTAAATTTTCTGTAAAAATCGGTTCATTTTTCAAATCGAATGAAAAAGGTGGAAAAAGTGCAAGCGAAATCAGCAAAATCAGCTCTCTTCGAAACTCGACAGTATTTCTACGGGACATTAGCTAACCAATTGAGCTCTTCGACATCTCAATCTAAGCAATGATTTGCTCAATCTCAATAATTTGCTCAATTTAAGCTGTAATTTGATCAAACTAAGCGAAATTTGCTTAAAATTAAGCGAAATTGGCTCAAACTAAGCGAGATTTGCTTAAAATTAAGCGAAATTTGCTCAATTCAAGCGAAATTTGCTCAATTTAAGCGAAATGTGCTTAATTTAAGCAATAATTTGCTCAAACCAAGCGAAATTTGCTCAATTTAAGCGAAATTTGCTTAATTTAAGCAATAATTTGCTCAAACCAAGCGAAATTTGCTCAAACCAAGCGAAATTTGCTCAATTCAAGCGAAATTTGCTCAATCTAAGCAATAATTTGCTCAAACCAAGCGAAATTTGCTTAAAATTAAGCGAAATTTGCTTAATTTAAGCTATAATTCGCTTAAATTAAGACCAAGAGACAAGAAATGGTTAAGTTTTCGAAATTCTAATATAAATTGGACTAAAAGAATTCATTCTAGAAGAAGTAAAGAAGTAAAGAAATGAAAAATTACAGCATAAAAGTGATTTTGTTTTTTTTTGTTTTGCAAAAACAAAATCAAATAAAAGAAATAGACTTTAAAACAAAGCGATTAAAAAAAACGATTAAAAAATGATTTAAATGCAAATGTTGCGATTTTTTGAAAAGAAAACTCCAAAAAATCGATGAATGAGTAATCGAAAACGGATTTTTTTTTCTTCTCTTTTCTCCAAAATGAGCGATATTTTCTTGGGCAAATGAATGATTGGAGGGGAGGAGTTGAAGAGGTTTCAATTCAAACAACTCTCAAACAACTTTCAAACAACTTTTCTTAATCTGATAATTGAAAAATCTGATAATTGGAAAACCTATTATATGCAGTTATGATTATTTGATTCGCTTCTATTCGCCCGCTGAATAAAGCATAGATATAATGCACTAAAACCTCTCTAAAACCTCTCTAAAACCTCTAAAACTCCTCTAAAACCTCTCTAAAACCGATCTTTTCATCTCAAAATGAATTAGCTCATTAGTTGTCTTTTGCTATTGGTAAAACAATTCATTTTTACAGATAATTTCCTGTGTTTTTTTGTGATTTAACTTGTCGAAATTCTTGTTTTTTTATTCTAGGAACGCATTAAGGCAGATTTGACAGTAAAATTTGAAGAAAAAAAACGTTTTTAGCTTTAATTTGATAAGAAAAGAAGAAAAAAACAAATTCTTACTTACTTTCTTTCCAAACCTAATAACAAAACATATATAAAAAATAGCTTTTACAAAAGATTATATACAATAATGGACAATGAAATATGATATTTGAAAAACGATTGTCACTTTCGTGCGTCTGTAACTCTCTTTTCTTCCAGTTTAAGATTATTAGTGTTATAAACATTTTCTGAAACCTCTTTTCAAGCTTCACTAGAAAGCTTTCACTAGAAAAATTAATGAATCAAGATTTTAGCACCACTTCTCTTATTTTTTTCTTTATCGAGATAGGAAATCTTTCATTGGCAAATGTCAATAGCTTTTAAACGACGAAAAATAATGCTGAAATGACTAGAAATTACTTCTTTAAAGGGGGGTATTAATCGCGGCCAGGTGACGATAAAAATTTTTTTACGGCAACCACCTGTTTTTTTATTTTAATATCGCTGATTTTATTATAAAAAGAATAAAAATCACCCGGCTAGAGTGATTTGATGGGTTTACAAATTTTTGGAGATGCTGCAAGGCTTGGAGGAAAACAAGATCGTCACTCATCAGACACCTCAGCACAGTCTAGATCGATTGAGTTTTAGTTGCAGATAAATTTAAAAACAAAATAAAAAGCACAAAAAGTAATAAAAATAAATTGTTAATCTGTAATTCTTCCTCTTGCTCACTTTCATCTTCGCTCAAGTACAGCAGTTCGGCTCAAGTACAGCAGTACAAATCGGCTTCCAATCTTATCAATTTCCAGCGCATCTTCACCAAAAGTGACTGGATCTCCTCCATCGTAGGACGTCTTCAGCGCTTTGATTGACACAATTAGATCTTTTTTCATTTGTGGTCGCTTATGGTTTTAGTTTTCTCAAATAGGTGCCTTTTAGCTGAGGTGTCTGATGAGTGACGATCTTGTTTTTCTCCAAGCCTTGCAGTGTCTCCAAAAATTTGTAAACCCATCAAATCACTCTAGCCGGGTGATTTTTATTCTTTTTATAATAAAATCAGCGATATTAAAACAAAAAAACAGGTGGTTGCCGTAAAAAATTTTTTATCGTCACCCGGCCGCGATTAATACCCCCCACATCCGCGCGAAATGGTGTTCTCTATCCGTTTTCCATGTTTGAATAGCCATTCAACGCATAAAAATGTGCTGATTTCAATGGTGAAAAAATTATCAAAATCCGTCTGATACATTTTTTAAAAATCGCGTTTTATCGAAAAAATCGCACTTTTACAAGCAACTCGCTCGCAGCGACCAACTTTCGGCGGCTCGTTTTCAGCGTGGTCGAAAGATTGCGCCCTCAAAACCGATAACTTTTGTGTGCACGTTTATAAAGATCATTTTGATACCAAAAAATTAAAAATTGATCAACTCTGCGAAGACTTGATGCCCTTTTAAGTTGAAAATGACGTTTTGCGACTTTCTGCCCGCTAAAACGTGGGCAATCGCCAACAACCTATTTAAAGCAGCCAGACATTTATATTACTCTATTTGAATTTGTCGTTTTTCCCAGAGGCTTTTAACTTATATTTAACTTATCTCTATTTAAATTGTTGATAAACAAACTCCTAGTAAGCTTTTTAATAGGTTCGGTATATTTCTTGTTCACAAAGAGACGATTAACCAACTACCAGCAGTCATTTTTTTAGCTTTTTGATTAATTCGTTTCTTATTTCAGAAAGTTTATCATTTCTTGGGCTTAACATTAGTATTTTCATTTCAGGTTCGACAGCGATGCCACAGGCAAGCAAACGCAAAAGTGCATCTATGAAGAGAATAACAGATTTAAAACGAAAAAAAGAGCGAGCAACTTTGAATGTTGATTGTTAGAAGAGGAAAGATAAAGAAAGGAAGAATCACTGCAGAGATGCGACGAAAACAAAGGAGAATCCTTAAAGCTGCCCGGAAAGTTCGATGTAAAAATCACAGAAAAAGAATGAGAAGAAATATTGTTTGTCGATCGCTCTCTCCGTTACAAACCCTTGCACTTTACTCGAAATCTAAAGTATCACGTGACGCTCATCGAATTTACAGTCATGAGACTCGTACTCTTGCAACGGAGTATCGTATGAATATGGTACGAGCAACCCTTGCAAAAAGCGTCGACTATGAAATTGAAGGCGATATTGTGAAGCTAAAAGACATGTTTTCTTCCGTCCAATATCGACTGTCTAAAATTAAAGACAACGAGAAACACCGTTCTGTACTTTTATGTGATAAAGGACTGGATATTACCAAAGTTACAATCATGTTTCCAGACAAGTCGGAAAAGCAACAATCCCCTTACAATCAACTGATACTTGCCGTGGTATGGTTATGACAATAACGAAAATCTGTGCAAGATAAAGGACTTGTTTGAAAAGCTTTCACCTTTACCTTGTGCCTTCTTCTTGGGCGGTGATCTCAGTTTCATGGCTTCTGCATTCGGAATGTCGTGTGCTTCAACGTATCCCTGTGTGTGGTGCTTCTTTAAAGCTGTGAAGACGCGAAAAATTACGGGCGTTAAGGAGAAATTAGACCAAACACACTACGAAAGACGTACCATCCTGAGTTTTGATGAGCGCTTAAAACTTCCAACAAAAGATGCCGAAAATCGAAAGGGTGTGCTTCGGCCATATGTATGGAACATTGAGCCTAAACATTGTGTTCCTCCGATTCTGCACATCAAGTTAGGATTCGGAAATCAAATATTCAAGACTATGGAAACTGAAGTTAATCTTAATTCGTTGGAACGCGTGCAATTCGAAGAGCTTTCAAAAAGCTAGGATTTCTCAAGACGCACAGGTCGGATGATCTAAATGGTCCAAAAATCAAAAACTTTGTCAGAATCGAAATATGTATCGAAAAGTTTCAATGTCATCTCGTTACAGTGATTTGTGCAATTGTTTGGATATCTTCGATGACTTCTCTCGAAGTTCAGCCTCAACTAAAGCACAATTACCGGTTAAAGAGATTGATGATATTTGTGAAAAGTTAAAACAACTTCTCTCAAGTATGGAAATTCTTGATATTGGAACACGATCCGTGAAGGCACACGTAGCGTTGAAACACATTCCAGAGTTTTTGAACGAAAATAATTGTCTGGCTAACATGGGTGAGGAGGGCTTGGAATCATTGCACTCAATCATTGGCAATTTATGCCGTCGAACTAAACGTCTAAATAAACTCGAAACACTCTTATTCGCCACTAAACGACACGCTGTTAATGTCTTGCTATTTGATTTGGGTCTTATTTAATATGAAAGTTTACGACCATGCTTTATGTTTCTTTTTCAGGCGTTATATTTATTCAATTTGTTAATCTCGCATACATTTAGGTATCGAAATGCAAAAAAATGTTGAAAGAAACGCTTCAAAGACCCAATTAAACCTGTGATTTGTCATCGCTTGGAACATCTTGCTCTTTTCGTTGCTTTGATGTGGTGGTGATGGCTAAAATTCGTCCAAACAAAGCAATCTATTTTAAAAAACTTCCCTTAAGCATTAATCCAAAATTTGCAGACACATGACGAAAAACACGACGAGAAAAGCCAAAAGAAAAGAATAAGGAAATGAATGAAAGGAAACAAGCGCGGCTTTTCTACTTCATGCTTTTTGACACGTAAATAGAGTAATATAAATGTCTGGCTGCTTTAAATAGGTTGTTGGCGATTGCCCACGTTTTAGCGGGCAGAAAGTCGCAAAACGTCATTTTCAACTTAAAAAGGCATCAAGTCTTCGCAGAGTTGATCAATTTTTATTTTTTTGGTATCAAAATGATCTTTATAAACGTGCACACAAAAGTTATCGGTTTTGAGGGCGCAATCTTTCGACCACGCTGAAAACGAGCCGCCGAAAGTTGGTCGCTGCGAGCGAGTTGCTTGTAAAAGTGCGATTTTTTCGATAAAACGCGATTTTTAAAAAATGTATCAGACGGATTTTGATAATTTTTTCACCATTGAAATCAGCACATTTTTATGCGTTGAATGGCTATTCAAACATGGAAAACGGATAGAAAACGATTTTTCGCCTTATTTCGCGCGGATGTCCCCCTTTAAGGCTTTTGAAACTTATATTCTGCTTTGAGACTTACCTTGACTTTTCAGTGCAGACATTGAGTGACTCTAAAAGCTTGAAGCTCTAGTGAATCCTTGACGTTATCTGTGCTACCCATATATTACATTTATTATATCGTGTTGCTTTTTATCGACCCTTTTCGTGTTATGTGTATGAATTGATGTGTTTTAATCTTAAATCTAGTGCACTTAAATATCTCAGGTTCTGAATAAAGTTTCTATATAAAAGACCAAGTAGACAAATGACCCCAGCCGGGGTTTTTCTTTCGCTCATTTTACATAATAACTATCAATATAGAAGAAAAACATAGTGTTACCAAGAAAAAGTTTTCTGCAAAACCCGGCCCACATCCACATTCTGTTCTCTATCAGAATTTCACGCTAGAATTTCATGTATCCATTTCACGCAGAGAATTGTGCTGAATCGAATGGTTGAAAACCCCATTCACCTGTGATTTGTCAGTCGATTGCTCATGTCTCTTTGTGGGGAGTGGGACAAATGCGACCTTTTTTTGCTTAAAGCTTCAAAACTGCCACTAGCCTTTCATCTTCACCCGAATAAAGTGAATCAATAAATAATAGACGATTCAATAATTGGAACCGTTTTCAATGGGATCCATTTATTCTTGAAATGCAGATTTTTGAAAATCATGTTCAAATAAAGTTTTTCGATCATAAAACTCTTAGTTAAAAGGAAATCGAAAAGGTAAATGGTTCATTTTGACAACCTTTGAAAATGCTACACAAAACTATTTGTGGTCAATATATTTGGATGTGATCTATGACCGGCCCAGACTTTTTTGACAACTGTAAATGACCTTTTAAAAAAAAAAGAAATCTTTGAGTGGAGAATGGGAAATAAAAACAAGGATTTTCTTGACCGAGACCTACTGGAAATTTTCTAGATTGAACTTTCACCCCTTAAAACACTTCCTTTTAAGACGTTTCTAGAGAGCAGATAACTTTTTCATTCAATCGCTGACGACGTGTATCACAGACTTTATCTTTGACATAAAGAAGCAAAATTTATCAACGATTTTATTAAAAATCAAAGTGAAAAACAAAGTGGCAACATGAAATCAATAAAAAAACTTGAATAAATTGAACAAAAACATGAACAGGGAAAATTGATATGACTCGGAGTTTTCAGAAACAACTGGCAACTGATCACGACTTTGAGGAGAATTACGAAAGATTGGTTTCAATTTGCGAAGAACATCGTCGATTTGTTCCGTTGTGGTGCGAAGAGGCGAATCGAATGGCTTGGTCTTTTGAAACTCTCGCAACTGAGACAAGTAGCTAAAATTTGTAGTTAAATTCTATCCTTCTTTCTCATAAAAAAGATTTAGGTAAAAGTCACCTTGCCACATGAGACTTGAACTTCAAACTGTAGTGCATGCAGTGACTACGCTTGAAGCTGCGTTGAATGTTTTTCAGAACATCAACCAAGTAGATTGAATCGCTCATATCCAACTAAATTCAACGTTTGATAAGATCTATGAAAATGATAGCTTACCTTGACTCGATTGCAATAAACTTTCCAATTGCTATCAACCTTCAGCGATACTGTCAATAAGGTGTTGACATTGAAGTGACCCTCGTTGATTGCTGAGTTTGAACAAGTTCAAGAGCAAAGAAAACAAATGATACCTCTAGCAAGAACTAAAAAAGCTCGGACGAGATGTCTGATGATGTGTTCACGCGCATGAGTGTTAGAGTGCAAAACGAACGAGCCGCCATGTACACCTAAAAGTATAAAATTGTCAAATACGAAGAAGAAACAAACCAGTGGAATCTTCCATTCGCATTTGTCCTTGAAGTGTCCTCACATCAGCAAATTGTTCCTAGAGCAGATATAAAAAAAGTCAAGATAAAAATACCTGATTTGCCAAATAATATTGCTGCACAAATTTCTCTTTCTCCTCGATCTCTTTGACCATTCTAAAATTTGTTAAAAGTTAAAATTGTGGGAGGAGAAATTAGACCTTGCATAGGGAGAATCATCGGTTGCAATTGGAATCCAATTATAATTCCAACCATCAAGTCGATCCTTTGACTTAATGCAAATGTGTCTAAATATGAAACGTTATACTGGATGATTCGAGGCAAGACTTTGGACGCATCAAAATTTCCGACAGAATTTACACTGTTAACCTCGACTTATCGAGCATTACCAAGCGTTGCTATAGTAGTCGGGAGCAGTTTGGAAACACTGGTTTTTTCGAACATTTTCTGGAGTAACTAATTGCACTAAATTCATTGGAAGCATTCATTAACCATTCTGAACAACTTTTATGTGAATTTGTGCAACAATTCCGAGTCTTTAAGAGTGGCTCTATTTCCACTGGGTTTAGAGGTGCGGGACCGAATTAAGAGGTTTAAAACCTCAGTAACTACTTGAAATAGCTAGAAAACAGTTACTAAAGCTTCAATAAATACTAACCTAAGAAACTAGGCCATTAAAAACCCCAGAAGCAAAAATTAGTGTGCTCTGGCTCAATGGAGATGAATGCCGCCCAACTACCATAGTACCTACCAAGCTTACTACTTTATATAGGACCAAATGCCCCTTAAAAATCATAAATTTAAACAGACCTTGGCATGGCACGATCTTTCGGGTTGCAGATTAAATAGATGGCATCGACAGATGCGAGACTTTTCATCGAAACCCTCGCCAAGAACTCGTTAATTTGCGCTCTCGAGTAGTCGGCTTCGACGCTCATTTCTTATCTAAATTAAAGCATTAGTAAACTGATGTAACAAGGTGTACTTTACTGATAAAGAAGGTGGTTAGGCAATCTTTTTTACTCTACAAAGGGTAGAAATTAAAGGGATTTTGTTAAAAGTAACAGTAACCAAACGAAACGCATACCTATAACTTGCAAGTAGCTGTGGGCTATGAAAGTTATGGCAAACGGGAAAATTGTTTCCCTTTTAACCATTTTGTTTTCTTAAAAGCACCAGTAAAAAGCGCGAAATAGAAAGCACAAAAGGTAAGTTTGTGTTTCGCAAAATTTACATTTAATTTTAACTTATAGGCTACTCACAGGAAACAAAATTTATTTTTCTCGCCTTCTGCTTAACCGACTACTGAACAAGTGAACTTTTTGTTTGTTTTTTTCTTGTTTTGGCTCTTTTCAATTTCAGAATGACGCTTTTAGTAACATGCATTATGTGCGTAGTAAAAAGTGCTTTTGTTTAAGTTGATTGTTGTTTGACTTTGTTTTTCATTTAGTTTGTTTGTTGTATCTTGAAATTCAGATAGTTGCTAACTAATTTTATTAATGTTGTTAATGGTTGTATTGCGGATAAAAATGGGTTTATGTGGGAGTGGGACAAATGCGACCTTTTTTTTGCGCACCCGGACATTTGCGCACCTTTTTTTCCGCACCTTGCCCATTAGCGCACCTTTTTTCGCGTTTTAAAAAAGCTCTAAAGCTCGAAAACCTAATATTAACCAATTTCTATTCCAAATGTTGTTTTTCTAGGTAATTTTAGGGCGTAGAATCGAAATTTTGACATATCAGAGCTTGTGGAAACAAACGGACAGAGTTATACGGGCATCGACAATTTTCTGTAAGTTGATCTAGCCGTTTTGTCTTTCAAATTGGTTTCACAAGCTCTGATATGTCAAAATTTCGATTCTACGCCCTCAAATTACCTAGAAAAACAACTTTTAGAATAGAAATTGGTTAATATTAGCTTTTAGAGCTTTAGAGCTTTTTTAAAACGCGAACAAAAGGTGCGCTAATGGGCAAGGTGCGCAAAAAAGGTGCGCAAATGTCCGGGTGCGCAAAAAAAAGGTCGCATTTGTCCCACTCCCCTCTTTGTGAACAAGGAATATACTAAACCTATTCAACAGGTTCCTAAGAGTTTATTTATTAACAATTTTAAATAAAGATGTTGATAGGCGAGGACAAATTCAAATAGAGTAATTTAAATGTCTATCTCCTTTAAATAGGTTGTTCGCGATCGTCGCAGAAAGTCGCAAAACGTCATTTTCAACTTCAAAAAAGCATCAATTCATCGCCAGAGTTGATGAATTTTTATTTTTTTGGTATAAAAATGATCTTTGTACACATCCAGACAAAAGTTATCGGTTTTGAAGTTATCTTTCAAAAGTTATCTTTCGGATTTCGATAATTTCTTTATCATACGATTCAGCACAATTTTCTGCGTCGAATGGATACTCTAACTGACTCTAATTCTTATAAAGAACGTTTCTTTTTGCCTTATTTCGATGTACGGCCCCGATTTCTTTCAAAATCCAGCCTTTATTTTGCTTTTTTGTTTTTGTATTTTACTTTTCTGAACTTTTTTCTATTATATTTTTGCATTAGATTTATTCTCAGGGTTATTTTGATAAATAAAAGTTTAGCGCTTCTTTATCAAACTCATTTGATAGATAAACAATGATTGATATCCACCGTTAGAGTCGCTAGGTTATCGAATTTGCTCCCAAACTTGCTCCCATACGAGAAATTCAGTCACTTTACATTTTTAATGGCTTTGATGGCTTTGTAATGGCTTTGATGGCTTTGATGTCTTTGTAATGGCTTTGATGGCTTTGTAATGGCGCTCCCAAACTTGCTCCCACACGGGAAATTCAGTCACTTTCCATTTTCGAGAAGCAGCTCTAGATCCAAAGCTCTAGGCTTTCAGGCTCTGGATCTAACTGCTTTCTCTTGTAGCTAATCTGATTATTTTCATCTGACATTTTGCACTTAATCTTTTATCTTTGTACCTTTCTTTTGTCTCTACATTTATGACCAGCTGTGCATTTCTCAATGATTTATTGGATTTCACTTTATCATCTGAATAAAAGTATCATCAAATTCGAATTGTTTATTTGCTTTAAGCAAATTTTCAATTAATTTCTATTAAAAACGGAATTTGAATGAATTGATCGAATAGATTGAATTCGATTGGTTGAGCTTGTCGAGAAGTTGCTATAAAGCTTTACTTTAGTCTACAAATTTCCCAAAAACAAACCCCCAACTCGGCGTTGAGTTTTCTCAGATGAGGCACGGCTTTTTCAGCGATTTCTTCAAAATCATTACCGAATTCTCTAAAATCTAACTTACCGTATTTACTCGAATAGAAGACAGGGTTTAGGGAGTGATTGAAAAAATAGAGTTCTTCTAATTTTTTCAATCACTCCCTAAACCCTGTCTTCTATTCGAGACGGTCTTATAATCGAGGCCGGTCTTCTATTCGAGTAAATACGGTATTTTGACGCAAGGAAAGATCAACTTTTTGCTATTCGATCGACAGATTGAAGAATTTTAAACAGATCGATAGATTTTTATCTTCTGCGATCAAATTTCTCACAAAACTCACTTGCACTCATCTCTTTTCGCGATCATTCTTTCATTTCCACTAATTTCATTAATCAACGCAGCTGATTGTTTGAATTTCTTGAAATTTAGAAATTCAGAAATGAAAAAAAATAAATCCGTAAAACAAACCGTTTCCAGTTCAACCATTTTCTCAAACAAATCATCATGCAAATGAATGAAAATGTTCTTGTAAGTGTTGATTTGAATACCCGTTAATTGATCGATTTCCTTTGAGATTTTCTTTATCTATAACTCTTTATATTGAAATCCTTTTTTCCACAAACTCTTTCTTTCACTAGCTCAACCATTTCAATTCAAACAACTTTCAAACAACTTTTCTTGATGGAAAATCTGATAATTGGAAAACCTATTATATGCAGTTATGATATGCAGTTATGATTATCTGATGCGGTTATTATATGCAGTTATTATATGCAGTTATTATATGCAGTTATTATATGCAGTTATTATATGCAGTTATTATATGCAGTTATGATTATCTGATTCGCTGCTATTCGCCCGCTGAATAAAGCATATATATAATGCTCTAAAATCTCTCTAAAACCTCTCTAAAATCTCTCTAAAACCTCTCTAAAACCGATCTTTTCATCCCAAAATGAATTAGCTCATTAATTGTCTTTTGCTATTGGTAAAACAATTCCTTTTTACAGATAATTTCCTGTGTTTTTTTCGTGATGCAACTTGTCGAAATTCTTGTTTTTTTCTAGGAACGCATTAAAGCAGATTTTACAGCTAAATTTGAAGAAAAAAACGTGTTTAGCTTTAATTTGATAATAAAAGAAGAAAAAAACAAATTCTTACTTTGATCTTTCAAACCTAATAACGAAAAATATTTAAAAAATCGCTTTTACAAAAGATTATATGTCGTAGCCGATTATGAATGAAATTTTTTGGCAAATCTTTCTAGTAGAGCAACCCTTTAATGTTTGAGGACAATATTATATCATCCTGTAGCGAATTAAATTCTGCGTCGATTGGTACCAAATTTGTGAGTTTAGGTTAAAAATTACCGGCGCTACAACGTTTCATTCAAACTCGGCGGGACCCCCGTAGCCGATTATGAATGAGTGGGTCTCGGAGCGTCCAACCATCAAGTATTTGGTATCATTCAACGCAGAATCATTAATAATTATGTTAAATTTTTAAAATTAGAAAGATTTGATAAAAAGAAAAAAAATTAAGGGGCCTCAAAGTTTCCTCTTCAACAAACAGTTTTTTTGCTCTATTTTTTTACTTTTTATTAAATCTTTCTAATTTTAAAAATTTAACATAATTATTAATGATTCTGCGTTGAATGATACCAAATACTTGATGGTCGGACGCGTCTGGACCAGCTCATTCATAATCGGCTAGCCGATTATGAATCAAAATGATTTCGCTAGCGAAAATCATAACCGGCTAGCCGATTATGAATGAAAGTAGCTTTTTCTACAACTTTGTCGTCAAATGCAAATTATTATGTTGATATTTAATTGTTTAGTGCTGTTGTTGTCAAGGTAACTCCTGACGTTTTAACCACGTTTATTGAATGTAAACAAAAACATATTAACAAATTTTCTAGAGTTAAACAATAACGACAAACATAGCAACAATAACAATAACAAAATTAACAAGCCAAAAAATTAACAAAGGTTTACAAAATTATCCCTTGTTCAAGCAGGAATTGCTATGGTGACATCGGCTATTACAGAGGACGTTGGCTTTTCGACAGGCACACCGTCCATTCAAACATCCATTTGTGCAATTGCAATGCTTATGGCCGAAAATAAAAAATAGTATTAATTTTGAAATGAATTTAACTCGAACTCCTCGCCCACTTCGTCACTTGTGTTGGAAAAAAAAAGAAAAAAAAGTCCGGAAAAAAAGTTGGATTTTCTGTGGTTGCGGTTTCTGTGGTTCTGTATCCATCAGTAGATTGAAGAGCTCCTCCTTCTTGACCACTCGCTTTGGTTGATTGTTTTGCCCGCTTCCGTGACTGTAGAGATTCGCCTGGTCCTGTTTGTATCGAAGAGAGAAACGATTTAGCAAGTTGACATATATATACTATAATAGTACCCCACCCCCATAATGACGGTGCGGACTGTTGCGTAGTCTAGCTTTGAACGAGTTTTTCTCAGCACTGGTTTATGCTACAATGCTCGTTTTGGTATCAAAAAATAGCTGAAATTCAGGGCTATTTTTTCATACCAAAAAGCGCATTGTAGCGTAAAGCAGCGCGGAGAAAGAGATGTTTAAAGTTAGAC